TGTATATATGTATATATATATATATATATATATATATATATATATATATATATATATATATACATAATTTTCATAGAACTGAGATGAAGGTGCTTTTAGAGAATATGAGGTGATATTAGATTGTCTATGTTTTACCTGGTCTTCTATTTCTGTATCAATTTAAAATACAATCAATTAAAGCGTGCTTGAAAATTTTCATGTTTATTCAAAATTTGTCAATTGTCCCAAAGAAGAAAACCTTTGAAATATTTAACAGAAGAATTCCTGAATTTAAAAATTAAAAATATGAGATCCATCAGTTAATATTGTTTCATCGTGTTACAGAGTGGCGCACTGGTGAACGTGGACGTGTGATCCTCCAAGACGAGGATCTTACAACCAAACCCGAGGGCGAGTACAAGAAGATTAACACACTGGGCCACTACAAGGTGCCGGATGGTGCCGTGATGGCGCTGGTACCAAAACAGAAGGAGTACATGACTTTAACATCATCTTCCAGTATGAGATTTGGTCATCAGTATGGTATGTATACCACGTACACACGGACACACATGCAAGCACCTGCATGCGCACACACACACGCACACGCAGGCACACACATACCCATTGTGTTCTGAATATAGTAAACTTTGTGTGCAAATATTACACGAATGGCATGGATGAGTCTTGTTGCTAATTTGTGTTTCTTTTGCCATAAATTCTTTTGAGTTGATAGTTGTATTTTACACTTATTTTACAAGAAAATTAATGTCTCTGTCAAAAAATTGCACATTCCAGTCATTTTGCTACAATTTCATTTCAATTCTAATTTTAGAAAATCCCATCCGTAAAGCTCCATCAATATTCTGTCAATTTTACCTTTATTTTTAGGATGCTCCACTCAAAGACGTGTCGGTTTCACTTTCATTTCAGAAAACTCCACCTACTACTCAGGAATGATGCATGGCAGTCCCTCCCTGAATCGCACTGTGTCTCCCACAGCAATAAGCATAGAAATGGAGAATAAGGGGACCAAATATTATCATGTTGTAAGTGAATAATATTGTCAATGACATTAATTTTCTTTTTTTATATATAGAAAGAAATGTTCAAAGAAAAATATTTTTTTCAAAATGAAGCTCAAAGAAAAAGTAGAATTGGACATTTTTAAGTCTTCTGCTTAGCTTTGTTTAACACTTTAATATAACTACTTTGCCCTCATATATATATACCACAGGCATCTTTAGGTTTCTCAAAACAGCACTTGAAACTCTAATCTTGAGACATACTGGCTTTGTTGGCAAAACCACATAACAATTAAAAATGTAATTTTGCACAGGTGAAGCCACAAGAAAACGAAGTCCAGAAAGACGGAGAAAGGGGAAGCAAGATGGTGTCAGAGATCTACCTAACGAGGTTACTGGCCACCAAGGGCACGTTACAGCAGTTTGTGGATGACTTGTTTGAGACGATCTTCAGCACAGCACACAGAGGGAGCGCGCTGCCACTGGCCATCAAGTACATGTTTGATTTCTTGGATGACCAGGCACTTCTTCATGGTATCACAGACATTGAGACAGTTCACACGTGGAAATCAAACAGGTAAGGTGGTCTGCGGGTTTAATTTCATTTTAAAAAAAAGGAATTTTTGTTTAAAGAGGCTGAACATGTTTTTTTAATATGACTTATGATATTTATGTACTTCACTGACAGGATTGCATGATTCATTGCTGTAAACTCAATGTTATTTGGCCATTCAAAGATTTTTGAGAAGAATATATAATTGATAAGCACTTTTTCATTACCAAGATGTTCATTATTTTGACAAATCTTGTATCATATCACTGTCTCCTTTCTCCTTCAGTCTTCCATTACGATTCTGGGTCAACATGATCAAGAATCCCAATTTCGTGTTTGACATCCACAAGTCCAATATCGTGGATGCGTGCCTGTCTGTGGTGGCACAAACTTTCATGGATTCCTGCTCAATGAGCGAGCACAAGCTCGGCAAAGATTCACCGTCCAGTAAACTGTTATACGCCAAGGACATTCCCAAGTACAAGAAATGGGTAGAGAGGTAAGAAAACCTTTTTTCTTTCTTGAATGTAATCATTTTGCAGAACTGTGTTTGTTTTTATTTTTCAACTGAATTATAAAAATATGGAACCCAATAAGAAGGCAGAACAGATGTAATTTTGTTTGATTTTGAATATTTTGTAGGTATTATCAAGATATCAAGCTCATGCCTGCCATCAGTGATCAAGATATGAACGCCATGTTGGCTGAGGAGTCAAGGGTAATTTTTTCATACTTAAATAATTGTTATTATTTGATATTTATTTATTTATTTATTTATTTATTTATTTATTTATTTATTTATTTATTTATTTATTTATAAAGCAAATCAAATTATAAAACTGAAATTAAGGAAGGAAAATTGGTAAATAAAACTGATATAAAGGATGGCAAATACTAGTTAAACTAATGATTAATGTTAGTATTTTTATTGATTGCATTCAGCAGGAGTCCCTGTAGAGTTAGATCAATCTACGTTGACCAGTAGTTCCCATGGTAATGAACCTATGGTGATAAGATTTAAAACTCATCTTATTTTTTTAATTCAATCACTGATATTTTTTAATTTCCTTTCCAGCTCCACAACGTGGAATTCAGTGCCAGTAGCGCTGTGTACGAACTCTATCAGTATGCTGACAAGTACATAGAACAACTCATGACTTCCCTGGAGGAGGACGAGTTTGCAAGGAAGAACAAGCTGGCGTCCAGATTGGACCAGATCAGGCAATACATGGAGTCAGATTCTGTTGTCTAGACACAGATATCTGTTAGATGGTCAGCTGGGCACCATCAGTGAAGAAAAATAAACTAAGTGCCACTTTTTACTGAGATCTTCCAATTCGCTACCATAAATGACTAAGCAGGGAGAAAAAACTTGGTTGAAATACACATTTCTCCTTTTGCCAAAGTTTATGGAGTTGGCTCTGTAAAGCTCAAGAAGGATGTTGCCTTGTATATATATCACTGTACATATAGTGAAGTGAACTTGGAACAGATTTGACTTTCTGGTGTTGACTGGCTTGCTTTAATACTGCAAGATCTTAAAACTAATGGAACACCACTAAACAGACAGGAGAGAGAGAACTCAGAGGACAAAACGCCTGCATTCCAAAAGCATTTTTGTTTTGAAGACCAGTTACTTACTTAAAGAAGAGAAATTGTGAAGAAAATACTACCCTTATAGGAATCTGTTTGGAATATCCCAAACATTTGGAATTAAGTTCATAGTCACATCTTTGTGAATCTGAATTGGGAAGAAAACATTGGTGTGTGGTTTGAGACTTTATCAGTTAGACAGTAAGCATGGCAAGCTTATGCATTGTCCTTTGTTTAAAACGAGAATTTGCTTCAGAGGCATATCATCTGACATTGGTCACAGTCTCCACGGCTATTCAGCTCCATTCCTTCGAGGTTTTATTGGAATATTTTATTGTGATACAAATGCAGTTCTTCCATGTTTGTTGAAGCAACGAAACCTGTTAAATTGCACAGGTGACCTTGAGGAATATTTTTTACATTTGAAGACTTCACTTTTCCCCCCAGGTTTTAACATGCTTACATCAAGTATTTTATCTGATAGGTCAAACTCTTTTAATGGTGTCATTTATGCTTTTTCCTTCAAAATATCTTAATCTGATTATAGGTGAAATGGATATTCAACTTTGGAAAGTGACAAATTCTAATTACTCATTTTAGGAGTAATTATTAAACATATACATGAACATTTTTATCACAGTCCATTGGTACAAATAGCATTTTGTAAGCAGCGAATCTGCCAATCGGTCAGGCAAATTGATATCTGAGATCTTATAAATATATATTAGTTCCAATTAATACATATTTATGAAAGTCCATGTCCTTGCTCAATGCACAGTACACAGGTGCTTCACAAGTGAGATAAACTGCTCCACACATGTGTATAATGTGTTTATATGCTGTATAATTACATGTACATGTACAAGCAAAGCGCAAACAACCGACCATGCACTAAAAAAAAGCACACACACTGTAAATGTCTTAAATTGGCCTGAGAGGAAGAAAATTTCAATCAGATATGTTCAGGAATGTGCTCAACAATGGTCTGGTTAAATCCTGACAATTACAGCTCTGATTGTTGCAGACATTTTTAATCATGTTTAAGGTGCACAGTGGCCAAATTAGGAAATGAAATAAAGGTGACGTATTTTAGAAAAAATGCTATTGATTTATTAACCAATGGTGGCCAGTGGTAGAAATTGACCTTTTCATGGGTGAGGTATCTTTAGGCGTTAGCTAGACCCTTTACAAAGACTATATTTTATAGCACAAAATCACCGTAAACGAGTCATGTGGTCTAATATCACCTCATCCAGTAGATTACTTTCCTATTTTAATCATTGTGTAATTAATTGAAATAAGAAAGCTTGTTTAGGGGGTTTTAGAAGCCTGTTTTTGCTGAAGTGGAACAGTTCATGGGGCATGGATTCGTCTTGGGTCCATTGACATGTGGCGACCTCTATCAGCTGGGTTAAAATACTGGTTTTACAAGAATGAAAGTACATGTGTACGCCATTGATGGCAGGATGATTAGTAAATATAATGTTAGAGGAAATTTGAACATTGCAGTCATCTTGCAAAGTTGGTTTTAACATCTTCATTGTATTTTATTCAAATTGACCTTTTTATCAAGTCTATTTTTATATGTGCAAGTCTGTGAAGATGAATGAGTTGCACTTCTGTTTCTTAGTTGTGATAGTGACAATAAATGTAAATAGATATTAGAGAGAGTCAGAGGATTGTCTAAATGGTCAAGAAAAATGTCAGTTTTACATTGACAAATGACACCAGGTTATACAAAATGTATAGATTTAATGATGTCCTGGACATTCCCATTGACTACAAAAGACAAGCTATTGAAATAATTCTTGTACATAAATGTATTTATAAAATGCCATACCTTTAGCACTATGCACAGGTTTGTGATTAGTTACCTTTTAATTGCTTAATGTACAGGTGGTTTTGGTAGCTACTTAAAAGCAATACAATGCATGATACGCATAGAACATTGTGTTTTTATTATAATTATGATTTACTTCACCCTTTGGCGTGAAATGGTCTTTTAAGAACGATTTCAAAAACAATTTTTGGCTAGCTTTCTTCCAATGTTTGGTATTTTAAAATGAAGGCTTATAGAAACAGGAACACAGTAGAATTACTTTGATTATTTGTGTGAACAATTCAGTGCTTTCTCAATGTAGTTGACACTGCTTCTGGCACCCTGAGTTTGGGAGGAGCTTTTTATATTATATCTGGATTTTATTTTAGGTGGCCTGGAGCTTGCCTCTGAAACTCAGGGTGCCAGCAGATAGTCTAATCTAGTCCATGCTGTGATACAGCAGGTGCTTTTGCACCCTGAAATTGAGGGCTTGTTGCTGGACAAATTATATATTTCAACATATCCCTGAATATTGATTGAATCATAGCAGTCTGCCAGCAAGGCTTGAGTTTCAGGGTGTTGCTTTCTGTGCAGCACAGTGAGATTGTCTTGTTTTGTCAGCACGTTGAAGCTCATTTTTACTATATTTGAATGTTGGAATATCATGTGATGTGTGTCAACCCTTCATTCAAATGTTATTATTATTTTGTATTTTAAAGTGTTTTATTCATACAAAGGATATTTTTAAGGTTTGTGTTTGTGTATGGTTTCCTTTTGCCAATTCTGCTTCATATTGCATTAGATGAACCGCAGTTGTTTCTTGTGTACTTAAAAGATATTGTTATTTGCATGGGTTTAATTGTTCCCAGTGTGTGTCTCTTTCAAAATTCCATTCACACCTTTATCAAATATAGCTTAAAACCAGACAGGAAATATGCGTGGCATTCCAAGGGTTATATGTATACGTATCAAAATATACCCACAGTGCCTATATCCTAATCAGAGAATTTTTTTCCAAATTCCATTTCTTTTCGTAAATGACACAATTATTTTTTTTTTCTTCATTCTTAACATTTAATACTGGAAACTGTAGTAATTGTTACGTGTTAAAAGTGGCTGTCTATCAACTTTTTGTGTGATGGCTGTTCTATACAGACTAGATATTCATACAGGTGTATTGTCACACAGCTGAGCGCATTGTCTATTTGTACATATTGCTGAGTATTCATTTAAAGGCTGATATACAGATGGAAACTTTGTAAAAACACATAAATGATTGTTATTAGAGAGATTTTGCGATTTCAGAATAGATTTTATATACATTCTTAATAACAAAATAAATGATTGCAGAGATGATTGTTATTGTCTGGGCTTGTTTGTACACTCTCTCTCTCTTTTCTGTTACTGTTACTAGTAAAGTTTAAAGGCATAATAACTCTTTGTATGAGACCTATATTTCACAATAAAAACCTTTCACAATAATAACAATAATAACTCATAGAAATATAATATATTCTGTTTAACCACAAAAACAGCAGTTATAGCTTTTATACTGATATTTGAACTTGTCTTTAGACCACGTGACCTCCAATGATGTCTATACTCTGTTAAAATCTCTTAAGAGCTTTTAACAAAAAAACAAACTTTTTAGAAAAAAACCAGGGACTAACTTTGAATGTAAAAATGGATTCATTAACCATTGGTAAGTATGGGAAAATTGTTGTTTACTCCAGGAAAATTCATTTTTTGGCTGAAACGAAGAGTTATTATTGCTTTAATGTAAAAACATATATAACAAATATATATTTTAAATTGAATAAAGCCTCTGTTCTTTAGAGAGTTGGCATTTCAAGAAAAAAAATGGAACCTGCTTCAGGTTTGGGGGGAAAATCGCCGAAATTTTCATTCTCAACAAATAGTATTCCAATTAGATGTGACACCCATTGTGTTCAAACACAATCACTATCTTCTCTAATTGCGGGTCTCGTTTTGGAGATCTCGAGGAAGCCATTTGTAATTTGGACGTTGAAAGTGCATGAAGCGAGAATTTGCAGTTTTTGAATTTGTATACTACATGTCCCTTGGTAGTGTTTGGCAGTGTGTCGAGAAGAGTCTTAATCAAGAATCACCAAGGTTTCTAATGTCGTGAGGGGTAGGCCTATCGGCAAACCTGTAGGCAAAAGAAAGTCTGACAGCGTGGAAGTAACCCTCGCCCTGATTGGAGCCCTGCGTCACTTGGTTTAGAAAGCGTATCGCTTCTTCAGTTCTTAGTGATGCGAATTGGTCTGGGCATTAAGTATAAGAATATTACGATTTCACCCGATTCAGTATAACATTTTAAGATACTAATGGTATTTTGGTGATAACTTAGGCCTATATACAGTTCATTGTTGTGTTCGCCTGCATTCATTCCCCGCCATTATACCGACGTAGAGTTTTCAATTTTTGCTTCTTCGTAACATCATCTCCTCACGTTCCATAAAAATTAAAAAATGCAGGTGCACCCTATGTAAACTGTTTTGAATTCTTTTGGTAGAAACAGCAGTAAAACGCGAGGTATGGCTAGGAATGGCGGAATAATGTGGATTTGCCTGTTAAAACCCTGTCTATTTGCTTGTTTATGTTTACTGAGTGGTCGTGGGGCACGATTTTAGTAGTAGAGTATTATAAGTATGGCACTTGCTGGTCAAGAACTGAAAAGTTTTTTATGAAGTTTTTTTATTGACGACTTTTGGCAAAACCTGTAAAGGTGTGCCCCAGGGCACCTTTTCTTTCCAACAATGATTGTCGCACTGTAGGCTACACGTAGCGTTGCATCAAATTTCGAAAACACTATTTACTGAAATAATTTTCATGATACATTATCAGGGGCTGATCCAGAGATTTTTTCTGACAGTCTTCCAAATGATCTTTGTTGATCCAGCCTCCATTTTTTAACCGTCTTCCGACAGAAAAAAATTAGATGTCCCCCATCAATGAAAAATTGAAAATCTGACCGTCTTCCGGAAGACCCAGAAGACGGCCTGAATCCGCCTCTGATTATGGTTATTTAGTGACAAAAACACCGGCAGATCCAGGATAATTTAAACGTGGTAAAATTGTGAAATCCTAGCTAATTTGGAATATTGTTAATGTAGGGCTCGATTATGCGAGTACAGAGTGGTTCGTTTTTGTGTGTGGGGGGAGACGAAAAACATTAGATCCGCCATTGGTTTGTTTTTATATAAATCGTATATAACGTTTTCTGAAATACTTTGTGTAATATTGATAAGAAGAACGTAAGTCGTTTAGTCCAGTTGATAGTTTATTTGTCAAAAAGAATAAATAGAAGGGTTGTTCTTGTCTTACATATAAGTGGGTTGTTATGCAGATTTCAATACTCGAGCAATCAGATATTACAATGTTTTTAATTTTAAAAAAACTTACGATGAGATGCTTTAAAATGAATGAATACGTCAATGGAAATGTATTTTGCTCTTAATAAAAAGTAAAACTCCTGTATGCAAAATGTCTCTCTGTTTTTATTGATCCGGGGAAGGGAGGGGGGGGAAGGTTGAGGCTTGAGCTCCGGGTAGGGCGCTTGGAAATTGCCAAAGACCTTTCAAGTTTCAAGGAAGGCATTTAGAATTTCTTTCCGTTTATTATAAGAAGAAAGCTCACCCGAGGAGGGTTGGCGGGCACACTTGGGGGAGTGGATAGCGCGCTTGCCTCGGACGAACTAACGTAAAGAAGATTGGGGGTTCGGGCCAAACTGAGGGAGAAAGACATTTGATCATTTTTGCAAATTTTGAAATAAATTGAACATACAGACGTATCTTATTATCCAAATGATTGTATAAAATAAAAGCAAAGATTTTGGCACAAAAGTCAAACTTGCAAAGTATAATTACAATACGATAATAGCAGTTCCCATCAGTTCATTTTCACAAAAAATTCCTTTTCTCAAAATTCGTCGAAGATTGTATGCATTTTGGAATCTACTGCACAAACTACTAATAATTTTGATTTATAAAAAAGGAACCATGCGGTCAAAATAATATGTAAGCTTGCCGCGAAATCTTACATCGTCTTTTAGGAAATCATGCGGCAAGCTTTCAAGTGGGTCGGCCATATTTGAGCCGTGGATCTGTTAGTCCGCTGATCAACTTTGGATGTGAATGCTGCTTTACTCCATACCATCGTACAAATGCCCCCCACTGAAAACCAAAAGGTAGCCAAATTAAACCATTTTTGTAAGTTATTTTGTACAGAGATAAATCTAGTGCGTCTTCAATATTTTTCTTCGAAAAAAATTAATACGTCATTGATGGCACAATTTTGAACAGAATGAAAAATTCTTTTATGTTTAAAATTCTGCACGGCCTATGTATAGGGGCGGCAGAACGACATGGTCAGTTGATAGACGTTTTTAATGCAGAATATTACATATTAAACAAAATATTCGACGTGACAGTCCATATTAAATGTCCATCCAGCATAATTTATCTAGGAGACAAGTAAAACAATTTTGACATGATTGCTAACTCCGCCGAACCCTTCGCTGTCTTTGACAGAAAACGCATCCAATCTCCTCGTTAATGGTCACTTTGAAATGTCATCACTCTTCCTTCAGGCAGATTCCTGCAAACAAACAAAAAGAGCAACATTCAAATTTTATAGATAGATAGTTAGTTAAATAACGATATGTTAGAACATTTCATAATTTGAATTAAACTGCACTTGGATTCATTTTCAATGTTATGTTTACTAAAAAGTTTCAGTGGAGAACCGCTCCACAATATTTTTACACTCTATAACATATTTCCTTTTGAACCTGTAGCCAGATATATCTAGGGACCATTTTTTCCAATAAAGTGGGCCTTTGTACCCCTTCAGTTAACCCAATTTGAGAATTGCATTAAGAGCTACAGGGATATTAAGATTTAGCGAAGACCTTTGCGTTACGTGTATGTGACACTCCTAATCCTTCCAATTTAGTGTTATAAAGTTCGGATGAGATGCATCTTCTTATTTATGGTATCTAAAGTATTCAAAAAAATTAAAGAAATAAAAAATTCAGGGCGGAAAATTCTGCCAAATTACTATTTTTGTGCTTGAACCGTTAACTTCAATTATGGACGCACTCTATGCTAGGGGGGGCGTCTCGATAGTCCGAAGGTTCATTGGTCCGAAGGTTCATTGGTCCGAAAAGTGGTAACATTTTCATAGATTTTTTAATGAGGGGTTCACTGGTCCGAAGGTTCTATAGTGAACATTCGGACCAATGAACCTTCGGACTACTGAACCTTCGGACTATCGCTACGGCCCCATGCTAGGTATTAAAATGCTCTACGTCTCCCAAAGATCCTGACCTACATGAAAACTAACGCCAACTTTAGAGGCAATATTTCTTAACATTCTTAGTTGCAGTAGGTCCACCAAGTGGTTTGAAAAATGGCCACAAAGGTCCATCAACTTTGGCCAGTCTTACCCAGATGATTCGTATCTGTCGCACCTTTTAAAATAATATGAGTAATAAAACTAATATGAGAATGTACTTACAACTACGATGTCAAAGGGGTGAATCGTCAATGTAGTCCGCTTCTGATGCACCACAAAGTAAAGTGTTCCCATGTTGCCATTTTGCCTCTTCTTTCAAGCTACTTGAATACTTGTCACTGTGACACGTGATTTGAACGACAGTTTTGAAACAGGCCATGTGTGATTGAGGTCGTTCATAATGTGTGGGATATGTATTGAAGACGAGAGATTGTGTTAGAGGAGACATCCGAGTGGTCTGAACACAATTCTTTTATTTGCCGTGTCACAACTCATTGCGACATTGCAGGAAAATAAAAAATGTCAGAACATCTACCCCCAGACAGTGATTAACTGATTTATAACAATAACGCAACAATCTCTTATTTCAGGTCAAATTTACCACCAAATATATGAAGAAGGGACAGTTTTTAAGCCCCCTTCCCCTGTCAGAGATAATAATTATGGTTTGCAAAAGCTTGGCTTTTTTGGGAAAGTGGACTTCATTTTTGTTGTGTAAGAAACCAGTATCTACTAATTTTATATGTTACAAATGTCCTTTTCTTCCCCATGTGTGTACATTTTCCAGCTTTGCTGTTCAATTCTTAAATTTTTCTCTGTAAAGCTACAACTTTCAATTTCAATTCAGTGAGGATAACAAAAAGACAATAATACTTTTTTCACAGTTTACTAGTTATCTACTAAAAACTAAGAAATTAATCCATTTACAGAAAAGTTCATTTTAATCCATGCCCAGTAACTGTCCCAGTACTAAAACATTGTACTTGACATACTAAAAGTTTCATATTAAGCATCAGTTTCATCAGAAAAATACCTTTCTCTTTCAAAAAAAAATTTAAAAATGGTTCATTGTTGATCTAGCGAAAAATTAGGCAATAATGCTGACACGCCTTTTCTTAACCAAACAGTAAAAAATATCCATCAGAGTAAAGACTTACCAAACATAAATGGCAATTTTGGCTAAAAATACCGATAAATTTTGCATGTTTTTCAAAGAAGTCTGGAGAAAAATAAGCAAGAAGTTTTTCTCCACTGTTTTTCCACTGTACTAGCAAAGGTTCAAAAAACGGTGCTTTTACATGCATTACCACCAAACACAACTTGACAAAATTGTTAAAAAAACTTTGTTTTGCATATAGCAGAACTTATTTTATGCTAATTTTCTAACTGCACTACCATTAAATAACGCTCCCATTCAACTTTTTGGCAAATATCTTGCTAAAATATCCAACTTATTTTGCTCTGCAAAACAACGCGAATACTGTCAGCAGCAAATAATTCACTTTGAATTTCCATTTATCCTGATTCATCAAATGATTATGACAAAAATCATCATTCTTCATCCATTTCTTAATCTCAAATAAAAGTCCCTTGGCAATTTTTACAGATGAACTGTGGTAATTTACATAGTCCAATAAGTAGGACACACACAAATGGGTCAAAATATGCAATCTACATGGCTTCGTCTGCTCCAAGAGTTCTTAAATAATGACAAAAAAATGGCAGTGAAATTCATAACATTATTGCAGCAATCACCAAAAAGGCATAATTTAACAGCCTGTTTCAGAAATAATAAGAAACCCATCAGCTGTTGTTCAATAATTTAAGATGCTTTATCAAATGTGGCAAGTGACAATAATGTCATATAAAACCCTGTTTGGTCTCCGCCGGTAATTCAGCAACAATGTACTTGTCCTATTTTCAGTAACAGTTATTTCATTTTTTTCTATATCTGGTTATTTTAATTTTGGACATGATCAAAGGTCCGCAACCCAGTCATTCTCATAGTTCTGTAATTATCCAGTCATTCTCTATCGTCTCAATTGTGAGTTCTTGGTCTGCATTTGGCAATGCCACGTTGGCTACAGCTACTGGTCAGTTGTTTCACTTTCCTTGACCACTTAGGCCATTTGTTGGTCAGTTTCTGCTCTGCATTTGATACCAATGTGGCCATAGCTGTCGTCCATAGTCCTGTCAGCACTTGGCGATGCCACTTTGGCAACAGTTGTTGCTGGTCAACAGTTGATGATGCCATTCTGCCACCATAGCTGACCAGTGAACAATGATTCATTCCCATGAGCTGCCCTAATGTTGTCTAGTTTTATCATACCGGATGTCCTCTTCAGTGCTGCTCCTCCTGTTTATAAGAACAGACATTTCCATTTTTAATAGATAATAGTTATTCCTCAAAATAGCTGTAATTCCACCGTTTTCAATACTGATAAACTACACACTTATTTGAGACTGATTTCATGCTATAAATTAGATCCCTATGCAGAGATTAAAAGAATATAAGTTATAAACAAAATTCATACTTTTTTATCTTTCGAGCATTTTCCTGCTTTCACTCACAATTAAGCAGTTTGTCAATCAATTAATAAGCTTAAAACTTATGCAATATGCATTTTCTCGCTCATCAACCTCTAAAGCCTTCTCTTAGAAGCTCAATTTTCTTTTATCATTAATAAAAACATTTTACCAAACAGATGCATTTTACAGTAACCCATTACTTATATCTATAATTGTACTGACTAAACAAATGAAATGTCTTATAATTTCCAATGTTATGTTCCCAGTGGCATTTTGAAAAAAAAAAAAAAAAAACATTCACAGTCAAGTAATGATTAAAAGAAAATATTACCTCTTACATTTTGCCAGCCTAGCTTCAATCCCACCAGTATTCAAAGACTAGTAATAATCATCATTCTTGATCTGAAAACATAATGAAAATCATGTTATGGCAGTAACCCACCAACTATTATAAAAATCAAATGCCACAGCTATGCTTGCCAACTTTAAATACTGCCAGTAAAGAACAGTAAGCAAAACATTTTGAAATAATTTACTTACCAATTATGTACAAAATTTGTAGGAAATTACCCTAACATAAAATCATGTCATACTTAATTCCGTTCAACAAGCACTTTTCAACCATTCAGAGAGAATAAATTGGCAATCTAGCAAATGTATCACGAAAGCCACTAAGTGAGGCCATTAACTTGATTACTCTCATAACATCAATCCACACTCCCAATATTCAAGACAGTTTACAAACCCAAAATTAAATAAATAGATAAATATCTGTATTCTTAACCATGGCCAATATGTAACAGGGAGCCCCCATCAGTGACTGATGAGAGCAATGAGCTCCTGTCTGCCATACATCACTGCCAACTGCATGCAGGAAGACCATGGTTATCAAATATACAGCTAACACTTATTGATTTTATGAGAAGGTCAGCAGGGAATATATCTGGGGTCTGAAGAAAAATGAGAGCTAAGGAAAGTATAGGGAGGGGAATGGGGTGAGAGAGGCCCTTATTTTTGTGAATTTATGACAAGGCAAATAAGGCAGAAATTTGGGCTTTAAAGGAAAGTGAAAGCAGTAGAGAAAGTAGGCAGCCAGAAGACAGATTATTAGCATTCAACTAGTGTAGAAAATGGGTGTTAAATTTCTTACTCTCTGTAGAAACTAGAGAGTTTTCAAAGAGGAAGCTCCAAAGCTTTGATAACCTCATTTTCTTGCATAATTAGTGATGTTGGACTGGCAATACCATTTCATATATATCTGTTATCAATTCAAGAAGAATCAAACCACACAGTGAATGTGTTTATATATAATTTAAGTGGGTGGAGATCAATCCTTACCTTAAAACTGCCATCACCATTGGCTACTAGTCATGATAAATGGCTGGATGTTGACTATATCCACCCACAGTAGTCTGGGGTCTGGCAACAATGGTCAGTAGCTGGCATCACTGATCAGTAGCTTGGTACTAGCAGTAGCCGACATTATTTTCTGGTCACTAGCCCCATTGGTCAGTACTTTTCCCCACTGGTCAATAGTTGGCATCACTGGTCAATAGATGGCACCACTGGTCAACAGCAGCAGCTTGCATCTCTCTCTGGTCACTAGCAGCACCAGTCAGTAGCAAGCACCACTGGGCAGTAGCTGACACCACCATCTGTTGGTTTAATCTACAAGCACTTACACAGTACCACTTTTCTTAGAACTGACACCACTATGTAGTAATTGCCCTTTCTGAATTCAATCACCAAGAGATTGGCTGTGTTTTGCACTTAGAAGACTGGTAGGTTTGGAACCAAGTATGGTTGACTGGTTATAAGATGGAGAAAATACTGGGGTGCTTTATTAGGCGGAAAGCTTCTGTAGCTTCAGAGGGTGGAATTGTGATTCTGCGGCTCCTGTCTGATGCTGTTGTAATTTCCCATTCAAATCACTCTATGAAGTCCAGGGGGGAGATTAGCACATAAAACACAGTCATTTTTCTTTCAAGATAACCACGCACAATTGAGCACAAATCCCCAGCTTTCTGATGCGTTTTCAGCACTAGTGACAATATTGATGATGATTTAGTGAGGAAATCATCTTCACAGTTCAGATGGCATCATTTATGAGAAGGCTTATCGCAATCACCAAGTACCAAGCATCCATTCACCGAGAAGTGAAAAAAAAAATGGCAGCATCAACACAATTTCATCCCTCATAGAGGAAAACTTATAAAAGTGATGACATAACAATTCCCTTGGTGAGTATCTCGTTTTGTTTGTCTCTGATGGTGCCTGGGAAAGCTGGGCTCTTCAGGTGGTAAACCAGCTCTTGGGGAAAATCTTGTATTGATTTTCATAACGTGATAATTAACTTATTACAGCAGCACAGTAGATCCAGGTTTCCTTTGACTTTAACGACTCAATTTTGTCTGATTCTTGGAGCTCTGACTCCAAGGAAAGCCTGAATCACAAGCCAGCCATCTCCTGTTGCTGCAGGTCATATCAATGAATGAATAATCCAAACACAATGCTCATATGACACATTTCAAATAGCATGGTTCTTCTACATATGGGGAATTGGGAACGCTCTGGTGAATGATGAAAAATATATAAACCTTTATGGATTTTGCTGAACCACTGCTCCGTGCTCACTCCTTCATTTTACACATTGCTGATGGGGAATTACACTTGAATGAATCTTTCCATCACCTCCTGAATCTTAATACCAGATCTGGAACATTTCTTGCAGTGAATCCGTCGAATGCTTTCTCTGGGACAGTGGACAATTTCCTCTTCCAAAACAGCGCTGATTTTTTTTCAGAGTGGATAATTTTCAAAGTGAAGGCATTCTCATTCCTAACTGCAATACACATGAATGAATGCTTGAATTTTCCTCAGTGTCACTTTCTTGTAACTTAACTGTCCTCCATAGATTATTATGCAACAGAATTTTCATCCAAACATACAGAAGAACAAATCCCAGCATTTTCCATCTCCAACTCTCTTTTCGGAAATAAAGCCTTCAAATATTTCATAAACTGCGAAGGTGACTTTTCATAATTTCTATTCTTTTGGTTGTATGCATCAAGTCTTAATTGAAATTTAGAATGACACAATACTGCATCACATTCACATCTCCATCTTGTATTGTGGAAAAACAAGCACATTTTCTAAAATTGGCACATAAAAGGATATTTTCAATTGTTTTTCCTCCAAGGGGAATTTAAATTTTAAGTCACCAAAAAATGCAGCACATCCTTTTCAAGAACTATTTTTTTAAACTGAATCTTGACATCCCTTCCCATATGAACAGTGAGAAATCCACCAAGTCCTTTCACAACAAATATTCACGTGTACTCACTTTCCTTGCAGAGCAACTTTCCAAACAGGGGATTCTTGTGACAGTTCCAATAAACTCATTTTCACTTTACAGAGTCATCATGATGGAGAGAGCAAGTAGTGAAACTTCCTCTTTTCAAAAAAACACCAATTTGTACAAACACTTTGGCAGGTCCTAATGAATACTTTTTAAACGATATTCCTGGGCGTATTGTTCTTTGGGTTTTATCTTGAGATACAGAAAATTCCTCGAAAAAGATGATTGGCTGCTGCCATGTAGAAACAAAACGCTGATCAACTGCCATGGAACTGGATTTTTTTTTTACTGGTTGCCATGGAAACACTGAAGCATGCATGACCACAATGTTCACTATTCAAGCCGACACAGACATCAAACTAAGAACTACTCCACAAGGAATAAAAAAAAAAAAAAACAAATTCAAAATAGAAGACAACTTGATAGATATCCACATGTAGAAAAATTAAACTGTGCCTTTCACTACAACTATCACTAAGTGATCCTCATTCAAAGGTTTGCTTCCTAGTTTTGGTGCTCGTTTCCGCAGATACTGGTGTCCAAAATCACACGGTGGAAATGCGTGAAGCACTCCAGCCTCTTTCTCAGTTGGCTGGGAGGACGGCGGCAAAGCGACAACTCCAGCTGCCTCTTTTTGCTGCAAGTACGTCACAAGATTTCTCAGAGGGCGCTGCTGAATAGATGGATCCTTTATCATCAAATTACTCGTTGGAACAGCAAGAAAGATACAGTAACCAGAAGATCCAGCGCCACTGACACGTTTTCCCACTTCCTCAAGTTTGGTTTGGTCTAGACGTAAGCGTTGAGTAATTCTCAGCATGTTAGCATCGCTGCTTGACGCGTCTTTCATCAGCACATCCGCCAGGGTCACATCGCCACTTACATGATATAAACGCGCAGGAAATGCACTGCTTTTCAACACTAAAGCTCCTGTCCATGCGCAGGATAATTTTTTCATGAGGTCAAGGATGTTTTCCACATGGTCTACTGTTGGGAATTCAGAGGTGGAAACATGTGCACTGGTTTCCTTATTGTATGATCTCTCTCTCTCTCTCTCTCTTTCTCGGTCCCTTTCACGAATTTCTCCCTCGCTTCCAAACCGAGATCTTTTGTTTGGTGAATAAGAGGGACGCTTGTTTGAATCTCTATCCCAGAAATCACTGTTTGGTGTCCTTGGTTTTCCTCCATAATGGTTTTGTTCTTCAGAGTGTCGATCAAATGATCTTTTGTTTCTGTTTTCATTCTCTCTGAATCGATTATCTTCGTTATCCCTTTGATTATCCTGATTACGATACAGAGGTTCTTTTTCACGATTGCCACCGCCACCACGACGAGAATTATATGGGCGGTCTGAATTACCATTACGGTTCCTATCATGATCTCTGAAATTATTGGCTCTTTGATCAACACGCCCATCACGATCACTGTGTCTTGATATTGTATCAAAATCATCATCTTTGCCATCTCTGGACCGGCCTGAGGGGGAAGGTTGGGACAAAATATGAGCAGGTTCCACAAAATCAACACGGAGGCGCCTGTCAGGGCCTCCCAGGGGAAACCCCCTCATTTCCTGACTAGCAGCCTGGGCAGCATCAATGCTATCATAAACAACATAGGCATAATTCTTTCCCTGTGGCCAATCAATTCTGTGAATTAAACCAAAACGGTCAAACTCCCGTGCCAAATCTTCAGGACGAATCCAAGATCCTAAACCTCCAACCCAGAGACAAGTGGTAGGCGTCACTTTTCCATATCCAATCTTGCACTGAAATTTTCCAATCATTTGCCCAGACAACTGAACTTTAGCTCTGTGTGCATAGTCCAAATTACTGAACTTAACAAAAGCATAAGCATTTCCATGGCCCTGGGGTGGTCTTTTAATATCCACATCTTCAAGGGTTCCATATTTAGAAAACACATGTCTGAGCTCATTCTCAGTGATGTTATAATCTAAATTCCCAACAAACAGGGTCCGAGTGGCTTTGGAATCATCTTCTGGGGATATATGGTCTAAATGATGAGGGAATTTATCCACTTTTGAGGAAACTGGGGGTTGGGGTGGCTGTCTGCTACGTGAATCGTAAGATCTTTCAAAATCTCGTGAACGAGAATCTCTCATGTCACGCATATCTCTGTGGAGTAATTCGCGCCCCAAGCTGTCATGGCGCATACCCCTACCACTGCCTATTGAATGTGCTGGCGATATACTCCTTCGCATGTACAACGGTTCTCTGGGGGGCAGATATTCTGGGCTAATACTCCCACGTCTTTTACTTGGCATCTGACTTTTGAAATTACCAAACGTTTTCACATGTTTAAAAACTGGCTCAACACGAACTGGTCTATCAAACAGGATTAACTTTCCTCGAGCGTTCCTGGCCTCACGGGCGTCTTCAGGATAGCGAAAATTTACATAAGCTAACCTTTCATTTGTTGGCGTGTGGGTCACTTTGACGTTGAATTCTCCGAATTTCTTGAACTCACGCCACAAAGCGTCACGTACAACATTATCTGGGACCTGCGGCAGGAGCCCGCTGACGCACAGTGAGCGATATTCTGGTTTTTCTGCACTCCTGGGATCAAACGGATCAACTAAACCTCTCTCGTCCTTATGCCGAGGGAGGACTCGATCATATTCATACTCACTGCGAGGGGAGCGATCCCGGTAGGTTTCTCGCATTCTGTGTTTTGCTCTTCCCTCTCTTCGAAAATCAGCATAGTCTCTGTGCATTTCCTCGTGCTCGGCGTAACTCTGCCGAGGTCTCTTGGCTCGAGGGGACATGTCCATGTCTGGGTGATGTTTCATAACTTAATAAAAATTTCCTTAATAATGCAAGAATGATCGTTTATCGCACCTATCTTTTATCAATGAAGCTTCCACAGCGACAGCCATATTGTACAAGACGATCAGCTTTCTCCAGAAAAATTCATCCGCTAACAAGAAGGAACGTAATAATCCGCTTTATTTAAATGATTGTCTCCTAAAACAGTTTTTATTGACCTTTATGTATAAGTTACTTGTGGACATTATCAGAATCACTTTGCATTTGCGATCAACTGTGCGCTCTATATTTTGATGCGAAAAATGCTTGTAAATCCGTGATGCGGCTAGGGAAATGACCTTGACCTAAATAAAGTGCGTGCTTGGAAGGCCTACTCGGAACAATTTTTTCTCAAATAATAAACCGATTTTGTTAATAAAAACCTGCACACGCATAATCGTTGTATTATCGTGTGTATTATAAAACTATATTTGTAGTGAGACTATATTTACAGTCTTGATCTGCACTGGTGTTTAAAACTGGTAATTATACAGAGTATATTTACTAGTAGTAGCAGTGGTACCTAGTCTACCATAAAAATTATTTTAAAGAAAAAATAAATTGCCTTAACTGCAACCATTAGTAAACACTAGAGATAGTGCACGCTATCTTAAAAGTACACAAAAAAGGGGTGAAAAATAAAGCAATGATACATTTTTTTACTAACAGGGTATTTATTTTATGTATTAACTTTATTATCGATCTCGTTTATGTTTCTGGCACATTTACATAGTCTTTTGTACTAAATACAGTAGGGGTAGAGGTTATATGACATACAAAAAAAAATGTGGTATCATTACAATATGAGTGTGCAAGTTTAAGGAGCATGTTCCATCTCATGCTTTACACAAGCATTCTTGTTTTTAAACTCTTTATGACAAATTTGACACTTGTAAGTGGTGGAAACTGCGTGAATTTTCTCGTGCTGATTGCAGGTTGCTCTTTGCATAAACGCTTTATCACAAAATCTGCACTTGTATGGCCTCTCTCCAGTGTGAGTTCTCTCGTGATTAATCAATGTGGTTCTTTGAAGATATGTTTTCTCGCAAAACTGACACTTATGAGGCCTATCTCCAGTGTGAATCCTCTGATGACGCTTGAATCCTTTCTTTTCTGCAAATGTTTTGGAGCAAACCTGACATTTGAATGGTTTTTCAGATCCAAGTTTGTGTCTTCGCTGGTGCTCGTTTCTATATAAATACCTGGTAAATGCTTTGCCACAGTGCTTACACAGGTAAGCTTTGTCACCAGTGTGGGCCCTCTCATGTTCCCGGAAGACATTTCTCCTGGAAAAAGTCTTTCCACAATACCGACACAAATATGTTTTTTCCTCATTTTGTAGTTTTTCATGAGACTTACCACCCCTCAGCTGCAGAAAGGTCTCCTCACAGTATTTATACTGGTAGGAGTAATACAAGTGAGTTTTTTCATGTCTTTTGTAAAGATCCAGAGACCAAAATCGCATGGGACAAACAGGGCAAACGTAGAGAGTTGTCAGTTCATTATCCGTACGTATCTTCTCAATGCTTTTGTCAGTACTCAGCAATGACATTTTAGAGCCATCTGACTTGCTTAATCCAAAACCTTCTTTCAAATTAGTGGTATTGTTAGGATTAGTTTTTTGTGTGACAGAAATTGGCAAGTCAGGGTGCTTTAGGGAGAAGACAGAATCCACGGTCACTTTCAGGCCATCTTGGCTTGTCTTGCCATTACCACCTTCTTTTGGATTTATACCAGAATTATCACTGTCTGACAGAGCAGAATTTAATCTTCTGGTGTTAGGGCCATCTTGGAGTTGAACTGCTTCTTGCTCTGACCCCTGCTGTCCTCTGGTGCTTTTGTCATTTTGAATGAACTTGTGGTGCCATCTGGTGTCTTGGACAGCTGACTGTGTCTCATTGTCAGAAACATCTGAGCTTACAAGATCATCCGGATCTGCCCCCTGCTGCCCCCTAGTGTCAGGACTGTCTTGACCAAAAGAAATTCCCTGAATGGACGTATGCTGCTTTTCAGATTCCAACCTTATAAAAATAAATATTAAAAAGTATAAAGTTTATTTGATAATTGCTGTTAAAAAGCAGATAAATATATAACCAATCTATAATTAAAAGATAGCATAAATATGTTTTCAGTATTAAAAAAATGTAGTTTAATATTACTGATTTAGATCTATTCAATACGAGTGCAAAACCGGGCCTTGCACCTGAAATGCACATAATCTGCTTCTGAAGCATTCAGCAGAATTTTTGGCAGAATCAAGCAAGTTTGGATTTCTGATACAAAAAAATACTACAGTATTTATAATAATAATCCTTACAAACTGTTGTCCCTGTTGTCACCACCATTTTTCAGTAGCTTTTGTACACATGGTTTAGAAATAAGTTCATTATATTTGTAATATCTAAAAAGAGAAGAGAACATTGCATTTATTTTATATAGTATCAGTGTCATGTTCTTGGGTGGAGCATAACTATGGAGAAACAAATTCATTTAATTTTTAAGCAGTGATCATTGATAAGGAATAATACCTAATTCAGTATTTAAATATTTTGCAACACAAACAAAAGAAAGTATTAATTTGGAGATTTGCATATTGATTTTTTTTATCTCGTGAGATACATTAATTCATATAAAGTAAAAGAATTTTGAAAATAAATCTTTCAAAGAAATCATTTAGTTATGCACATCTATAATATATGGTGCTTATTGTAATGTGTCATGAAATATATTATTATTTTACGTTTCATATAATAAGAAAGATTTACTAACTTACGTGTCTATGAGAATTGTAACCAGCCTCTCACAAGATTCATATTTTAGTTCATCTTTCAAGGTTTTCCACCTCTCTTCTTGTAGTCCAATATTGATCCAATTTGAGGGCAAAACAAGTTGAAAAATTTGAGAATTACCACTGGGGTGCTTCTTCACTCCATTGCTTACTTCCATGCCAGTGGTTGTTTTTGTACACTGAATTCAGAACCTATAAAATATGTTGAAGAACTGTTACTTCCCCATATTGCCTTGGTTTTCGGCTTTAGGTACTTTAACCTAGTAAGGCCTCAAAATGGGTCAATCTTACACACGTGTGTTTGTGTGTGTGTGTGTGTGAGAGAGAGAGAGAGAGAGAGAGAACGCTAATTGACCAATAAATAGAAAATTAGGATAAAGACTAAGAAACAGAGAACTTACAATTACTCACGTGTGTCTCAGACGTTCAGATGTTCGAATTTGGGAATCAAAATAATTATTTCCGAGACGAAATGTTCAGGCTAATTTACAAGAGTTTGAAGCGAGGTGGAACAAAATGGCCTCCGATACTACAGAAACGGTTCGCAGTCTCCACTAACACACCCACTAAAGGAAAATCAGTGCACTAAAATGAAAATAAAATTGATAACGTGGCATAAATGTATCTTGGTATTACAGACTAAAGGGGTTTTTTTATTTTAAAAAAAAAGATGAAAGTGACTGTAGTTCAAAATGACTTTCCTCTATTCACTAATTACCTATGAGTAGCTAGGCCTATCTGTTTTATCGGGGTCACCTTCTTACGTTCCGATAGGGCCTACTCCCCGACATCTTTACCCACCCCCTCCCTCCCAAAATTATCAGGCTTCGGGGGTTTTTTTTTTTTTTCACCAACAGGTTTTAAAATTCAATTTTTATAATTATCAAAATTTTAATAAGGACAAATTCAATCACCAAATTTTATAATAATAACAAATTCGATTTTTCTTTATTATTAATTATATTTAAATGATATTATGATAAATGAGCCCAACTTTCACCTTTGTTAAATGGCTTTCCAAAGAAAGGATGCAAAAAATTGCACAAACCGTGGTTGTCTGAATGATGAGATTGTCTGTCCGAAATCAGAGGTGAAACTTGGATCTGCAATATGTTTTCTTTATCTGTAATTTGACTTCGGGAAAGGTAATTATTCTTGAAAATTAATAGGTGGGCTCGTCCGGGAGTTGAACCCGGGACCTCTCGCACCCTAAGCGAGAATCATACCCCTAGACCAACGAGCCATGTATATTTAAACTAATGATTTGTTTCTAAATTACCATGATTACTGGCGAAAATGTATGCATTTACTGTGGAAGTGAAAGCCAACATCAAATGACAAGTCAATCTATAGGTTAAAGTAAAACATACATAACCTTTTTATCCAAAATTAAAATTTCTTTTTCAGGCAATATCTCTGAATTTGGATTCGGTGTTTTGTGCCGCTTCTAATTGTTTATTCTAAAGCTTTTATTGGTTTATTTAGACCGATAATCACTTTTAGGCGCTTACAAAATTTATTTCGTCGTATATAAGGATATAGTAACTACGATAAAAAATTTTTAGGGTGCAGTAAGATACTCAGACGTATAGATTTGACACTTGACGAACGCGATTCTGTCCGAGGCCAGTTGAAATGATGAATTTTTAATATCAGAATGAATATCTACAATCTACAATCGCTACTATTCGTTGGGGTTTTCAATCCATCGGTTTCTCCCGTAAAAACCAAAATTAAGCGACAACATACAGTTTTATAATTAAAATCTATTAACAATTTATTTACACCCAACAAAAACTTAACAATGTTGACAATAGGCAATAAGAGTGGCATTAATCAAACACAATAATCATGATGTTTACTGCCCCGATAATTCAGGGGAAAAAATACTTCATTCAATATCTTTGAACGTATAAAACAGCTGGCTTGAAAAAACACTTGATCTCGTCCGTTATTGCTGAGTATCCCGCTAAGGAGGAGGGATAGGAGGGGGAGCGTGCTGTAACACATTCTGGTTCTAGAGAGTCTCAATTATAAAGGTACACTACGAACAATGACCGCGAGCATTGATCAAAACCAATTCAATTATCCAATACAGTCTGCTCACATGTTACAGACCCGCTGACTGCATGTTTCCTGAATATGTGCTCTTTATACAAAACATAACACAAGGAAACACACGAGAAATTATCGTTACAATTATTTATCAAAACCAAATTTATAGTCTCCGAATACACATCAGTCCTGCTGAGTGCATGTTTGTTGAATACTTGGTCTTAAAAATTGTTTTTACAACAAAACCGAGGCAGTCTGGTTGAGCAGAAACGTGAGCAATCCATCCATCTGTCTGGGAGAAAACACGCCGTGGACTGGGGGATACAGCAACTGTTGTCTATGTGAATAATTTGTCATTCACGCTGTTGAAGGAACACATACATGTATCTTGACTTGTGGAACTGAAGTAGAAAAAAACATACTTGAGATTTCCGTGTTAGGATTAAATATATATCCTAGGAACTGGAGTTGTACCATTGACAAGACATGATAATGTATAATACTAGTACTAGTCACAACACGATTCGTGCACTATATGCGACGTACAAAAGCTACTTATATCGAGCTGAAGTCGAGGGAGAATTTGCTCTTGTATGTCGCATACAGTGGACGACGAGTAGTTGTAACTGACATCCCCCGGGTGGCGCTTCAAGCAGTAGGATGGATGCACAGAAGTCTATGAAAATACAGTCGCAAGTGTAAGTGCAATTATCCTATAGTTCGAAGCGCCGACCGCGGGAAAATAATACATGTACTTAAGGATCGCTGAAAGACATCAATTTTTTAAAAATCGAATTAAATGTAAATGTTAGAGCAGTTAGCTTACTTGGTTTGTTGGATTTTAGGCATTGGAAGTGTAATATAAGTTTGACAAAGCACGAAGCCATCTTTTCAACAATATCTGGAAAATACTTACATTTCATTGTGTCTATAGCATTTTTTGTCACAGTTTGGCGCCATCTAGTGGATCTGTAATCTGTCTTACACAGCTAGATGCTCTCTAATGACGTAAATGTGTGACTCCACGCTGATTTGCACGTGATCATGACTCGTTGATATTCGTGGACTTACGGCTGACGGAGCAAGTCGTGAACTTGTCCACGGCGTTGTCTGTGATGTTGATGTTCAGGTTGCTTACTTTCTTCTCCGTGACTTGCGCACGTGGCAGGTTAAGAGAAATGGTGTTATCTGTAGAAAATATATAGAAAATGTTAAACACAGCAATTAAATTCGCCAAAATCATTTGCAAAAAAACTTATTTTGATACAAAACTATGGCAACGGGAACAATAAGATTAAAACTGATTTTATTTTATTTTATTTTATTTTATTTTTTATTTATTATTTTTATGGATTTCATGAGATTTTTAGCAAAATATACCAACTGGAATGGAAATCAGGTAATTTTGTGATTTTTTACCTGCTTTATATTCCATGTATGTTTTTTCCTGGTTTGTATTCTTGTTAGATGCTTTCTTCGTTACGGACTGACAGAATTTGCCCTTGGCTTTACTCAACATTTTCTTGGCTTTCACCAGAAAAGAACCTGAAAATGAATTGAAACAATGTAAATATATAAATCATACTGGCTACGTTACAGTGTCACTTCGATGACGCAACTTAAACTTTTAGATTACTTTAAGTAGAGCGTCTAATATCAAAAAGACTATTTTTTTCTTTTTTTTTTTTTCTTTTTTTGACATTGGAAGGCGGGTTCAAGACAGAATCAAACAGCGACACAGACATGCATTGATTATATTAAAAGCATGAAATATATTATAAATTAAATTTTACCTTTACCTTTCTTTTTGTCATCTTTCACATCTGAGAGAGAAAATCCATTTTGACGTGGTAATGCAGTCGGCCTACTGATCACCTGAAACAAATGGAAATAATACTTTATGTACGGTTCTCGATAACTGCCATTGTTCGCTTGTCGAATATCAGAATAACAACCCTTGGTTTTTCATAACAAGACGCTTTTTATTAATGGCCATCGTATTTAGGCCTACTAAAAAGGTGTAATGCTACATGTTTAAAAAATATATTGTCCAAACGATATTTTTTAGTATCAATGGACATTTTAAAGTATCCCAGCGACATTATAAATATTTCAAGCTGCATTCGCGTAAACGAGTAGATGAATAAATCCATTAGTAAATTTGTGACCAAAAATCACCCAACTCACCATATTAACTGTGTTGCCGCATTCCTTCAGTACTTGGATAGCTGTAGACTGGTCAACACCGTCGAAGGAATGGCCATTCACACTCAACACGCGGTCATTCAATCTAACAGAAAGAGCAATAGGATAGATTAATTAATTTACCAAATTAACAGGAATTCACTAAGGATGCCCGAAGGAAGAGCATAAAAATACATTAGTGAATGAATTGCAAATAACAACTAAAAAACACCTGAAATATGTGCAATAAGAAAACATTGTGTAACAGGGGATTTATACTAAAATTTGTACTAATAGACTATAAAACATGAACTCTTACTTACTGTAACTTTCCTTGAGCTGGTCCAATCTTGATGACATCAGAGACAATAATGGACGTAGTAGCATAACATAAACTGTCAACAACACCACTCACGGCTATACCAAAACCCACAACTGGAACCTAGATAAACGAAATGGATTTATTAATTTTCTAAATATATCCCTTGCTAATCAAAGAAAAGAAATCGTGACATTTGATGAACCTCGTGACGTCTGATAACACCGGACGCCTTGGAAAAAGACCATTATTTATTACGATGGGAAACCGAAACAGGTTATAGTGCCGGTAAAAAGAATGGCCTTATTCTCACTAATACATCACTAATTTCATATTTAGGAACAGTTATACACATTTAAAATTCCTTGTCAGTCACTCGCCACTGCAACAACTCCACTGCGGTCGTGTAATATGTAGTAAAATAAAACGGGGGAAAATATTGCCGGAAAAGGGTCTATCAGAAACCGTGGAAATTAAGTCAGCTTACGCGTAAACTCACCTTTCTTATCTGTACACAACGCACCTCACACACTTCTTCCACCTTAAAAAATTAGAAAAAAGATTGATTATTACTTCACTTAACATTGAACACTGCATACATGCTTAAATCCAATTTAATTAAACCGAGTAATAAGCTCGAGCTGAATGCGTTGCTATATTTATTTTTAAACAAAATTCGAAGTTAACAAATATTTAATGCCATTTTTTATTATTTCACTAGGTTGAAATGCACATGATCAAGGTCGGGACGATTTCTTGTTAGTTATTAAGATCAATGTCATTTGAACATATTTTACCTGCTTCTTAGCTTCTCCAACAACGTTACACATCTTCAACTTCATCTTTTCGCTTTGAGTAAATTTGTATAATCACTGAACAACTAGACTGCATACAAGTATGACAGAATGTGAACTGATTGCAGAGGGTTGACAACGCGTGCTATTTATACCTTGATTCCTCCAGATCATGCTTGTTGAGGCACGTGCCGAGACAGCCAATCAGATAACAGGTTACTGGACGGCTGAGCGCGTGCCGTGTGAGATCAACCTTAACAACGTAATTAGTGCATGCGCAGTAAATCCAGGTAGCCTTTAGAATTACCTGGTCAATTAGGTGAAGCCAATAGATAAAGGATAAGCGTACCAAGGCGAGTAGTTATTATTATCATTAATTATCACTCCCTAACTCAACTGTAATTATTTTGTACCAAAACGATTTAGTTTTATGTCATATTCTCTGCTATCCTCTTTTAAGAGTTTTCAATACTTTAAATATTCCATATTTATTGTGCTCTATTTTTAAATGTTAATTGTTTTGAACAGCAGTGGCTGCTATATTTAGTGAATGGCTTATGTACGCAGTGGCAATTGGCCAAATAAAAAGGACTCACAAGAAAAAAATTCACAAGAAAGTCAGTAACGTCTTCGTTTTCTCTGCTTTAGACAACGCTAGCAGAAAGACTTTTTGAAATTACCTGTCATAATAAGAAGAGACAGAACAAGATTAACGGTTCCCCCTGTTCCTCACCCCACACTCCTCTTTATTGTCCTCAGGCGATGATCGTAAATATTCTCCGGAGAAGAAAAAGACTAAAATAGGGCTCGTCCGGGAGTTGAACCCGGGACCTCTCGCACCCTAAGCGAGAATCATACCCCTAGACCAACGAGCCGTACCTTCAATATCTGCTGAATAAAAACAATTTATTGGTAATCGAAGTAAAAAAATGTCAATCAAATGACATATTTAACTATCAACTATATGGTTCTGTTGTAATTTTAAGAAAACACGAACTTTTTGGCAGCAAACTAGCTTCAGAGTCTCCTCTCAATTGATGCACAAATAAATGTACGCTGAGGCAAAAGACTAAATAAGGAATGGAATTGTGAAAAAGTGCCTCAAATAACGCCCTCAACGTACTTCATAAATATCTCACATCCAGTCATTGCTACCGTTTGTTAATATCCACAGCAGTGGCGTCTTCGTATGCTCTGCTTTAGACATATGACGTTCAATGGGCGTCAAGCAAAATAATGACTAAAAAAAAAAAAAAAGAAAAGAAAAAAAAAACGACTTGCACAAAGACTCTTTGGTGACATTGCTCTAAATAAGAGGAGAAATGTACAGGAATAACAGGGTTTTTACTTTTCTGAATGTTCACGCGCTTTCGTCTAATTTGCCCTCTTCAAACGGTTGAAATATTTTTAAACAAGGAAAAGATAAAGCAGGGCTCGTCTGGGAGTCGAAACCTGTGTTATGGACAACAGCGCGTGCCGTGTTAGATCAACCATTACAGCTTAATTAGTGCACGCGCAGTAAATCCAGGTAACCTTTAGAATTACCTGGTCAATCAGGGGAAGCCAATAGATAAAGGATAAGCGTACCTGGGCGAGATGATACTATCAGTAATTTCCTGTCCTTAAATTTCACAGTTTGGACGACAATTATGTTGTCAGTTTTTACTAAGTACGATCTATTATTTTTTTTTGTTTTTGTCATCTTTAATCTACAATACTTAAATATTTCAAATGTTTTTCTATATTCCATATTCATATGCTCATTTTTATGTACGCACATGCAGTAGCTACAGTGTTTTGTGAATGGGTAATGCGGAGGTAGATAACAAATACATTAATGAATGTTGTTAATTAGACACCATCTTTCTGTTACGTATCAAGTTGCTTATTAGAAAAGGGACAGTAAGCTTTTCTTGACAAACAATCTTTATTTAATAAGTCTAGTAATATGTTGCAAAACACAGGAAGGAAAATCGTAAAACAAAGTTTCAACTTCTCCATAGTGTCTCAATGTAAACTAAATTATCACTCCACAGTCTCCATGGTTTCCAGTTTTTGCTACCACCCATAATTTTTTTCGAAGAAGAAGAAAACGAACAGGGCTCGTCCGGGAGTTGAACCCGGGACCTCTCGCACCCTAAGCGAGAATCATACCCCTAGACCAACGAGCCACACATCCCTATCTCAAAATTTCAAAGAATCACGTTTTAATTTCAAATTACCGTCCATGATATACCTTGAGGAAATTTTAAAAGGTTTAAGATAAAAGCTTATAAAATGACAGATTAGTCTAACCTATTCGTATCCTTTTCGTTTCTGTTTGCTGTACTAGTTTTTATTAAATAACTTGGGAAATAAATTATTTAGACCTGATATTTCAAAAGCTTGTGTAAGGTTCTTTAGGAATTGTTCGTCTTGAATGTCACAGCTGGGAAAGATAAGTTGATACTCAGGAGCTTTTTGATATTAACTAGATGCGACTTTCTGACATTTTTAAACGCGTATATACTGTTGTCCGTAGCCACATTAAAAAGGCGATTTAATTTTCAAATTATTAATATTCAGGTAACTGAGAAAAAATTCCATATTATTTCTGTCGAGAATAAAATGTTTAGCAGAAAGCTTGCAGAACTTGACATGTCGTTCTTGTCTAATAATTTTAGTCCTCTATTCATATACTTAAGACAAAAACAAATTTTCCTTCTTACGAATCAGTGTTAAATTTTGTGATTTCAGTTCTAAGTTCCAAGCAAATCATGGTTTAATAAGACCGCCCTAGACACTGGCATTCTAAAGTAGATCTAAAGTAGATATAAGTAACTGAGCAATTTCACCCCACCCCATTTCATTCAAAACAATATACTATGGTTTATAAAATAACAATTTATTTACATTCACATAAAATATTAACAATTTATTTACATAAACAAACTTAACAATATTGACAGGACGATGTTGGCATTAATCAAACACAATAATCTTTTTGTAGATTAATTACTGCGTCGGTAATTCAGTTGACAAACAGCTGTCAGTCAGCAATATATTGGTGTCTTTATAATCCACGAGTTAGGGTTAATATTGGTTTTATCTTTGAAAGTAAATTGTCACTAGCGCATCCAGAAATTCGCAAAAGAATATTCTTCACAATTTTCCCGGCATCTTTAAACATTTGAAACAGTTGACTTGATCGTGTCTCCTATATTGCAGGTCCCGCCATGGAGGAAGAAATAACCCCGCCGTGCCACTGCTTAGATCAGCTGTTGACTAAAGACTCTCAGTTATATAGGCCCACACAAATTATTGTCACAAACATTGTTCAAAACCAATTCAATTCTCTGTCTAAAAAAAGCTTTACAACACAACCGAGACAAAAAAACTCTACAACCGATGGCGCTGTGGATACTTGCTCACATCCGGTAGTAGTACATCTTCACTTGTGGAGCTGAAGGAGAGAGAAATATACATAAGATTTACTGTGCTACGATTATTTGTATCCTAGGGCAAGCGCAATTAACTAGTCCTTTTGCGTATAATGTAACTTTCTTGTATAATAATACTTAAAATTTAATGACAGAAATTAGAAATGACTAGAAATTAAACGATATCCAATAATGAAATTTAATTTGAATGATAGTACATTGACACCTTTGATTTGTAATAAGAATTTGCATAATAAAAATATCGCATCGTTACATCTCAAATGTAGAATACTTACATTTCAGTGTGTCTATTGTAGCTTTCGTTTGGCGCCATCTAGTGGGTCTGTCATGGTAACGTCTTACACAGCGAGATGCCCCCCAGTGACGTTAAGGTGTGATTCCTCGCCAATCTACACGTGATCATAACTCGTTGACGTTCGTGGTCTTACGGCTGACGGAGCAAGTCGTAAACTTGTCCACGGCGTTGTCTGTGATGTTGATGTTCAGGTTGCTTATTTTCTTCTCCATAGCTGGGGCACGTGACTGGTTAAGAGAGATGGTGGTATCTATAGAAAATATAAGGAAAATATAAGACACCGGACCACGATTCAAATCCCCAAAACAACAAATATTTGTAATAAATTAAAAATAAAAGAATGCAATCGGATACAAAACTATGGTAACAGGAATAATTTGGTCGTGCGTAAATTTGTAATGTATTCTTACTGCTGTGAGTAGTCACTGGATTACATGGGATTTATAGCAAAACTATATGGTATTTATGTGTTTTGTAAAATTATGTAATTCCTTACCCGCTTTCACATATTCCATATCCGTTTTAACCTGGTTTGTGTTCTTGGTAGATGCTTTCATTGTTACAGATCCACAGAATTTGGCTTTGCTCAGCATTTTCTTGACTTTCACCAGAAAAGAACCTAAAATAAATTAAAATAAGTAAATCATACTTACTACGTTACACCAGAACACACTGGCACAATTACCATACCGTCAGGCGACTATGAGGAGAGGTGTATGAGGAGCCTTACACCAAAAAGCCCTTATAAACAAACTATTCTCATACTAGTTAGTGCATTCAAATCTTACCTTTTCCTTTCTTTTTGTCATCTTTCACACCAGAGGGAAACAATCCATGCGGTGATGCAGTCCGCCTGCTAATCACCTGAAATAAACGAAAATATCGAATCATGATAGGATAACGATATGTTCTTGTCACTTTTACCATCATTGTGCGTTTGTCGAACTAACTAAAACAACACACAGTGACCATTGCTATCAAAACAAAATTTATAAGCTTACCAAAGCGCGATTTTGTTAAGACATACAATTTCCAAACGAGTATTCCAGCTTGCTACATTTTGTAAACTTTCAGCAGCATTTGTGTTGGCAAGTAGATGGAAAAATATCTTCGTAAATTTATGATCTAATTACACCTCACTCACCATATTAACTGTGTTGCCGCACTCCTTCAGTACTTGAATAGCTGTAGACTGGTCAACGCCGTCGAAGGAATGGCCATTCACACTCAACACGCGGTCATTCAATCTAGCAGAAAGAGAAATAGGAACTCACATAAAAACATGTGACATGATACTCTAAGAAAGAGCATGAAAATGCTTGATGATTTGTGAATGTATGTATACATAAATATTATTGAAAAAATATGAAATTTGTGCGCTAAGAAGAAAACAGTATGTAACAAGGGTACTTTGACTTATTCTAAAATTTGGACTAAAATGTGTCTTAAATAACTATAACCTTTTCTCAGTTATGATATTGATAACACCTATACTTTAATTAATACTAAAATATACTTACCGTAACTTTCCCTCAGCTGGTCCGATCTTGATGACATCAGAGACAATAATGGAAGCAGAAGCATTACATGGACTGTCAACAACACCACTCACGGCTATACCAAAACCCACCACTGGAACCTAGATAAACGAAACGAAATTTATTAATTTTTTTCCTTGCACACGAAAACGTGACATTGATAATAAATTGCGTCACTGGACTCCGATTTCATCTAAAATATGATCACAAGGGAAGAGCATTAACTACTACGATGCGAAACTGAAACAGGTAATAGTGTGACTATCGTTATTGGTTGCTTGGGCTTTACCAGCTTTACATGGTCATATTCTCCCAGTGTCACTAATCTCATATTCAGAAACAATTAAACAGAATTTTTATTTTAATTATTTGTGTCCCCACTGCAGTCGTGAAATGTGTTGAATAATAAACAGGGCATCGTCAAAACTAATCCTCCTTTAATAGAAATCTACTAGACAATGTATAGGGTGCATAAACTCACCTTTCTCAACTGCACACAATGCAACTCACACACTTCTTCTTCCACCTTAAAAAATGAATAAAAATTGATTACTACATCATTTAATGCGGAACACTTCATACCAACAGCGAATAAGATTAAATCAAGTAATAAAATCAGGATTAATGCCCATATTTATTTAATACAACGTTCCCAAATACAACAATTAATGGTGAAAAGTTTTTATTTTGACAATTCCTGCGACATATGGACAAGTAGCTGTCACCATGAAAAATGTCAGGGTAGAATATCATATTTTACCTGCTTCTTTGCTTCTCCAACAACGTTACACATCTTCAACTTCATCTTTTTCTCTTTGACTAAATTTCTATCACTAGTGAACGACAAGACTGCATACAAGTATGACAGAATGTGAACTGACTGCAGATGGTTGACCACGCGTGCTATTTATACCTTGATTCCTCCAGATCATGCTTGTTGAGGCACGTGCCGAGACAGCCAATCAGATAACAGGTTACTGGACGGCTGAGCGCGTGCCGTGTGAGATCAACCTTAACAACGTAATTAGTGCATGCGCAGTAAATCCAGGTAACCTTTAGAATTACCTGGTCAATCAAGTGAAGCCAATAGATAAAGGATAAGCGTACCTGGGAGAGATGATATTATCAGTAATTATTTCGTTAATTATGTTGTTAGTTACTGTTAATAGTCTCGAAACGATTTAGTTTTTCTTTCTTTTTCTTATTTATTCCTTTACTCTATTTTACTTTTTAATACTTTCAGTTCCAATTTTTATTATGTTATTTTTTACATATATTTATTTTTGAAACATATGCTTGTGCAGGAACAGCAGTGGCAAATATACTCCACAAACGGGTAATGCATGCAGAGGGAAGTGGCAAAATAAACAGCGCCAGAAAGACAGTTACGTCTCCGTTTGCTCTGATTGACTCAAATAAAGAAAAACGGGCTTTAAGAAAAATTATAACTTGCGCAAAGACCTTTGAGATAACCTGTCATAAATGAGAAGAGAAATCACAAGATTGAAGGATTTCCCTTTCCCCTGAATGATAACCCTACCGTCCTTTTTGCCCTTTGGTGATGAAAAAGAGAAACAAAGAACAACAGGGCTCGTCCGGGAGTTGAACCCGGGACCTCTCGCACCCTAAGCGAGAATCATACCCCTAGACCAACGAGCCACTTTGTTACCTAAGTAAAAGGCCTATAAAAAAAACAAATGAAAATTGTTTAAAAATGTACTTCAATAAAATACTATAAATGTCTCAAATGAAGTCACTGCCATCGCTCCTTAATAATCAGTGACGTCTATGTATGCTGTGCTTTTTAAAAATGAAAATAAAATGGGCGTTAGGAAAATTAATGATTTGCTCAAAGGGTGGTGAGGTTGCCTGTCGTAAATAAGAGGAGAAATGTACAAGAACAATAGACTTCCCTTTTTCCTGAATGTGGACGCGCTTTCTTCTAATTTGCACTCTTCAAACGGTGGCAATATTCTTCAAACAAGAAAGTAAAATCAACAGGGCTCAGTGAAAGATATGGGGGGGGGGGGGGGGGGGGGTCCTGACCCCTCTTCGATTCTGAATAAAATGACACCAATGGTCCCTTCTTGAAATTAGAATTTTGACTAATAATAATGATAATATTTATTTCTTAAAAACCACACTGCACTACCGTCTCAGTGCTGTTTACAAATAAAATTTCCAAATTACAAGTAATTATATAAATAAGAAAAGCTGAAGTGAATAAAACAATTAAAATGATAAATGCTGGTTATAATAGAAACAGCCTATAAAATGAAACTTTTTCTGATAAAATGAGAAAATATATAATTTCAAGTATTAAATTTTAAATTAAACAAACAAAGTAGCTGAATCATAGTTGCACGACTGAGCGCGTGCCGTGTGAGACCAACTGTACCAATATAACTAGAGCACGCGCAGTAAATCCAGGTAGCCTAGGTATTACCTGGTCAATCAAGTGAAGCCAATAGATAAGCGTACCTGGGAGAGATGATATTATCAGTAATTATTCACAGTTTGGACGGCAATTATGTTGTCACTTTCTGCTAAGACCCAGTACGGTCTATTTATTTATTTATTTATTTATTTATTTTTGTCATCTTTTCCGAAACTTATGGAAAAGTTTAAATGTTAAATACTCCATGTTTTTTAATGTTCAGTAGACATATCTGTGAATATCTAGTAAAAATCATTCTGTGGTCCTGGTTGGGGGGTATCCCTAGACCAACTAGCCACGTGTACGGGTTTTTGTGATGAATAATTTCAACATTTTTAAATGAATTCCAAATGGTGAACATAACCAGACGTATTGTAAATGGCTAATGCACGCAGAGGCAAATGAAAAAATTAATAAATATTGTTTATTAACCATCGTATCACTGTTAATGCTGGCAAGAAGATAAATGGAAAAAATACCTATCGTTCATAACTTAGAGATCAGAAGTAAGTTGATAGGAGGAATGAGAAGAAATTTCAAAACAAATTAGCTGCTCAGTATAAAAATCGGTGTGATAAGAAATTGTGACTTGCACTTACATATGTTGTTTTGTCTGTCCTACGACAGAGGAGAGTAGAAAAAGATCAGTTCACTCCCCGCTGAATGCTAACCCAACCTCCTCTTATTTGTCTTCTAGAAGCGGTCTTGAATACTATTCGAAGAAAAATCTAACAGGGCTCGTCCGGGAGTTGAACCCGGGACCTCTCGCACCCTAAGCGAGAATCATACCCCTAGACCAACGAGCCACGTTAATATAACCGATCTATACACTAATTTCCAATGATAACGTATACATTTCAAATGATGTCTTTTTTACCTCTTCTAATAAAATGGACAGGAAATATCGAACGTTTCAAACGTTTATGAAAGGTATTTTTATTTCCTTTCATCGTCTGTACGATCACAGCTAGGAATAATAAGCTTTGCAGAAGTGTTGTCAACAACAAAATGCATAGATTTCTGCAGACAAGAAAAAAAGTAATTTTGTTATTGAATATCTGAAGTTAATTGATTCAGCAAGAGGTTCAAATGAATACTGTCGAAAATGATGTCTTAGAAAAACAAAGTTTTCAAAAGAAAGATTATAGCACCTAAATTATAATTTTCAGTAAACGATTCATATCCTGAAGTAACAAAAAATCCTTCTTACGAATCTGTGTTGAATTTTACTCTTTTAATCAAACAACTTAGTTTCAATCAATATTTACTAACACCGCCTGGTAACTAATATATAGGTACTTGACGAATTTCATCGCTTTTAAGGGCATACTAAAGGAAAAACAAGTAGCTTTCCCCATTCAACTCAAAACAATATACCATGATTTTAGAATAACAATTTATTTACATTCAAGTAAAATAATTATAACAATTTATTTACAGACAAACAAACTTAACAATATTGACAATACGATGTTGGCATTAATCAAACACAATAATCTTGTTCTAGATTAATTACTGCCTCCGTAATTAAGCTTAACAATATTGACAAAATGATGTTGGCATTAATCAAACACAAGATTATTTTCTGACGTTATAATTCAGTAAACAAACAGCTGTTAATCAGCAATATACTGTAATGTACAAAATAGGTTTAATATAGGTCTTATCTTTGAAAGTGAATAGTCACTAGCGCATCCAGATTGCGCATCGGCACAAGAGTATATCTTCACAATTTTCACGACATTTTTGCACATTTGAAACAGTTGACTCGAAATCCGCTAGATCTTGTCTCCTATATTCTTAGTTATATTCTTAGTTATCCCAGGAAGAAGGAAAAAGGAAGAACATACAAGCCCGCCGTGAAGCAGCTTAGATCTGCCGATGACTAGAGACTAGAGTAATATAATATATAGAGTAATATATAATAAATTAATCATCGTCACAAATATTGCTCTGAACCAATTCCAAGGTCTCCTCATACGCAGTCCTGCAGAATAATTGTTTGCTGAACCCTTGGTGTTATAAGGGTAGTGAGTGAAACGGCACGTTGGCTATTCGTTCATCTTTCTCGGAGGAAACGCGTTGGACCGGGGATAGCATCATATTTCTTACACCCGCTGTAGTACATCTTCACTTCTGGAAGTAAAAGAAAGAACAATGTACATGAGATTTACCGTGTTACGAGGTATCCAAGGCCAAGTACAACTGACACGTCCCTTTACCTTTAATGTAACTGTTTTACTTGAGATGTTAAGAATCAACTTTGAATAAACAGCAGTGAGACTGCATTTTTGTTCGACTTGAATTCAAATCAAGAGCACAGATTAGGACATCGAATGCCACACGATACATCTCAGATGAATATCTGCATGATACTTACATTTCATTGTGTCTAAGGGAGCTTCTTGTCACGGTCTGGCGCCAAGTGGGTCGGTAGCGAGATGCCCCCGGTGACGTATAAAAGAGATCATAACTCGTTGATGTTCGTGGTCTTACGGCTGACGGAGCAAGTCGTAAACTTGTCCACAACGTTGTCTGTGATGTTGATGTTCAGATTGCTTACTTTCTTCTCCATGACTGACGCTTGGGAATGGTTAGGATAGATGGTATTATCTGTAGAAGAAATGTTAAACACCTCTCGTTAATCGTTTATATATAGAAACGGACTTGGATACATTTTATAGCAATATTAACCAAACACTACACTAGCGTGCAGTTTGATTTGCTATGTACACTGTACTTAAGCCGCTGTGAGTTGACACTGGTTTTTGCAAAATATTTACTGAAATGGATATGTGTTTTTAGAACTGTGCGTTTTCTTACCTATTTTTTTATATTCCATGTAAGGTTGATCCAGGTTTGTGTTCTTGATAGGTGCTTTCTTTGTTACAGATCCACGGAATTTGCCTTTAGCTTTGCTCAGCATCTTCTTGGCTTTCCCCAGAAAAGAACCTGATAATAAATTGAAACATGTAAATTATTTACAACAACTAGCAAATTAACGCAAAAATTGATACCATCACAACGTCGCTCCGGAACATAATGCCACAACTAATACACTACAACTAGCCACTATGAGATTGTCAACACGATTGTCTACAAACTGGAAAGCGGGTTTAAGACAAAGTCAAATCGCGACAGAGACATACATAAGGTATATTGCAAATTTAAGCGTTAAATCTTACCTTCACCTTTCTTCTTGTCATCTTTCACATCAGAGACATTTTGACATGGTAATGCAGTCGACCTGCTAATCACCTGAAACAAACAAAAATCACGACTCAAGAAGTTTTCGCTTTAACTGCCATTGTGCGTTTGTCAAATATCAGAATAAACACGCTATGTTTTACATATTGCCACAATTGTCCATCGTTTGCTTAAGTATATACCATAGTGTAATTTTGTCCATGCGATTGTCCAGGATTCATTGTTTTGCTTTTGGCATTATATAGACTTAGAGCAACTAGATGATAGCGAGTAGACGAAGAAATCTTTTCGTAATTTTGATATCAAAAAACACCCTACTCACCATATTAACTGTGTCGCCGCACTCCTTCAGTACTTGGATAGCTGTAGACTGGTCAACGCCGTCGAAGGAATGACCATTCACACTCAACACGCGGTCATTCAATCTAGCAGAAAGAGAAAGGGGTGGATTAATAAATTAACAAAATAAATAAGTTCACTGATTTCTGATTTCACTATTTTTGCTAAGAAAGAACATACAAATGCCTGCTGGTTAATGACTTGCTTACATAATGAAAATACTTGAGAAAACAGTGCGTGATAGTGCGTAATAGTACTTTGAGCAGATTTTAACTAAAATTTGTACAAAAACGCGAACATGAGAATGTTGTTACTTACTGTAACTTTCCCTCAGCTGGTCCAATCTTGATGACGTCAGAGACAACAATGGACGTAGAAGCATTACAAGAACTGTCAACAACGACACTCACTGCTATACCAAAACCCACCACTGGAACCTAGACAAACGAAATGGATTTTCTTAATATTTCCCCTTTTAATCATTGATGGAAAAGTGACGTTGATAATAAATTAATGTCATCAATATTTCGTCACTGGTCACTCCGATTTCTGGTCCCCTGGACGAAGGCACCCATAGCGATGCGAAATTAAAACAGGTAATTGTCTTTCCTTAAACCGAGTAAAAATCATGGTCATGTTCTCCAAACATCATATTCAGGATCAGTTATATATAATGATTATTCCTTGTCAGTTACTCGGTACTACATCAACTCCACTGCGGGCGTGTATTATGTCGTACTATAAACAGGGGAAAATGTCGCCGCAAAAACTACTTAAAATTTAACTACTTAAATCTATCAGAAATTGCGCCATGTACGATCGGTTACGCGTAAACTTACCTTTCTCAACTGCACAAAACGCAACTCGCACACCTCTTCAACCTTGAAAGGAAGGATTCAAATTATTATATTACTTGTACAGAACACTTAATAAAATTAAATTAAACCAAGCAATAAACTGAAGGTGAATGCGTTGCTATATCCATTAAATACATTTTTATTTTAATAATCTTTTAATAGTTAAAATGATGCTTAGTTTTTATTGTTTGCAAATGTATAATCAGGTTTGATTTGTTGCTACGTCCTTCGACATATGGACAACATGTAGCTGTCACCACAAAAAAATTCAGGTTAGAGTATCATGTTTTACCTGCTTCTTAGCTTCTCCAACAACGTTACACATCTTCAACTTCATCTTTTTCTCTTTGAGTGTATTTCTGTTAATAGTGAACGACAAGACTGCATACAAGTATGACAGAATGTGAACTGATTGCAGTGGATTGACCACGAGTGCTATTTATACCTTGATTCTTCCAGATCATGCTTGTTGAGGCACGTGCCGAGACAGCCAATCAGATAACACTTTACTGGACGACTGAGCGCGTGCCGTGTGAGAACAACCTTAACAACATAATTAGGGCACGCGCAGTAAATCCAGGTAACCTTTAGAATTTCGTGAAGCCAATAAATAGAGGATAAGCGTACCTGGGAGGGATGATATTATCAGTAATTACCTATTTCACAGTTTGGACGACAATTATGTTGTCAGTTTAGGCTAAGACCCATTCACAATTTTCATTAAAAAAAATTTTAACGAAATGTTTATCATTTTTCGAACATTTGCAGAAATACTTTACCTTTTAATTCTAATTTATTTTTCGCATTCCATTGATCTTCATGTGTAATTTTTTGCCTTCTTTTGTCAGCATGTATTTCCTCTTTTTTATTTTTACACGTTAAAAAGGAAGGTAGTGGACCTTAAGTATTAATCACGATATGGAAAAGTTATGCAATTATAATAATTTTTCAATTTTCATTTGATTTGGTAAAAAATACTTTGCATTTTGGTTATTTTTTAAGCCGACCGAAGAAAGATTAATTCACAGTGTGCGATTTTAAGAGATAGAAAAACTAAAGACAAGTGACAGAAACCCATCTGGCAATGTCGCCACATAATTTTTCATTATAAATAATCAATAAAACAATAAAATTTTGAAATTACGGGGGTACTTTTGAAAGGTACTTTTAACTTTGACCTACTATACGACCCATGAAGCAAGTAAGTGTTATGGGTTTTCGCGTCTTCGTGTTATACGAAATATACTTATACTTGAGAAACAAACATTGGATGCAGAAATTTATAGGCATCTGCTCAAAATTTTGTACAGTAAAACAAAACAAAACGTCAAAATTATTTACATGAGTAAATAACAACAAAGTCAACTCTTTGACTGTAACTCACAGATCGTTAAAAAAAGACCCAAATTATATTGCATAATTACATATATTCACTGCACTCAACTTTACTTTTAAAAATGTATAACTTCATAAAACTCATGATCACTTCTTTATATAACAGATATATTTAAGGTATTCTAAAAGGGGGGCAAAATGTCAATAGATTTTTGGCTCTTTACTCTTGAATTAGTGCATCTTTTACCACTTTGTCATTTCTTTGGTGGATGTCTAAATACGGTCTTCCGATTTTGTGACTTGAACATTGTAAACATGTTGCTCATTTAAGTTTACAGTCCCTGACGAAGGCATATGATCTTTAAGCTTGGATTTTTCTTATTTCCTTTTATTAGTTGATTTATATAGATCCCAAATGACTTGATTTGTCAGAGATTGTGTAAATTGTATTACGTGATACCCGACTTTAACAATATACTGCGGTCTTCAGCTGTGTGTAAATGTGTAATATAATGGTTTAGTCTATATGGTGTCCCTCGATATCGCCTCAAACCATTTCCATTTCCGTAAGTGTAAATTTTGTTTGTAGATGTCGATAAAAAGTATTAATAAATAAATATTGATGGCCGTTAACCACACTAAATGTGCGAAATATTCGTAAGCTGCCAGTAAAAAAGTATAACTCTTTGTCCTTGTATTTTCCGGTCAGACCTTAGGACTACTTGGATAAAAAAAAAACGTTATACGTTATATTCGTCCAAGTTTAAGCTAGGACCCATTTCTAGCCTAGGTTTAATGCAACGTTCAGGTACGCAATTAAAAGCTGGTGGACTGGGCGCGTGCCGTGATATCAGCCAGAACAATAAGATTAGTTCAAGGCCAGTGAATCCAGGCTTGGACACAGAGTTTGATGGGTATTGTATTTTAATAATTTACCTGGTCAATCAATGAAGCCAGGATAACCCTACCAGAGAGAGATGATATCACCAGTAATTAACAGTCTTGTAATTTCACAGTTTGGACGGCAATTATGTTGTCAGTTTTTTGCCCTGGACCTAATACGCAGTGAAGTCTAGATTTAAGAGGCAATATTCACCATTTCCCCCAGACTCACTTGCTGAAATGTTTTATCTTCTAATTAAAAAAAGATTCGTTACACTTTCATTCACTTTTTTCAAAAACCACTTTTAATGATAAACATACTGCCCGAAATTAAATCATTTCCGTGTCTTGTGGACAGGCTTATTCTGCTTCTTTTCATTTTTTACAAGTGCAATTAAATTCTTTAGCTTAAAAATCTGAACTTGAATAAGCTATATTATATTAATCAATGTCAGTATTCACTTTTATTTTGCTAATAAAATCGCTTGCGTTGCCTTTCTACTGTTTTCTGTATTTAGTCAAATGTAAGAAGAGTTCGATTCACAGTATGCATATAAGGGGCTAGTTTGTCAATGGATTAAACGTAGATAAGTGCACTAGAATACTGTTTATCATTCTGTGTAGGCGCTGCTTAATTCTATTTTTTTTACAAAATAAAAAACAATGACAATTAAAATCTGAATGAGATACTTGACAGAAAAATATGTTAAACTAGAGGATCAGAGAGGCGATACCGNTTAAAGCTTGGATTTTTCTTATTTCCTTTTATTAGTTGATTTATATAGATCCCAAATGAAATAAATTGCATTACGTGATACCCGACTTTAACAATATACTGCGGTCTTCAGCTGTGTGTAAATGTGTAATATAATGGTTTAGTCTATATGGTGTCCCTCGATATCGCCTCAAACCATTTCCATTTCCGTAAGTGTAAATTTTGTTTGTAGATGTCGATAAAAAGTATTAATAAATAAATATTGATGGCCGTTAACCACACTAAATGTGCGAAATATTCGTAAGCTGCCAGTAAAAAAGTATAACTCTTTGTTCTTGTATTTTCCGGTCAGACCTTAGGACTACTTGGATAAAAAAAAAAAAACGTTATACGTTATATTCGTCCAAGTTTAAGCTAGGACCCATTTCTAGCCTAGGTTTAATGCAACGTTCAGGTACGCAATTAAAAGCTGGTGGACTGGGCGCGTGCCGTGATATCAGCCAGAACAATAAGATTAGTTCAAGGCCAGTGAATCCAGGCTTGGACACAGAGTTTGTATTTTTGGGTATTGTATTGGTATCTGGTAGGGTATTGTATTTTAATAATTTACCTGGTCAATCAAGTGAAGCCAGGATAACCCTACCAGAGAGAGATGATATCACCAGTAATTAACAGTCTTGTAATTTCACAGTTTGGACGGCAATTATGTTGTCAGTTTTTTGCCCTAGACCTAATACGCAGTGAAGTCTAGATTTAAGAGGCAATATTCACCATTTCCCCCCGACTCACTTGCTGAAATGTTTTATCTTTTAATTAAAAAAAAGAATCGTTACACTTTCATTCACTTTTTTCAAAAACCACTTTTAATGATAAACATACTGTCCGAAATTAAATCATTTCCGTGTCTTGTGGACAGGCTTATTCTGCTTCTTTTCACTTTTTACAAGTGCAATTAAATTCTTTAGCTTAAAAATCTGAACTTGAATAAGCTATATTATATTAATCAATGTCAGTATTCACTTTTATTTTGCTAATAAAATCGCTTGCGTTGCCTTTCTACTGTTTTCTGTATTTAGTCAAATGTAAGAAGAGTTCGATTCACAGTATGCATATAAGGGGCTAGTTTGTCAATGGATTAAACGTAGATAAGTGCACTAGAATACTGTTTATCATTCTGTGTAGGAGGCGCTGCTTAATTCTATTTTTTTTTTACAAAATAAAAAACAATGACAATTAAAATCTGAATGAGATACTTGACAGAAAAATATGTTAAATAAATACAACCAAAAAACAACAGACAGTGGATATAGAAATTCTTTGTTTTAATCTGATTCGCTTTCCTGACCATCTGTACAAAACTGTGTACAATCTTGGACATGATGACGCAATTTTGTTCATGGTACAATGAAACAAGAGTGTTGAATATACAAATATAATATCAATGTAGGTACACCCCAGGAGTTCATGGTCATGCTTTACTGTGACTTTCATCACATTAATTGCAGCTTTCCCAATATAAATATCAATTTTGGTATAAAAAGACAATAACGAGCAACTTAAAAGTCACAATACATACAAGTCAAATACATTTACATATGTACAAATATTTCTCTCTCCTGTTTGCTTTATCACTGAATTCAACACTCTGAGTGTAAATCACAGATTTGTTAAAAAAAGACACCAAATAGCCTCTCAGCACAGTGCTTTATGAGAAAAATTCACTGTACCTCAATTCTCTTCAGTTATCAAACTCAAAAGTGTCTATACTACATATAAGTCATTTTTCAATACAACAGAATTAAAATATTAAAAGGGAATTATAAATGTCAGTTGATACTTTTTTGTCTTAATACTATTCTTTCTGTCAGATAATTAGTCTTTTTTGTTAATATTAAAATGTCTTCAGAGATTGTATAAAAAGACAAAAGACAACACGCCTTGTTCATCAACTTTATATACATGTGTATGATGCAGTTCAATCCCCAGGTGTATAAATGAAAACACCTGGCAATTCCATAATTCAAGGAAGGACAAAAACCAGCCTCGAAACTAACAACTCACCAATTGGAAGAAATCATAATGTCTACATAGTTATCTACTATCACTCTCATAAATGGAACTGAAGGAAAATAGTTTGGCCCAAAAGTCCATGTATAAACAACACTGTAAACTTTTCTAATAAAAAATAAAATGAAATAAACAGTAAAATGATAAAATGAAAAAAAAAAAAATAATAATAAAATAAAAGAAAGAAAGAAAAAAAACAGAAATACCAACACTGTATTAACTTTTTGCAGTCACTTAACGAAAAAAACAAACTTCTTCACAATAGCAAACAATTATGTTCACACACACACACACACACACACACACACACAAAAGGCTGGCATTTACCAACTGAACACAAACAGTACAACCTTAGTAAGACAGATACAGAGGAATACTATTAACTTTTAAATATTCTTCTCTTTCCTCATGGTTACTGGTTTCTAGACTGTAATTGCTAGCTCTACTGCACACCTAGACCCTGAGTATATTGGACAGGACACAATGGGGGAGCCAGGGAAACTGCAACGTAGTGTTTATCCCCAGGTTATGTAGTCAGTAGCAAATGAATTAGTATTCTATGGAATTGGATGCTTGGAATTCCTCTCCCCCCCCCATGCTGTGGATACCCCTTCTACAGCAGAAGGAGATGGAGCTAAATCTTTTTAATTTGTCAAACTTTTTTAATTTGCCCCCTTTATCCAACAGAAAAATAAGCTTGTACCCTTCACCTAAATGAGGAGTATTTGACCACAGAACTGATTGATTGAGTTAATCAGTTAGAAATCCTAGTGTAATTACATGTTAAGACCAGTTCAAACACTGCAATACAGATAAATATATCCTATGATTTGACAGAGGGGCCAGAGACAAAACCCTCAGTGCACATCCTTTAGCTGGTATACTGAATTGGTCATCAACATCTGAATTCGCCACCGCTGGGGAACAAGCACATGGTTGCCAATACTAGTTATTTTCGCAAAGTCTCTGTGCTTTCATGTTGCTGCCCATTGTTTGCAAGTGTTATCTTACTGTTGATAACACAACCAACAATACATTTTACCCACATCTCTGTGTGTACTGTAATACTGGCAGCCTGCAAGAATCTCACTCTACACCTTTATCATCAGCTGAGCTTGTTAAAGTCGCACACAGCATCCAGAGGTTTGGCAGGTCAGTGTTGGTTTCTAGTGACTTAATTGGTAGAAAATTAATACTAGTGGTAGTAAAACAGTGACGTGAGGAACTTGTATCCTTGGAGAGCTGCTTCCACAGTCTTCTTCTATCCTACGGCCGCTTATCTCAATCTGAAATGATTGAAATACAAGTTGAATTTTTTCAAGTTTTTTTTTCAATTTTATTGTAAATGATTTAAATGACACAGTGGCACAGCAATTTCAAAGTTTTCTTTTCTGAAAAGTGAATGGTGTTCACATATCAACCCATTCTGGAGGAATTGTCCCTCAGTTTCAGAGGTCATAGGAACAGAGGCAAGTTTGCAGTCACCCCTGAAACTTTTTGTATCAAAGAGAAAATGCACATTTTCATATTTTTAATTCTTCAAATATATCAGTAACTGGAATGAAGAAAAAAAACCCTGCATGATCAAAAGATCAATCTTTTCTTCTGTTCATTCAAGGTCACAAAATACAGGCCCGTAGCCAGCAATTTCAGAGGGGGGTTCGTTTTCTGAAAAAGTGGACCTTTTACCATAAATTCCTCAAGTACATATATCAGATTTTACCCAGAGTGGACCTTTTCCCAGCAAAAAGGGTGGTCCTTTCGAACCCCCCGAACCCCTCCTGGCTACGGGCCTGAAATATATGTACCTAAGATTGTTTTATCTTTAAAAAATATTTTAATCTATTTCAGATATTTCAGTTCAATTTGAAAATTCAAACAAAGACATAAGTACACACTTAATTGACTTCAATATTATGTAGAATCAAGTATACAGTTAAATATGTATTTTAACATTCGGTTCCACAATAAATCTAGTCCCCATCTTGACTTTATAAATTGACTGTCCTATATAATTATATTTTCTTTGAAAAAAATCACAATGCATGCAAAAACCTTAGTGCAACACAATACAAACGTAAAATATGTAAGTGTATCGAGACTGGCGACAAACAGAAAGTGTTCAACATGTACACAATCACATAGTATAACACGACACAGTAATGTGCACAATACGCTGGTGGATTCAGGATTTTTGCTGGGGTGGGGTGGGGGCAAGGTTGGGAAAAAAATCTGCCCTGCTAAATTTGCTCGGTAAATATGAAATGATAGATTGGGGAAGACTACCAATATATGTAAGACACAGGGAATATAGCTAGATTTTGTCCCATGTTATTTATTCTACTTTTTTGGGGGTCGGGGTTGGGGGGGGGGGGGGGGTGAGAGGGTGAGTGGATGCTCCTGTTGTGCCCCCCTCCTGATTCTGACAACAAAATGAGTATAAATGAGTGATCTTGCTGTATTAAAGAAGACCGCAATCAGCTGGTCTTTTATATTCTTAAGTGTCAGCCCTTTTCACACTACACACAATTTTCTTTTCAAATTATCTAAATTTCATTTCATATCCCACCTCTGACATATAGCAGACAAGAATACAAAATACATAAATAAACTCGACTCCAATTATCAAGTAACCTAACTGGTACTGCCTTTTACTAGTACATGTTTCATTAAAAATCAGTACAATAATTCCAAAAATATTTTCTAAAAGCAAACAATGTATGCAGCTTTACAATTTTCAAAATAAGACTGGGTTCCCATACCTAGATCTATCTAACAGCATCAATCCATCTCCAAGGGGTTTCTCGCTAAATTGCTTTCAGCTTAAGTGGTTTAGATGTCTCACATGCCTACTGAAGCTGAACGATAATCAATTACTCTCAAGAAGCTTTAGTAGGCTTCACAGACATCTAAGATGCTTAAGTTGATTGCAATTAAGTGAGGATCCCCTTGGATATAGATCGATCCACAGTTAGTAAGATAGGGTCTGGGAATGGTCCCTAAGTATCGAGAGAGAGAGAGAGAGATGAAATGGTGTAATGTGATACCAGAAAACAATTTATCTCACATTTAACTCTCAATTCAAAGCAATATCAAAACTCCACTACAATTCTGCAGAAAATCATAAAACAATGTTCAGTGTGTCAAAGGCATCAAGCAAGCATTCTTATTTGATCTTTTACCTCCTCTTCACTCAAAGAATATTCGTAGTCTTCTAGAAACTAGTTTTTGAGTAAAAAATATACAAAGCTCACATGAAGCACACGCACTCTTCTATCAATCTGCTTAAAGTTATATAGTATGTGTTAGACCTTTATATATATATATATAAAAAACTGGAAATTTCCTCTCATAGTTACATAAGAATTTCATATGTAAAATGAATCAATGGGTGGTAATTTTTTTTAAACAGTTTTGGATATGATGTACCTTAGAGACTGAAGAAAAAGTGAAAATTTTCAGGAAAATAAATTTCTGTCTATACAAAGGTCTGACGCTTATTGTAACAGTATAACATTAACAAACTGCAAAATGGTATTTGGTATTACAATTACAGCAAAGACAGTTGCACATAACAATAACTGATTTAACATTGCACAGCATAATTTTTTTTCCCTTTTTCGAACAAATAGATGATGTTCATTTGTGACATGTTCATATAAAAGATTCTGAAGGGAAAGGTCTGTCTCAAGCAGCAGAATAATTACTAACAACTATGTAATATGTTAAGAGAGAGTTTTAAACTTATTTACTCCATTGCTTGTGAGGTTTTCAATAATTTTTTTAAATAAAAATAATCCTTTTTAAAGATACATACCTGTAATTCATCTGTTAAATTATAACAATGATCTGGTCTCCTTCGGTATTTCTTTAATTTCATAGATTCGCATTCCTGATCATCTTCAAGTACTCAAAGTTAAGGAAAAAATAAAAGAAAAGAAATAAAACTATAAAATAATTATCAGTAATAACAGAGGTATATTTCAATATATTTGTATTTCAGTTTTATCTTTTGGGTCATCTAATTTCTCTCCCTCACTCACACACATGCACACATGTACGCATGCACGTACACTTACGGAGCTGTATTTTTTTTTCTAAACCACAGAAAATGCACTGTTTCAAAGGATATATCTAACTTCTCTAGGCTCCAAACTAATAGGCATAGACTCCTCGCACGTGCACGTTGACTCTACGGCCAGGAAGAACAGGTTGGTGTTACGGACGCGCTGGATGAAAAATGACCTGTAACAACGTATAAGTAAAAAAGGAAATAAGTATGACTCATAAACCTTTACTTTTCCAAGCCATTTAATAAAACAGACATGTATATTTCTTTATTGATTCAAGCACATGTTATAATCTTATATAAAATAATATGATGGCCACAAAAAGTAGTCAACCTTTATGTATAAATGTTATAATTATAATGAATGCAAACCAAAAATTAACTTATTACATATAGCCCATATATTCAAGTTATAGACTGTTTCAATTATATATTGGACAGAAAAATACAGCTTTAATAAAACATAATCAATGTTTTTTTCAAAGAAATATTTTCAGTAGAGCACATCTAAAAAAGTCATCCAAAAAGTTCTTTCACCTGCTGTTCAAAAGATAAATAATTATAGTACTTGGAATATGTTATGATGTTATATATCAGAAGAAGCTCCCATTTTCCAGTAATCCATTGGTTATGAAAAGACATGTAGCTAACGGTTCCAATACTGCATTCTAGTTAAATAATAATTTTCCCATTTCCTTACCCTGAATTTCAAAGCCTAAGGGCGCATTCAGATTCACATATAGTACTAGCTGGTACGGTCCAACTCTGTGGGGAATTACTGCTAAATAGCAATAAGTGAAATCAGCTTAATTGCCTCCTTGGGCAACTAGGGGGTAATTAACCATCGTGCAATGATTAAGCTGATTACATTGATTGCGCTTTAGTGAGAATCCCCTGCAGAGTTAGACCAACCCAGCTAGTATAATTTATGAATCTGATTGCACCCTTGTGAAGACCGACTCCTATAACCTGGGCTATGAGGGCAGACTGCATTGGACGATGAAATTCTGGGCAGTAATATCCCCACAATTTGTGCTATTGATTAAAGATACTAGTAGATGCGCATTCTTAAGCTGTACGTGTTAATGATTGACTGAAAAATTAGGCCGATTTCAAGAAGCCAATTTGGGAAGTGTAAGTGGAAAACTGACTAAATTTCTACTTTTAAAAAATTTTGAGTAAGTTCCATCATGCATCATGTCATCAAATCACACCCCAAATAACAACTTGTGCACTAATACAACTCCACCCAACACCTAAAATTCAGCAGAAGTTGATTTCAATCAACCAGTTGCTTGCATGACCACATGTTATGGGCTCATAATGATGGAATGCAATTGAAAAAAATATTGAAATAGTAAGAGTTAGACCACTGGATTAGATTGGTCTCAATATTATGCCAAGCCTGAAAATCCATGAGGGGCTTTACAAGATATGTGCAGACAAGGATGAATTTAGACCGAGAAGCAGAGGGAAATGAATATGAAATAAATTAATAATAAAATTTTAACATCAAGGTACCATGAAAGTACTAATCTGACCGATCTACCTCTGGTCTAAAGCTGGCCTAGTCTGAACACATCTTGAAGGGAAAGAAATGTCCAAAACACCCAGAAAGTAGCAGATCAGAGCAATGTTCATGTATGGGTCATTCCACAAAATAGTGAACATTTGAGTCATATCTGACAGTGAGGTACATATTTTGTAAATTTTATATGTTATAAGTCTACTAAACAATTAATTGATTTTAGACTTAAATAAATATATTATTACTATATTACAATATTAAAATAATTTTGACTTGCCCAATTCTTTGCTGTATTTTTTTTTCTTAAGTACATACTCTTCAATAAGGAAAGGAACCAAAAGTACTTAAAAATGTGTGTATGACTGATAAGACTCAAATTTTCTTTCTTTTTTTTATTTTGAGGAATGAGCCACCATCAGAAAGTATCACCCCAATCCAAACTGAGCAACCGGGGGCTACTTATCTGGGTCGATAGAACACTCAATTTCACATGCCGTCTCGTTGTCACAGCTATAAATTTTAAATTAAAAATTATATAAATTGTATGTTGTACGTGATCATAAGTGAATAAAGTGTCACCTCTATTATAAATGTATACATGAAATGGTTGGCACATCTCTTATCCAAAAAATGCTAGATTTTGTATTTTAATACATTAATTGGCATATAGATAGAGGAGGGGGGAGGGTAAAAATTGACTAGATTTTTTTGGCTGTGTAATGTCCACCCTGAATAAAAATTTAATCTAGGTTCTATGCAATCAATTATGATAAAATGTCCACTTCTTTTTCGGAAAAAGCCTCCCCTCTCCCTGTTTGAAAACGCTGGCTACGGGCACAAAGCAAAACTACGATGCCTTAGCACATTTGAATTAAAAAAAAAAAGATGGCCCAATATTTTTTGTCAAACCACATGAAAAAGAAATCACTTTAACAGTTAATGTTACTCATCTGCCACCAAATCTAGCAATTTTTGGGGAGTAAATATGAATGAAGTCTGTTGATCATGATAAAATGACAAGCTGAATATTTTTGGTAAAATAATTTGCATTCTCGGCAAGCATGTCTATTTTCAGAATATATACATGTAGCTGAATTTACTTTCTGTTCATGTAACATTTATGGAGTCTCAGAAAACTAGTAGAAATGCCATTTGTTCAATGACCAACACAACTTAAAGAAGAGGCACCAAACATTTCCAATTTTAAAAACAATTACATCGATCTGCAGAGTACACGGCCTTACCTTGTGCACTCCTCGCACTCTTTCAAGATATTTACACTCTCATCGTTCTCTTGCACAGAGTCATAGCGTACAAACACCACTTCGCAGGGCATGTTTATTATTGTAGGAGTTGAAGAGAAGGAAAAATCGTAAGGATTGGTTTCAATTTGGTTACAATACGAGCCTGGGGGCATGGACTCATAGTCTAAATTACTGCAGTCCACTATCTCCTCACCTGTGGGGGCAAGAAATATGGAACAAGNAGTTCCAATACTGCATTCTTGTTAAATAATAATTTTCCCATTTCCTTACCCTGAATTTCAAAGCCTAAGGGCGCATTCAGATTCACATATAGTACTAGCTGGTACGGTCCAACTCTGTGGGGAATTACTGCTAAATAGCAATAAGTGAAATCAGCTTAATTGCCTCCTTGGGCAACTAGGGGGTAATTAACCATCATGCGATGATTAAGCTGATTACATTGATTGCACTTTAGTGAGAATCCCCTGCAGAGTTAGACCAACCCAGCTAGTATAATTTATGAATCTGAATGCACCGTTGTGAAGACTGACTCCTATAACCTGGGCTATGAGGGCAGACTGCATTGGACGATGAAATTCTGGGCAGTAATATCCCCATAATTTGTGCTATTGATTAAAGATACTAGTAGATGCGCATTCTTAAGCTGTACGTGTTAATGATTGACTGAAAAATTAGGTCGATTTCAAGAAGCCAATTTGGGAAGTGTAAGTGGAAAACTGACTAAATTCCTACTTTTAAAAAATTTTGAGTAAGTTCCATCATGCATCATGTCAACAAATCACACCCCAAATAACAACTTGTGCACTAATACAACTCCACCCAACACCTCAAATTCAGCGGAAGTTGATTTCAATCAACCAGTTGCTTGCATGACCACATGTTATGGGCTCATAATGATGGAATGCAATTGAAAAAATTATCGAAACAGTAAGAGTTAGACCACTAGATTGGATTGGTCTCAATATTATGCCAAGCCTGAAAATCCATGAGGGGCTTTTCAAGATGTGTGCAGACAAGGATGAAGTTAGACCGAGAAGCAGAGGGAAAAAATACGTAATAAATTAATAATAAAATTTTAACATCAAGGTACCATGAAAATACTAATCTGACTGATCTCTCTCTCCGGTCTAAACCAGGCCCAGTCTGAACACATCTTGAAGGGAAAGAAATGTCCAAAACACCCAGAAAGTAGCATATCAGAGCAATTTTTATGTCTGGGTCATTCCACAAAATAGTGAACATTTGAGTCACATCTGACAGTGAGGTACACATTTTGCACATTAAATGTCATAACTCTACTGAACAATAAATTGATTTTAGACTTAAATAAATATATTATTATATTACAACATTAAGATAATTTTGACTTGCTCAATTCTTTTCTGTACGTTTTTTTCTTAAGTACTCTTCAATAAGGAAAGGAACCAACAGTAATTAAAAAGTACTTAAAAATGTGTGTATGACTGATAAGACTCAAATTTTCTTTCTTTTTTATTTTTTTTTATTTTGAAGAATGAGCCACCATCAGAAAGTATCACCCCAATCCAAACTGAGCACCCGGGGGTTACTTATCTGGGTCGATAGAACACTCTATTTCACATGCCGTCTCGTTGTCACAGCTATAAAGTTTAAATTTAAAATTATATAAATTGTGTGTTGTAAGTAATCATAAGTGAATAAAACGTCACCTCTATTACAAATGTATATATGAAATGTCTGGCACATCACTTATCCAAAAAATGCTAAATTTTATATTAATGGTTGGCATATTGGTGGGTGGGGGGTTGGGTGGGGAGGGTGGCGGGGTAAAAATGGACTAGGTTTTTTAGCTATGGAAATGTCTGCTCTGAATAAAAATTTGATCTAGGTACTATGCAATCAATTATTATAAAATGTCCACTTTTTTTCAGAAAAAGCCTCCCCTCTCCCTGTTTGAAAATGCTGGCTACGGGCACAAAGCAAAACTATGATGCCTTAGCACATTTGAATAAAAGAAACTGTTGGCCCAGTGTTTTTTTGTCAAACCACATGAAAAAGAAATCACTTTAACAGTTAATGTTACTCATCTGCCACCAAATCTAGCGATTTTTGAGGAGTAAATATGAATGAAGTCTGTTGATCATGATAAAATGACAAGATGAAGATTTTTGGTAAAATAATTTGCATTCTCTGCAAGCATGTCTATTTTCAGAATATATACATGTAGCTGAATTTACTTCCTGTTCATGTAACATTTATGGAGTCTCAGAAAACGCACAAAGATAATGTCTCAAAAGGATAGTAAAAATGCCCTTTGTTAAATGACCAACACACCTTAAACAAGAGGTACCAAACATTTCCAATTTAAAAAACAATTACATCAATCTGCAGAGTACACGGCCTTACCTTGTGCACTCCTCGCACTCTTTCAAGATATTTACACTCTCATCGTTCTCTTGCACAGAGTCATAGCGTACGAACACCACTTCGCAGGGCATGTTTATTATTGTAGGAGTTGAAGAGAAGGAAAAATCGTAAGGATTGGTTTCAATTTGGTTACAATACGAGCCTGGGGGCATGGACTCATAGTCTAAATTACTGCAGTCCACTATCTCCTCACCTGTGGGGGCAAAAAATATGGAAAAATACAATCAGGGGTGTGTGTTTCAGGTGGCACACTGGCAGTCCAACCACTAACACTAAAAGAGAGAAGGCCTGCAGCGATGTGATGTTGTCTCTTTTAGTGTCATTGGTTGAACAGAATATTGGGGGAGGCTGAATCTGATTGTCCTTAGTGATGAATGAAAAAATTCCAAAACACTGTGCCTGAGAAAAGTTGTTTTTAGGATGTGGTCATGTAGAAATAAATTTTAGTTCTACTAAGTAATTCCTAAATGATATCACAAAAATTGCTCAAATTGCTTGTTGAGCATATTTTTTAGTCTGTTTGTGGAAAAAAAATTTTCATGTTCCATTTTAGGAGCAGAGCAGCCTTCCCAAAGATTGGGTAAACCCTACAATATTGGGCAATTTCTACATTCCACTTGTTGTAAAAAAACATTTTTGAAAAAAAAAAAAAAAAAAAAAAAAAACTTTTTGTAAGAAATTGCACCATTGTAAAGTTTACCCTTCTAATCTCTACTTCAACCACACCTTAGCTTGTCTTGCATTGTGTACCCTCTAGTGGGCAGTGCGTGACTTACGTACTTTGAGCAGAACTGACATAGTGGCAGGCTCCTGACCACAGGATCGTACTGATCAGGAAGGTTTAGCGTGGTAAGAGTGCTAACACGGTCACATGGTCGAGTTATTGGCTGCTGAGGGATGTGAGCTACAACAAACATCAACGAGCTACATGTATATCATGGGAGGAGAGCATTCAAGGGTCATTTGAAAAAAAGCAATGATACAAGTTCAAATATATGTATACAATATTCACTTCTAAGCAAGCAAAAGCTATTGGGAAGCATGCAAAGATTTCTGTCAGCTCATATATGTAATAAAAACACTTAATATTTGGACTCTAAAACCACCTTTTGTTTTAACATGTATGACTTTCTAAAATATATTTTTCTTTATTATTTTGTACATTCTTCAGATGTTTGGCATATGGATAGCACACACACACTTTGGGTCAAAGTATTTCAATAAAATTAATCAGTTCATGATAATGTGTTACCTTGTAGAAATTGTACATTATACACCATTTTTATCTCTCTTCCAAAAAAAAAAAAATTGTAAAATGCATAACCCTATATTAGAAAAACTTTCAATTCACTTTTTTTATGTTTTAATACTTCTGATGCCTTTTAAGCAATTCACTTTATCATTTCTGTCTAACCACTTTTGCTCATTCCAAATGCTTATTTATTCCCCCCCTTTAAAAAGATCAGAGCTATTCATCTATTCTAAAACTCATAAAATCAATATGCCTGTAACTCTTTTTAATGTCAAAAGAAAATGCCATTTTTTTTATTAGTAAGTTAGTTGCAAAGAAAGCAGAGCAAACTAAAGACCAGTTAATATTTTTTAGGAATACCAGCCAAAATATGAAATGAGTGTCAACCAAAGATGTTATCAAAATTATTTTTCCAAACACAGCAAACAAATGCACCAAACCGTTAGCACAGCATATAAAAATGTGACAGTAACTATACAAATAGGAAACAGCAAATAAAATCACAGAAATTGCCCAAAATAATTTTTCTTCAATCATGCTCAGTATAAACTTTCCAAAAGAATACAACTGTATGAATTGATATTTTTGACAACCAATTTTACTTTGAAAAGAATCACAATTTTGCAATAAACTTTTTTTTTTTTCTGTTGATTTTTCTTTAGTTTTTTTAGATTCCCACTGTAACAACAGTAATGTGTTTAAGAAAAATAATCCAGAATCACTCATGAAAATCTGTTTTGGCCTGCTTTTTCATACATGTATATGTCATTCCTATCTTTTTATGAAAATCATCACAAAATAATTTGTGATAAAGTTGATATTCAACTTATTCAAAATAATTTTCCATTTCTTCCATTGAAATCAATAGGTCCATTTTTTGGTATATTTCATAAACTGGGCATTTTTGCTTTTCAGTCCACAATGTACCAGTATGCTAAAACTACAAAATAAAACCATTGTCCACTGCAAACAACGAAGCCTTTTCCACTCAAAAAAATGCACTCTAGAAAACACATCAACAAAGGGGACTGAACACAATCACACTCAAAACAAGGCAAATATACCAGGTTGAGGTGCATGTGTGGTCTCTCCTATCAAAATGGGTATCTCGGTGGTAGTTATATTAGGTGTATGCATGTCCGCCATGCCAGTTTCACTTTCACTTTCTTCAGAGCTTAGGGTAGTGGGTTTCAGAGGGGGGAGTACCTGAGTGCACCCACAAGGGTTGTCCATGTAGAGTTGTGCTGTGGGGGTTTCACCTGCGACTTTGTACTTGTTGTTGGTTTCTGTGTTGTTGTTGTAGTTGTTTTGGTGGTGGTGGGTTCAACACTTGTTGGTTTCATTGTTGTTGTTCTGGCTTTTGCTTTTGTGGTTTTAAAATCTGATGCTTGTGTTACAGGCATGGGAACAGTTGTTACTTCTGACATAACATATGAAACATTGTTTGGATCTAGCTGCACAGTTCTCTTTGGTGTGGTGGGAGTATAGTTCTGTTTTCCTGCAGTGTCTGCGTCGACAATGCTACTAACTTGTGCAAGCTTAATGTTAGTGTTGTTAATTACAATGTCGTTCCTTTGCGGTGGGATACTAGCACCTGAGGTGAGCAATAAATAAAAAAATACCATACAATAATGAGGATACAAATGTTGAGGGTGTCATGCAACAATAATGCATATACATTTCATTTCATTAAAACAGTGTGCCTAGGGCCATGGTCTCTTTCTTTCAAATGGTTTCTGAAAGATTGATATATTAGATTGTTATTAAATTGCATGTGTTGAATTTGATTTTGAAGTGGCTTTAAAGGACAGAATAAAACACATGACCTTAAGCACTCCCTTCTCTCCCCCCCCCCCCCAAAAAAAAAAAAAGTTTTACAGCACTCAGTTCTCCATATTGCATCTCCTGCTTTAATTTCATTCCATTTGTGAAAATGCATAAGTATAGGATTTAGGGCAAATACATATTCATATCAAAACATTTTTCTATTGAACTAAAGCAATTATGCAATAATGGATTCTGAAAAAGGAGCACCATAAATGGTCTTTTAGGCAGCGTTTAGAACAGTGGACTAACTAGTTCCATGGTCAAATATGGCCGACCCACATGAATATTTCCCTATGGATAATCTATTCCGTGTCTATTAGCAGATTGGACGGCATAGTTTTTTAGTCGATAACCATATTTGACCTTTGGACTAGTTAGTCCACTGTTCTGATTGCAGCCTTACACTGAAGGCAAAGGAGGTATTTCTCATCAAGTGCAATTACACTCTGTATACTGAGCTGGAAGTGATCTAAAATGGCACTAATCGATTAAGTCTAAACATTCTAAATTACCAAATGACAATGTGCTTATTTCCTTTCATAATTCATTTAAGAAAACTGTGTTTATTGTCAACAATTTGGTACCATTCCAGCCCTGAAGCAATGGTATAATTGCACGTCTATTTGGTGTCCATGCATGTTTTATGTTGAGAAGAACAAAGATTACTTGCAGCACCATCCATGCTGTTTCTTTTTAACCCCGAGTTTCACAGCAATGTCATTTACTACTGTACATTACATTAGGACGTATTCTAGTGTTTGTATCACTAATGTTTTGCTTTAATTAGCAAATCATTATGAATCCTTTCCATATACCAACACCAATCCCTGATCAGCAAAATTACCCTGCATGGCATGCTTTTTAAAATGTTCTTCATGGATTTTAGAATTTAGAAACAAATATGTAATGCAGGACATTGTATGTCATCATGCCCTCCACATTTAGAAAGCAGAAGAATCAGAATGCCAAGCTGTGAAACTCAGGGGGACCTACTCGCACATGTACATTGTCATGGTGCAGTGCAGCAGTGCAGTTATGGCAGACAGGAAAGAAATTTCTTTTTCTTCAGAAGAAAGAGAGGTTGTTAGTAGAAAGCCCAGATATACAGATCACCAGGCTAAGATGTGGTTTTTTGAAAATGCATGAAAAAATCCCATTTTAAATGTATAACAGATGACTACATTACATATCATTTGATATACAAGTTTTTTTTCTTTTGATAAATATAGCTAGAATTCCACGAAAACAGAAACTAAATGAAACTGCATCAAAAGGTAGCTTTTCTATTGTGTAAAATTAAATACAATGTGTCGTTGTTTTTCAATGAAATGGCTAAATAATAATAATTTTCTAATTTTCTTAATATTAACCTATAGCATATATATATATATATATATATATATATATATATATATATATATATATATATATATATATATCAATTTAAGCCTCCCTCTCCTTTCAGTATCAAACATGGCATTGGATGTAATGATAGTAATTTCACCAAAGAAAATATCACAATGCTCAAATAACATTAAATGAATTTCCTGGAAAATATGTATGCATCATTTACCCATGCATGTGCCAGAGGGAATCAAATGATTCGTATAGATTTGGTTTCTTACGGAATATTGGTTTAAAACTGTTCGTTGATCCTTTCATAGAAAATACAATTGATAAAGAGGAGAAGATTATCTTCTTCAAGTAATCATAACAATTATTTCTATAGTGCTTATTTGTGCAGTGAAATTTACTTTATCCTCTTTAATTTGCTCCCCAATTTTTTTACTTCTTCACATTTATCATTTATCACCAAATATTGATAAGCAGTAGTATTTACTGACATATATAATAGTTTTATCCCCAAATGTTGCCAAAAAAACAAACTTAATATTAAAGAAAAAAGACATCTTCTTGAAAATAAGACCACTTACTTCTGGCAGATGTTCCACTAAAATTCCACCAATTATATAAATTAAATTCTAAGAAAAGTCTGAAATTAAAAGGATAAGTTTCATTTTATAATTATATGAAAAGAGAAATAAAATTAATTAAAGCAAAACAAGCTAATTTTTTACGTTGGACGATACCAGTTAATTCTGATAAACTAATCACCATTTCTCAGATGCAAATTATGTATTTTTGGTAAAAATAAATGAAAGATACATAAATAAAATTGAGATGCACAAATTGTTTCAGGTGTGTTGATTAAATGTATAAGATTTTAAGTTTTAGTTGCAAAGTGATTTTTTATATTCACATGTTTTACATCAATCTGATATTTGAATCTTCTTCAGGCTGTACTAAATATCATCAGTTTATGACAAATTTTGCAATCTACTATCAATAACAAACTGATTATATTATTTCAACAATTTCATTTGATCTATTTTAAATGCACAATTTCTGAAACAAATTGCACCCAATTTTTATTACTAACATAGGCCCCATGGCTGAGCAGTCAACTTACATTGCTAGTTCATTTAGAATCCACTTGGTGGCAGTGATCACGCTCCAAAATGGCTGAAAAATATAATTATTCAAAATGAACAAAAAGTGGCTTTCGAGATAGATTCTTGACCAAAAAAAGTTGTGTACAGAAAAAACTGTACTTAATACATATTATCTTATTTCAAATTTCTGCGTCAAAAATTCTTTTTTTCACTTGGTCATTGTTATTTATACCTAACAAACTTCTGTAATTAAGTGTATGGAGATTGTTGAATATATTTTCCTTGATTCTATTCATGTTTGAGCTCTGTGTTGTATTTTTAGCTGTTATAACATCTTCTCCACCAGAAATATAGAAATACAATCAAGAAAGTTATATAATTATTGTCTGAATGACTATTCAAAATATAAGTCAACATTCAATATCAGTATTTCATATTGTCGTTGTCGGCAAAAGTTCACTCACATTCATCAACCTGGTGGCAAAGCTACCGCTAGTATTTTCAGCCACATCACATATTGCTTGGTAATCTATAATATCCACACTGGAATAAACAAAAATAATCAATTTAGTTTACAATAAACATGTAGGAAAATAAAAAAATAAAGAATAGAAATGAAATAAAAAAGGTGTCTTAATGTACAATATTGGTCTGGCTTAATACAATGCCAAAAATTCAAATTGTCTTTTTTTTCACCCAGGGTTTCGGGCTCACTGCAATCTTATTGCTATTATCAGTCTGCCTAATATTCAATATTCAATATACTGGAAACTCAGGGTGAAAGATAACAAGGCTCAAAACAATTATCTGATTAGAATTATTTCACAGGTGATGAAAGTTGCAGTGATGTACTAAACAAGAAATTCATAAGGGCAAACAAATATGAAAATTTAGCATTCGTATTTTATAAAACAAACATGCTCGTCTATCAGTGTTTGTTCACCAAAATGAATAACATAAACAACTGTTTTCTTTAGACAACTCAAATATAACAGTTACAATTTTCATATTTACACAATATTAAGATATAAAATATATCAAAAGCAAATCAGTTATAAAAATATATGTAAAATGCTTACGTTTTAAAAACATTTTCGTCTGTACTGGCCTGACTTCTGATCTGTTCAGACAATTTATTCATGAGTGGACCATCCACCTCTCCCAGGAAAAGGCCAGACTAAAATGGACATAATATAATATAATATAATATAATATAATATAATATAATATAATATAATATAATATAATATAATATAATATAATATAATATAACAGCAGACCTCAAATATTACCAACTGGTATTAACTGTGCATTTGCATTTAATGTACTGAAATATGGAAGTCCCTGTTCAGTATAATGACAATAAATAGTTGACCTGTATGATAGATTTAATAGTAATATAGCCGTGTAATTAATAAAAGTTCAAAATGCACGGTTATTCAAAACTGAATACAGAAAAAAGACAAATAGGACTCTTTTCCTTCAGTACTTACAATGTTTTCATTCTCTGATACAACGATGAACCCATTTTCATCAATCAGAAAACAGTCGAGTGTCTGAAAAAAAAAAAAAAAAAGCACATGAATAAAAACAAAAAGAATGAAGCAGAACACAAATTTGGCTAGGTCTATGAAAAGTTGGAGTGGGTGGGGGTAGTTCATTCTAGAACAGGAGGTTTTGGAGCTACAGTCTTGAAAGTTTCTAAATCCTAATTCAAGCTTCTTTTCATCATTCAAATTTAGTTATTAGGTCTCAATTTCTGTTTGAGTGAATATTCTAACACAAAATATTAATTTGTCAAAAACAGTGCTTTACATTAAAAAACCTAAACCCTATGATCCCTGGCTCTGTATTATATTGCTATGCAATTATAAATAAAATAAAATAAAATTAAATNCATTTGCATTTAATGTACTGAAATATGGAAGTCCCTGTTCAGTATAATGACAATAAATAGTCTACCTGTATGATAGATTTAATAGTAATATAGCCGTGTAATTAATAAAAGTTCAAAATGAACTAATTCATGTTGCATGGTTATTCAAAACTGAATAAAGAAAAAAGACAAATAGGACTCTTTTCCTTCAGTACTTACAATGTTTTCATTCTCTGATACAACGATGAACCCATTTTCATCAATCAGAAAACAGTCGAGTGTCTGAAAAAAAAAAAAAAAAGCACATGAATAAAAACAAAAAGAATGAAGCAGAACACAAATTTGGCAAGGTCTATGAAAAGTTGGAGTGGGTGGGGGTAGTTCATTCTAGAACAGGTTTTGGAGCTACAGTCTTGAAAGTTTCTAAATCCTAATTCAAGCTTCTTTTCATCATTCAAATTTAGTTATTAGGTCTCAATTTCTGTTTGAGTGAATATTCTAACACAAAATATTAATTTGTCAAAAACAGTGCTTTACATTAAAAAACCTAAACCCTATGATCCCTGGCTCTGTATTATATTGCTATACAATTATAAATAAAATAAAATAAAATTAAATTAAATTAAAAATAAAATCCTACATCATTGGCACAAGAGGAGTTGCACGTGACATTGCTGGTTCCAGGAGACTCAAAGCACTCCGCGGTGGAGTTCATCATAATTTCCCGGAAAAGCTGCAGTTTGATCTGCAGCCCTATCACAGCTGCCAATGCCTGGTTGGTTTGGTTGGCGAGGTTTTTTGGATTTGGTCCTCCAGAACCTGAAGAGGTTTTTGGCGGGTGAAGGAAGATGCCTGTACTCCCCGTTATCACAGTTTCATTTGGTGGAAAGAGACCTTAAATAAGAAAAATTAAAACATTTTGGCGATGTTTTAGGAAATTTAAAAACAATACAATTTTTTGTTCGAGTTGTAAATAATTACAATGAAGTAATTTTTACATTTAATGTTTATAAACTATAAGCAGCTGTAAGACATAATACTGGCATAATGTTGCATTATAAAACTTAACAACAAAAACTGTGATGATAAGATTTTCACAAAAAATAAGTTTATTTTTTAATTTTTGGATTATCAAACTGAACATGGCATTTCATGAAAAGACTCTGATTGAATCACATAAAACCATGAAATGTTACATGAAAAACACAGGATATACTTACTAGCATTGCGCGGGACAGAAAATACAAATGTGTCATTTCCTGCATCTGCTGCTCTCTCATAATACAGATCTTTTATTGTGTTTATCTGGGTTTGTACAAAATATCTGGAAATGACAGGATAAACACTGTGACAACTTTCTTTCATATACTTATTATATAAAAAAACAACTGTTACTTATATTCAACAACCTGTCATTCACTCTTTCTACTGCAAAAGATAAAAAAAAACCATGCATTCTGCTCAAATGTAGACATTATATGTTTATTGAACCATCCACCAAAAATAAAAAAAATACCCCCCATCTTTTGCAAGTGAAACTGTATATTTTATCTGGCTGTGCCAAAACATTTAAAGCCTAATATATCTCTTAGCCAAGAATACACAGTTACCACAGTAACTGAATGAATTCACAATTTTGCCAGTTCAGCTTCAACTTTACTTTGATTTGGCATGGAGCCAGTGTTTATGTTGCAGACTCTTTTTTAATTATTTTTACCATCCAGAATTAAATGAAACAGGTAAAAAATACCCATCTTAGCCATTTCTATCTTCCTAACTATATCTTTATTGATCCATCCTCCATTTTTGACTGTCTTCCAACAGAATCAATGTAAACTTTAAAATTCTTACTGTCTTCTGGAAAACCCAGAAGATGGCTTCTGTCCGCCCCTGATTTATACTTACTCATCAGTTAACTGTTCTGTATTTTTATAAAATCTTGTGACACCGTGTCTTGTGCCCATGAAAACAAGCTCAACTCCTGGTCTGAAATGGAAAGCAAACTTAATATTTTTAAAAGATTAAAAAACCTTTTCTCTTCTGAATACAGCAAATTTTTACAAAGTTTTACATGTTTAGGAAACAAAAAGGAATTGAATCCTTGACTGCATAAAGAGTGCAGAAAGTAATATGTACTGTAGATAATTCAATATATAAAAGAAAACGAAAATTGCATGCTTTCCACATGTTAATGCCTGTGAGCTAAACGTGGGAGAATAACAGACAAGGCAAAAAGCACAGAAATTGATGCACAAAGCCATTGTCTTCTTCTGAAACACAGGTATATGAAATTATTTTCAGCTTGTATTAAATAATTATCATATATGATCCAACTACCAAGTTAATGGACATTTTTGCTCATTTAGATCTTCAATTGTCTTTGACAACTCACTCTTTGGTAAGGTTCCAGCCGTTACATCCAATTTCAATGGCCAGCATGGGATGGGTGACAGAGATATCATAGAGGATACGGGACATCAACTCCTCATCACCTTTAATAATAATAATAATAATAATAATAATAATAATAATAATAATAATAATCTTCATCATCATCATTAACATTATTATTAATAATTAACATTAAAGAATTTCATAAGCTGTATTCAGGGGTGAATCAAGAATACAATTCTTGATAGATGTAATTGTATTTGTTTTCACATAGATATTTTATATTTACTGTATGTTTATTAACACCCATACTATGATATACGTATTTCTAGCATTTAATCATCTTACTAAAGGCACCCGTCCTACAGGTTTCTCAAAAAGCAGCAGGTGGTCCATTTTTTTGAAGAGAAAAATAATCAGGCATTAATCTTACATCTCTGTTCAAATTCTCTGTCTTCTTTCTCATTTCTCCACTTGTCGATATACCTCTTGAACACCTCGAAGCGATCCTGCTTGGTTTCCTCTGTGGTCAAATGACAGAATTCGGCCCTGAGGACGTAATTTGTGATATGAGTAAGTGAACACACATTTACATGGTATCAGCCCGGATAGAATGTTGCCAATAAAATTATGTTGTGCAAAAACTGTGTGTGTGTGTGTGTGTGTGTGTGTGTGTGTGTGTGTGTGTGTGTGTGTGTGTGTGTGTGTGTGTGTGCACGTGCACGTGTAAACACGTTTGTGTGTATGTGCACACGAGCATTTGTGTTTACATGTATCAGTTCCGCCATGCCCACTAAAGCACAGGCATTCACAGCTTCATGCCATATCAATGCTAATTCAAAACTTTTCATATTAAGAAACCTCACCATGGTGCCAGCCTCAGTTCTTTATTATTCAGCATGCTTTCATCCATGCTTGTAATGTTGATTTTGTTTGTGATGTCATACAGTCCATACTTATCTGGGAAAACTAGACCCAGGCTGGAAAAGAAAAAGGAAGAACTGTTAATTTCTAATGGATAAAATTCAAAGGGTATTACTTTTTACACAAGCCATAGGACTCTGTTTGTTGTACCACAATGGAGGAGACACCTCCTGCAATTACCCTTTGGCAATTGTGGTAGAGAAGACTGGTGTCACATCTACTGCAATTTTCCAATGAATAACTCTCCTTTTTGTTGTGTAAGAGAAATTGGGTCTCAAAAATATAACACAACCACTTTAACAGACTCATAAATCTGAAGTTCTCCCTGTAATCCAATTGCTGATGTGATGACTGCAATTATATTGGATCTGATCTATAAACACAAACATCAAACAGCATGAAGGTCATTTCTCCCCGCATGGGGAATCCATTTCTGTCTGATCAAATGTATAATCACATTGACAACAATTATAGAGATCAGAAATGGGGCAAACTCAGACATCATAAAAGATAAAGGCACTTCTCTTTACCATGGCTTCACTTAAAATTATTAAAACTTACGAAAACGGCGTGTGCTCCAAGGGGGTATAGAAATATCTGTTAGTCCTAAGAGCTACTCTGGTCTGAAAATAAAAATAACAAAATATTGTAAGCCTTAGTAAAGGAAAATGATATGGTATTGAGTTTAAAAAAGGGGGAAACAAGAAAAAAATGTAGCAAACATTTCTTGATGATATCTGCCAAACCATTTCAGAAAATAAAAATCAAACAGTAAATTCCACTTCCATTGTATAATTACATAAGGTCTGAAGTTATTTGTATCTATTATTTGCTACATCATTCATATTCTATTTATTACCATATTACTTGTCATCATCTTGATGGGTATTTTCATATCCCCTGTTTGCTGGTCAATCATTTCAGTCCTCAGCTGGAAGAAGAACAGAAACCAATTCAAAAGGTAGTTTTGATCCAGAAAAGCAATTTCATCTCGGTAATTAAGTCATCAATAAAGTGGAGCAGGTGGAACATTGTGCTGGTCTCAAAACACAGGGAGAGAAATTGATAGAGATATAATGACAGGACTGTAGATTGTTGTGGGGACGGGGGGCGGAGGGGGGGGGGTGCGGAGGAGGGGGGGGGGGGGGAGGGGGCTTTCCACCTAGTTTGTCAAAGATTTTTCTTTTTTCCTCTCCACCAGAAATATTAGAAATGAATTTCGTGTGTCCTTGACATTGGGTTCTTGTCTTTTAGCATACACACTGTAATCTTTGAATTCCTTTGTCTAAAACAGAGTATTTTACATATCTCTTTAATTTCTTTGATTTCTAAATATTGGAACAAGCAATGAGCAATTCAGAACTGATATTAAGACAGACTTTTGGCACTACCAAGTGCATTTTTTAAAAGTGATAAAAATTGTTTTTGTATTCTTTATAGAATGATTAATGGTTCACAATATGCTTCTCAGCAGATACTCATCATCATGTGCTTACCCTTTGTACCAAGTCATTGTCGCCCTCTGGAAATTCTACGTCTTCCAAGTCCACCATATTATAGTTATGTTTCGCTTTTCCATCCCATTTCTACCAGAAAAAAGGTTACTTTTAACTAAATATTTTGCAAACAGTATAAATATATCAACATGCTAACTATAATACTTAATATAAAACAATTATAATGAAATCTGTGCCATCCAAGCTGGCAAACTAACAAACTTTCAATTTAGAGATTAAACCACAAACTTACCAAAGGTCTGAAGTCAGGATGGAACAAAATGTAGCCATTGTTAGTGATGGCAAATGCATAGCCATTAGTCCCCAGCTACAAAAACAATTAAAATATATCTGTTAAAAATGACTTCCTGTAACTGTGATTTCTGATAAAAACTGAATCCCAAAACTGAAATCAGTTTGCCACACAGAGATAAGTGTACTTGGCCACAATGCATTGGTTTTTAAATATGACACAAACAAACATAAAAAGTACACAGCTTTTGTCTCAAGTTCAATGTCAGCTAGGTTATACAAAGTGTCAAAAATAAATAAATAAATAAATAAAATAAATAAATAAATAAATAAATAAATAAATGAAAGTTAAATCACTGCTGTCATATTCCAAATAGTGAATAATAATCAAAACGTTTTTTGACCTTTAAAACAAAACATCTCTCCTTTTGGTCTTAAATGGGCAGCATAGTAAAAAAATGAAAGGGTTTAATTGTAATTAAACAGAATTTTTTGTATCAATGGCCTTCGAAAATAAAACACAAGTTTAACATCAGCCAAATTCTAAAAAAAAATCTATTTTATATTTTGCTAAGAACATGTATGAAGAGAAACCTGACGAGCAGACTCGTATACCAATATCCTTCCTTTCTTTCACGGTAGACAAACCAGAAGCCCCTTCAAATCAGAAAGCAGCTGTTTTTATCTGTTCCCTATAGGCCACTAAGGAAATTGCTTAGAAATCTGTGTAATAACAAGGCACGGTAAGACAGAGTGATACACATCCCAAAGTGCACGTGTGGAAACAGAGCATAATCACGCATAAGATTTCATAATACAAATGACTAAAGGCAGCGCAGTTAATGATTTCCCGTGGGTACTGAACAAGGGCGAGCAATCCCAGGTGACTCTGTTCGCAAAAGCAAAATTATTAAACCTGTTCCTTTTTTATGCCATCAGTCATAATATATTATGCAACAGGGTGTTCAGGTGCCAGCCAAGCAAAATGACACCTGTTTGAAGGTGGCCTACTGCTCAACTGAGGTCAAAACACTGAAAAATTGGTTTTAGATTGATGACCATTTGACATGTACTTTGTCCTAAAGGAATCCCTTTTCGTCAGCTTACCAAAGTGGGCAGTTATTATAAATAATCTTTCTTAAACTCTTGAAAAGCAATTAACTTGGCTGGATTCTTAAGTTCCCAACAGAGCATGTGTCAGGATGCATCAATCCAATTTACAGTTATGCTCATTTCTTGTCCTTTATTTTCTATTTCAACAAACTGCTTACGAAGCTAAATGATTTCTTAAATGTATTTTACCCCATATTATCAATGTAAGTTATCAATTTACCTCAACAAAGGTCTAGAAAATGAAAGAATTTCTTAGTAGGGAATTAAAAAAATAATAAAATAAAATGAAATAAATAAAAATAATAAAAATAAAACAATGAATGGAATTGACAGTGAATACTTTGCCAGCCATTGTCTTGTATAGAGGTTCACATTTGCTCCCCGTCTCTACTAATCGCATCAATCAATCAAACCATCAATTAATCAATCAATAATCTAATCAGGCTTGCTTTGCAAATGGAGCTGTACTTTTGTCCTAGGAATCATTCATGCAATTTCGATAACATGGTCTGCCTTTTACTGTAAATGAGTAAATAATTCCCAGTACTGTGCATGGCAAGAGTGCTGACACAAACATGCACTTGATGGCTATACAGGCTCAGACACCTGTTCATAACAAGTATAGTATATAGTGCACATAGTGTATATTCCTTGTATAGAGGAATAAGTATAGTGTATAGTGCACATAGTGTATTCCTTGTATAGAGGAATAAGTATAGTGTATAGTACACATAGTGTATACCTTGTATAGGGGAATAAGCCTTTGTAATTCCACCAGGGGGACATCTGTCCCCATTACTCCAAGCAGATTACCCTGCTGCACCTGAAAAATACAGACAACACATTCTAAATAAAAGCAGACAGTCTCTACTTAAATTACTATTCACAACATTTAAGTATTGGCCCAAAGTTGTTTGAAATATATAAAGCTATGAGTTGCATAGAACTTTCAATCCAAAATCCTGAAAGTTCTCTGACCATAGACAAAACCATTCTCTCTGCATGTACACCGAAATTATAAAATATCTTTAAGGTTACAGAATATTCTTATACGGATTACCTAAATAAAAGATATGTGTGTGTGTATAATAATACACGATATATAATCAAACTTACAGTTTCATTCTTCAGGTCAAACACTGGTTGTGCCACAGACGTCATTAACTGCAGACCCTGAAAAATATTAATATTTGAATACATTACTAATTTCTTCAGCTTCAGCTTGAATTAATTTTGTTTTTCCTATACTTTCTTCTCCAACTTTTAAATTGCTGATGCGACTTCCTTGGCAGACAGCTACTGTGCTGCCATCTATGCAAATGTTCTTAGTGCATTCCCATCTAAACACAATCATATGCTTGTTTTGGCAAAGTCTATGGTGATGTCACCAGGCTGATTCAACCTCTAAGCTGGGCAAAATACTACTGTCATCAAAGGCTATCTATAGGCTGATCAGGCTGAAAATAAAAATGAACGAGTTTCCTTTTAGTGGACTCGTATTTCTTTCCAGTCATGGGAATTGAATTTCACATCCGAACACAATCTAGCGTAACCCAATATAAGGGGACAAAGTGTGATATCATGGGCACCTTCTCAATCAGACAGGACAAACCAATGTGAAATGACATGTTGGATTTCCACCAATATTTGGTTCATGGTGCAGCCAATGGTAACTGTTTTAAGTAACAGACAGGATCCTTTATACATATACTTTAACATACCTGCCCAAATAAATTTTGATGACATTTGAAAGGGTGAAATTACCAGCTAAATTTTTTCTCCATTGCAGTGCAGTAACTCTCACCATCTGTTATTTGAGTCTGGCCAATCTTAGCTGCTTTTTACTCATGCAACCTTCACTAATACCAGTGTTTAAGTAATTTAGTGTAAATTTGCACTGTATTAAAATGTATTTTTAAATACACTTTGAACAAATCCAAGTATGAGGGGTTTTCTCAGCAAAATTGGTAGCAGTCCAACTCCCCATCAACTTTTGGCACAAAGTGTGGGGTGCATTTCAGAATAAAATAAACAAGAAGATGAACCTGGTTGTAAAAAATTCTTGGTTAAATGTCTGAAAAAACATCCAAAGTTTTTGAAAGCGCAAGAACATTATAACACCCACATATAAGCTTTAAAACGAAAAGACCATTTTTTTCTTTCCACAAATACACAATTTTTTCAGTTTACAGAACAATTCACATAACCTTTGGACTCAGCACTCAAAAAAACCACAACAAAACCCATTAACCCAGACATGAAGGAAGAATCTTCCCCCACAGCATTATCAGTTATCAGTTACTTATCAAGCAGCACATACAAATCTATTGAGCACAGGAAAAAAAAACATAACAAAAAAATTGCACTCAATATCAATTTTCTTTAAAAAAAACCACAAAAGTCATTCCAGACAGAAAAAAAAAATCATGCCTAATTTTCTGGAAGCAAAAGTCACGCAACCACCATTTCTTAATGAAACAAACAATGGCACAATGACACAAGACACCACAGTTGGACTAAAGCTAATATTTCTTTGATCTTAAAAATGACTTGAACAATTTCACCTTAAATTTCTTTCACTCATGCAGTTAAGTTTTTTTTTTTTGTATTTTTTTGGAAAAAGATTTCTGGAACGACATGTGGCTCATCATAACTGCGAAAACTGCCAGTATGTCTTCCCTTTTGGACATCTTTTAGCCTTGTCTCCATTTTTTGGGGGTTGGTTGGAGGTGGAAGCTTTAATATATATAAATGCTTTTCAGTCCCTTCTTTTAAATATAAGTGGAATGTGTTTTAAGTCTTTATGCATGTACTTTGTTGAACTCAAGATTTCATACTATGCAACATTTTAAAAGCATGCCCCCATTCCATTGGCACTACCAGCCAATATCATAAATCCTTTTAAACAAGATGCTCATGCATGGTCTTCCTTATTAAATTTTGCTCAAAATTACCTAAACTAGAGCACATCAGGGTCGCCAAACAACACAGAAATGAAATACATAGTTCCCCTATGCTTTAATGATAAAAGTCTTAATATTTTGTACAAAATAAATTGTAAAACATACAAAACAATTTCAGCAATTTTAACAAGTGAATTCCCTTCATGCCAGAAAGCATATTTTTGTGAGTAAAAATGGTGAATATTGAAAAAGTAAAAAACAGGAATCAGTCAGCCATTTGTTAAGGTTAAGTAATAACAATAAAAAATATAATAACAATCAAAAAAGATGCGTCTTATTTCTGACAAAAAGGAACAGCATATATCTACATGTGTTCAGTGGGCAACCCTGTATAAAAATGACGCGCTTCATCTAAAATAAGCCAAGTCAATCGCCGCAAAGTGATCATCATTTCATAAAAAGCTGTCCACGACCTAATTTTCCATCCAACCAACACAAAATGAAAAAGCTTGCAAATAAAAAAGAATGCATCAAAAGCAGTTTCAAGAACCACGCTCAAGCATATATTAGTATACACACAATATTTTCAATATAAAATTTATATTTAAAACATTCCTTACAAGTGCTCTCCTGACAGAAAACACTTTCAAGACTTTTAACATTCTAAACTGAAAAATACTGTATGTGACATTCAAAGCAACTTAAATACTAATATGGGATTCAAGTCAAACAAAATTAGAAAAAAGAAAAGAACAAGAAAAAGGTCTCAAGAATTGATTTCTTAAAATGAAATTACAAGTTGAAAAATATAGAAACCTATGAAATGAAAATTCATTCCAAATGTTCTATTTTAATGTACCAATTACCTTTTCTAAATGCTGTAATAATAATTCCAAAACAGGTAAGCAGGAATGTAAAGGAATACATTTAAAACAGATATCATCACATGAAATATTTTCTCCTAAAAGCAATACATATAAATGTTATGTATATTACAAATATATAATCCAACATTTTAAATGATGAGACTTTTAAATTTTAAATCAAAATTCAAATATGTATAATAGTTAGTAATGGGGTATATTTAAAAGATATGGATTACAGAAAAAAACAATATTTAATTGCATTCAAAAGTAATGGTGCATAGAATTAACCGCCAGTGCTGTTATAAATATCATGCATAATTGTATTGACTGTTGTCATTACTGTTGACGATGAAAGTGCTTCAAATGACCGGCAGGTGCTGAAACTTTCATGCATACAGTGGTAATATTTAACCATTTAGATACAATATACATTATCAATAATTTCATAGATACTTCATTAGCATTGGCATGTGTGTATATATGCTATATGTATACGACATGACAGTCACACACTAAACAGCTATCTAATGTTGACACTGTTGATGACAATGTTTAAGACAACTGTTGCTATATTAGTCATTCACCTGTTTTTATTCACAATATTAGGCTATATACAACACACTAGACTCCTTAACATCTACAGATTAATACATATAAGATGGAATGTTGCTTAGTACCAGAATTCTTCCTTTCAAGAAAAAGGTGACATTTCTCAAACCTAATTACTATGCAGCTTTTATGACACCAAATTTTTTATTCTGAAGTAGAATTGAAGGTCCCCAGGTTTAAAAATTGAAATAATTCATATTCTCAATATAAAAAATAATCTAAAATATGAATTGGGAAGTTGGAATACCACGTGTGGGTTTTCCCATAATAATAAAATAAATAATAAAAACAAAATACACACGAGTTCTACAACAAAGATTTACATGACTCCATCTTGGATTTCTTTTTATATTCTTTGAGATAGCATTGCTAAAAAGGCATGTATGACTACATTTGGTTGTGCTAATTAGGCTAAGTGGCAGTTGCATTTCAGAGAGTAAGTCCTACTTATCCATGACTACCAACCCTAGCTATGTTCACTGGTCAAAATTACAACAATGAAAAATCAATTGATCTGATTTCTTGAGAGAGAGAGAGAGAGAGAGAGAGAGAGAGAGAGAGATGTCCAAACGGATACATATTCTCTTGTATGGTAACTTATCTTTCAGAAAAGATTGTGAACAAAACAAATAATGGAACTGTTGTTGTAGGGAAGCTGGTGGGCTCCCTGATATTGTTGCTTTAATCAACTTAGGATCTCTTCGCATCGAGCAATGTACTTTAGCGAACACCCTGTACTTAAAGAGATTGACAATTTAATACCCTGGGTAATAAGTAACAGAGTCATCTAATCAGAGCTTCTCCATTTGACATGGCCAATTAATCAATTAATTAACCTAACAGCCTAAGCAAACTTGTGTGGAAACATTTGAAACTCCCTGTTGTAATTACATGTTAGGACATCCAAAACTGTATCGGTACAAACAGTATCATTAAAGTGTACCGCTCCATATGAAAATGGCCTTCAGCTTAGTTGCAATATGTTTCAAGGCACATGACAACCTTCATATGAAAGATACTCGAGAAACATGCTGTATTAACATTTTCAGTGCAAAATCAGAAACAAGGCCGATTCAGAAGTGAAATGGAGAAAAAAAAAGGGAAAACCTTACAACTATGTCTAACCATTCTGATGCTGCCTAGAAAAATCCAAACTATGGCAAACACTGTTGAAAACCATTGAAGGAATAAATGCATGTAAGACATTTTCATGGATATTTCAACACTTTTTCTTCCAAATTATGAGTTCCAATCCTCTAAATTTTGTGTCACCCTTGCAAAGGAAGTGCAGACAGAGGAATTGTACTCGTTAGAGTAAAAATTACAAAGCGAGAACTCCTAAATGGGTTTATAAAATAGATCACATAGATATCATATACTTTGTTGCCTAAAAGAAATTTGTTCAAATTTCCAGGGAAAAGTAATTTTAAGCTGTATAAAGGTAAAATGCGCATTGTATGCCTTTAATGAGCATACTGAAAAGGTCAATTTTCAAAGAGGCAAATAACTCCCGATAAACTACATTAGTGAAAAAATGACTTCAAAAGAAAGAAAATATAAGAATGATTCAGAAATAATAGGCACAGTGTCTCAGTGCACGCAATGGAACGATTTGATGAAATATCTCATAAGAAAGCCACACACTGTAATAACTGCCATTGACTGGAAGGAAACAGGATTGATGATGTGTGAAGTTATTACAGCCTCCCGTAAGTAAATTTATGGAAATTCAGTCCCAACTTTCGAATGAAATGAAGAAACTGCATGTCACCTTCTTTGGTTTACGTAAATGGTTGCAATTAGCAATCATCTTTCAGCTAATATGAAAGAGGAATCTCTGGAGCCAAGGAAAAAACACATGAGCCAGGAAATTAAGTCTGACAAACTTAAAACAAAGAAGTCTGTCAAGATCTACCGGCAGAGCAGCAAAAGAAATTGTCATAATATCAGGAATACTACAAAGTTTCATTTAAAATTTTTTTGGTTGGAAGAGGAGGGGAGTCTTTTAAGTTCAAAACATTTCAGAGATCTAAAAGTTTTTATCTCAAAACACAAGGCATGTATAAGTGACTTTCAGAATTCCCCAGAAACGGAATCTAAGAAATCTTAGTAAGAATCATGACAGTTATTACTTTAATTATCTACATCAAAGCTGTAGAATTGAAAGGAAAAAGCTGTACATGAAAATTGAGAATGGTGAATAGACTAGTCCTTTTTAATTAATTTCAATTACGACAAATATTTCTTTTTTGTCATCTTTTTTTTTTTGTCATCTGATTATTTTTATTATAAATTTGCCATGTATTAAAACATATTTCTACTAGCAACCAGTCTTTCATGAAATATTATGAAAATATAATATAATATAATATAATTGAAAAAGTACATCCTAATCATGGGCAACATTGTGGAAAACTTTGGCCTCAACTCTAAAATTTGGTGCAAAAGATATATGAAACATTACATTCCAAAAGATGAAAAATATACATCTAATAACATTATGGGACCCTTGATTTAAATGTCATTTGAATCCAACAATACTCCTAAATATATAATAATAATAATAATAATAATAATAATAATAATAATAATAATAATAATAATATGAAAAGTAACAAGATTCAAAGGACAAATGCAAACTACACTGTACAACATGCAATTTACAGATCATCAACATCATATACGAAACAAAACAAAAAAATTCATCATATCATCATAATGTTCAAAACATAACAATAAATCATATCATAACACCAAGCAGATTCTAATCAATAAAAAATCAAATCAAAATATTCCTACAAGCGACCGTGGCTTGTCAAGTGGTCTATGAACCCAGCCATTGGTCAGTTTGTGACGACAGTAAACTCGAGGCTCCTATTGGTAGCAAGAAACAAGAAAAGCCAACTCTCAGAAACAAGACAAAGAAAGATGACTAACACGAAGCAGTTAAAGTACATGTATCAAATACACTCATAAGCAGACAAACTACAAAAATGCAATAATTGTCATAATGATAGTCATAATAAGAAAATAGTTTTCTCACAAAGAGAGAAAAAGGGGAATCCCAAAGATGGTAATTTTTTTTTTTTTGTCAATTCATTTCAAATTCACAAAAAAAATTTACGACTGTGAATTTGTGATTTCTTTTTCATTTAATTAAAGGCTATCTGGTCTTATCTATGTTTTTCTTAATTTGAGAAAACTACAGAATACAATAATCATAAAAAGATATATTATTTAACTATTTAAGCAACACCAAACAAACCAGATGCCTGAGGTTTTAAGAAAGAAAATCTAAAATCTGTCAAGAAAAAAAAAAAAAAAAAAATCTAGTGAATAGCTGAAAATCTGAGACAGATTTTTTTGCAAAAATTGACAAAAACATAATTTTTCAGGTAAAATCTCAAATTTCAAAACAGCCATCTGCAAATAATCAAAAGTAAATAAATCAATAAAGAGAAAAAAAGAACCACTGACAACAACTGCACAAAAATGCACCCCAAACAGCACAACACTCTGTATGTCAGCGTACAGTGTGCTCTCCCGACAACGGACGGCGCACCCATCCGTCTGTCACCTGCGATCGTAACTTCAACCATGGCTCCTACAGAAATATATACAATATAGCAGGCAGCAAACAATACAATAAACATGTCAAGACACAAACATTACAGTAATGCATATACCAGTTTATAATGAATAAATATATATATAAATAACAGGTACGATGTATTAACATAAGATGCAAGCAATAAATAGACATGTACATTCTGTATAAGAGAAAATGGACTGACTTGCTGTTTAGAATTGTGTGGGTCTATTGGTAGGTTGAAGAATTTGATGGTCGATTAACTTTAAAATGTGACGATATATGAGGTACAAGGCGGCATGAATGTGGGTGTGTGCACGTGTGTTTGTGAACAAAACAAATTACAGTATGAAGAAATCTTACAGGACATTATACAAATTTCAAAAACCCACAAGAAGCAATATTTGTATGCAATTCTTTCTTTTTTTATTTAAATTTAAGTTTTTTCTTTTTTTTCTTTCCACAGATTTTTCTTTTTTTAATTTATTTTTGAAAGAATGAAGAAGATTAATAACCAATTATATAAATGTTTGGTTGCATGCAGCATTCAACATTCAATAAACCACTGACATACAACACACAAGCAAGCAAGTATTATTACACTTCTAGCAATAGATAACATATATCAAACACACTCTATCTTAATCAACAAATATTCATTGTCTTTTATAAAAGTTTCAAATGTAGTCATGATCTCTAAATGTGGCATTCGCCCACATGCAATATACTAGTGTGTCTTGCATTTTGAGAAAATAATACTGCTTAGGAAAACATTTTTCCTCAATTTTAATTAATTGCTTGAATGTAATCCTGGTCACCCAAGAAATTGTATCCACTTTCAGCAACCAGTGATGTTATAGTCATTGACTTTTGCTATACCCTGTAGATATTAGTAGTGTTTAATTGCTAAACAGCTGCCCCTTTATCAATTTATTCTTTTGTCATATATTTGTAGAGAGGGCCACTGAGGTAAATTAAATTGTCTGGTCCCAACCTACTCTGAAGTAATCAAATTCAGAATTTTTTCTAATCATGATCTTTTCGACCTTGAAATGTAGGTCAAGGTGAATCATCCACCAACTAATCCTAGAGTCCCATGAGAGTCATTTGTTTTTAATAAGGCAGCTGTAGGATCTTCCCCTTTCAAGCACCACTAATAAAATTGTCTCACAGCCAGAGGGACCAAAGTATTTTTACATGATCCAGCAGTGGATAATCCCAATAAATCTAAAATTGATGTGATACTAGGCATATAATAATTGGTTGTCTGGTGGTACATACTGGACCTAGAAGTCATTTACCTTTTTGTATTTAAATATATAAATATATAAATATATAAATACACCTAACATAATGGTTTAGGTTTACAGCAGTCAGGGAGAAGTGTCCTTAAATGGGTCCTGTTGGACAGATTTTTCTTTTTAGATGTTTTTGAAATTAAACTTTATTCAGTATCAAACTTTTGCGTAAATTTTGTTAGTAGTCAATCATAAATATGTATGTGGTAAATATTTATGCATGACTGTAGCTGGACTATCTATATTTATAATCAACTGATATGGGCATACACCTGACGTGATGATTATAAATAAACCTCTCCTTCATTGTTCTCCCAATGGCCCTAATCTGCAAGTAGATATCTTAAAGGGTCTGTCATCTATAACACATACATCTCCACCCATGAATTTGATCTTCATCGCCTCTTTCTATGGTAGCTATAGCCTATACTTATACTGGTCCCATAATACGGGGCAGTTTTACAAGTTCCTTGACTATATAGATGTCACTCCTAACTGTATGTACACTTACACTTTGCTTACAGTGACATCTACAGTTAAGATGTCACTAGTGACTGTGTGTAATACTTACAGCTATGTCCAGATAAACACTGGTCCACACACTGTATCTGGCCCTCTGCATTACCATTGGTCTGCTCAATACATTCACATATTTCTGAAAAGAATGAGAGAAGAGAGAAATTGACCATATGGATCAATTAAAAATATAATATGTCTGTTGAAATGATCCTCTAATCGACAGAACTGTTCTCGGACTTAACTTTCCATATTGCAGGATTGAGTGAAGTGCTTTTTGATATCAAAATGTTAATTAATTTTTTCTACTCTTTGGTAGAAATTGTAGAAAAAACATAATCCCATAAAATCATCTACACACGCAGTTAAAAAACTGAACACCACAAAGCCCTATGCCCTGTCATCATACTGTTTGAAGGGAAATGGCAAACAGGAATAAAAAGTTTCCATGGCAATAAATTACTGAGGGAAGAACCATTTGACCAAAAGCAACCTTTTCCATGGGAAATTTTTCCGACATTTTTTTCTCACCTGAACATTTTCCTGCACATCAGCCAGTGTGGATATATGAGTATAATAGCCTGGAAAAGGAAAATCCATTCAGATCAATACAATAAGTAAAAAACCAATAATAACAAATAAATAAATATAAAATAATCAATAAGGTAATTCTTAACTATATTTGTTAATCACATTTTAAGAAACATCACTTGTTTAAAATAATAAATAAAGCAATAATAAGAAAAAGGCCAAACGTTTGGTGATTTCTGCATTAGGAAGGTGCTGGATGCTGGAATTTTCAAGAAGAATTCATTCAAGAAGAAATTTTCAAAGTATTTGAACCACCCCTATAAGCAATGTTGGAAGGCAGATTAACTTGAACTTGAAGCAATACAGAGTATGACTTAAAATGCCTATTCCTCATGGATGTTAAAAAACCTTAAAGGTAAACCATGAAATTACATTTAACAGTGACTATGATAAAGTACGACTTCTGTTATAAATCCTGCTCCACAGACAGAAGATTATGGACTTAAGTGGTTTCTTGTAAGGTATCAGGCAAGATTGAAGCAGTTATTTCTGCTCCTGATCTGCTCCTGAACTCTAAAAGAACACATGGCTTCTATTTTTTCCATTGATCATATAATTGACACTTACCTTTATTGGCACATGCTATTAAACTGACTTCTCTGGAATCTTTCACTTCTCTGCCAATCAGATAGGTAAACACCCGTACCTAAAGAGGGTAAATAGCCAATGAAGAAATTTGATCAGATTACATATTTTAAAAATATCTGAGAATCTTTTTTATTTTCTTGTTACTTATTTGAGGAGAGAGAGAGAGAGAGAGAGAGAGAGAGAGAGAGAGAACTCACTGTGATATTTGGCCTGTTCCATTTCTCAAACACCTCCCCGTATGTGTCAGGAGAGCCGTCAGATATGATCATAATGGCCTGGTTGCACTGGGTCCCTTCTCCATCAGATCTGGCCTTTATTGAACATATACATACATACTATAATTATTATTAACTAATCACTTTTATTTTTACTTCATTTTTTAGAGACAAAAACATTATTTTAAAAAAATATTAACTATATGAATTGAAAGCAATAAATCCAGGTTTGATTTTCATCATAAAGTGCCATTTTTTATGCAAGGATTCACCACTGGACAATAGAGACCCTTAGACAATGGATGATCCATAGAGGGCTGGGAAATTGTTATGATGTTTTAAAATTCAATAGAACATTTTAAGGATTTTGAGTTTTTATCTTCATGAGCAAGACAGAAACTGTGCGAGAAGAATCTGTTTTTACCTGGGAGTCCACTTAAACATAGGCTCTATTCCCATAGATTTTAGATCAATCTATCCCCGCGGGGAGTCTCACTAGATTACTTTCAGATAATCCGACTTAAATGTCCGTCCCGCCTACTACAAGCTGTAAGGGGGTAATTAACTTTCGTGTCCGCCCGGCTGACAGCTATTTAGCGTGAACCCCCAGGGAGTTAGGTCGATCTAAAGTAGGTCAATCTAATCTATGGAAATGGGGTGATAGAATATTATCCTCATTGAACAAAACTCCTGATTTTCTAAGTGTAGAATACAAAATGTTTATATAGGACTAGTGGCTAACATAGCAGACTGCATAGTACTGGTACAAATAAAAACTTTAATATGAGTCAATTATTTCTGCCACATACCACATCCAGCAAGGCAAATGCCTCCTCCAAGGCTCGATCCAAGTGGGCTATTTTTTTTATTTCCACATCCTTTACTGCTTCTTTTAATCTCTGCAAAAGATTTTTGTTGTACATTTAGATAAAGTCCATATTTCTTTACAATGAATATATTCCATTAATAAAGTGAAAAATTAACTTGAAATCTTTTAGGACATAAAATAAGTTTGCAGATTTCAAACTATTCAATTAATTTGAAAACAGCACCTAATTACTAAATGTTTTTTCATAGTAAACGAATAAATAAATAAATCTCACAGTCAAAGTTCATTAATATATCCTTTTCATGAAAAAAAATTAGTAAAAAATCAAAATCACTCACCTCTTTATTTTTTATGTTTGCTTGTATTAAAGTTCTATTAGAACATTTATCAATATATAATGGTTGTGTAGAATACTGAAAAAAAAAAACATTTGTTAATTAACATGCCAATCTATTCATGGTGTTTACAGGAGGTCTTCAGTAAAACACACATATCAATATACATATTCAATACACTATTAAGGGAAAAATATCAATAGGATCAAAAATTCATTAAAAGAAAAAGGGTTTCTAAATACCAAACTTGATCAAAATGTATGCCTCACTAGTATTATCAAAAATGGGACCTCAGAATACTTTTTTTTATAACCTAAAACTATAACCTAAATCATTTGCTTTTGATCTTTAAACAGAAAATATCAGATGTAAATCTTAAATATACTAACATATAAAATATGATAAAATATATAAGGTCTCCTGCTCTTAAATCTTATCTCTTGATACATGTACTAGTGGACAGCAATTTCAAAGGGCGGGGGCGGGGTTCTGAAAAAGTCAACCCTTTTATCATCAAACCTGACTGTGCCTAAAATTCTAATCAGAACAGACCTTTCCCCAGCAAGAATGGCAGTTCACTTGAACCCCCTGGCCCCTTGGTTATGAACCTGTGGTAAATTTATTGTACTTACACTTATAATGTTGAAATAGTCATCATCACTCAGAGTGTCAAGAATTTTATTAATTGTAGTTCGCGCTATTTTGCTCCTCAGCCCAGTCATACTGCCACTGGAGTCCAACAGAATTACGATATCCTTGGGAGACGCTGCCGCCTGGATGTACCTTGTGTCAGGGAGAACATAAAATATGGTAAAAACTTGAAAATTTCATCACTTAAAAATTAATTAATATTATAAAATATGTGAATCCGACTCGGGCATATTAGGTGAGGAACTTTACAAAATTATCAAGAGGCTCATTTTCAAGTATGACAAAATTCTCAAGGCCAACTTGATATTCAAGATCTTACAGTACCTGTGTTACAACTCAATACCAACAGCGGACCATTTCACAGCATTCCCTCCATGAATACAATTTCATCAATATTTCATCATTATTGCTTTTTTATAAGAAATAAAAAAAAAAGGTCCAGGTGTCATAAGTCACCTGATATGTCACATGAATTGGCAAGTGCATTTGGATGTACGGATATATTGTTTAAAGTTTTGAATAATGATTTTTTAAAAAAATTCATATGCTGAACTCATGACAAATATTAAAAGAGCACATACATAAAATGTTACAGAGGAAGAGATACTGTGAAATGGCCATTATGATGGACCGAGGTACCATGGAATGGCCGGAAGGTACCTTTACAGAGGGAGAGTCACCCATTCAAGTTTTTTTTTGAAATTGTTTAAAAAAGGAATTTCCCATGGCAATCCAAAAGTTAAGTTAATGAAGACAACAAAATTGAATTTCTACTTATCATAAGAAAATTCTTGTTAATCATACAATCACAACGAGCTGAATTTATCATAATTTACCCATTTTTATAGGCATACATTCTCAATGTGTTAATTAAAGTCAAATGATGAATATCATTGGAAATAAAAAATACTCTAAAATCAAGATCTCAAATAAATCCAACAAAGCGCAATCATTTATGAAAGTAATTAAGACCACAAAGTGCAAGAAATAAGGAGACCGGGGGGGGGGGGGGGGGGGAATCAAGGGAAGAAAGGAAGTTACGTTTTATGGAAATATATTACCAATTACCAGCACACAGCACATGCAAACAGCTGAAATTAGCAGCCTAAAAGCTTCATGCCATTTCTTACTTTTAACAGCCCTATTTTTGTGATGGTTTAATATAGCACAGTGCTAAAAACTGTAACCACTACTATGATGTCTATAAACATTCAGACAAAGTACATGAAGATGGCATTTGCAACGAGAAAAAAGTCTTATATCAGAAAAGACCACAATGAAAACAGTCTATGACATTAAAAAGCACAGGAAAGTATCAATACAAGATTTGAACCTAATGTGAGGTTAAACTAGGCAAATACGTTGCCAAGACAGGATGACTGCTACTGGATAGCTATGTAACTAAATCAACTAACACATAGTGCACATCTTAATATAAAACTATTCAGCACAAAAATTCCAAATTTAAGAAGAATACACATGAATGATTTCATATCTTTTGTATTTGAAATGAACATTCTACTGTGCATAATTCAGATTAAAAAATTATAAGGCAAACTGAAACATCGTCAAATTATACCAACAGGAAATCCTCAGTATAAATTAGACATTTTGAGCTTGGAAATGAATATCAGCACTTTCTGGATGTAATATACTATCTTACATGCTATCAACATTTTCTAAAATGAATTTTCGAACAGTCAACGCAAAACAATTTCACATGGCACGCACCAGCATGCACACAAGTACACGTAGAAAAATATAAATTACACCTTCTGTCTTACCACTCTCTGGTTCGACAGTCAAACAAATCTACACCTAGTGGAGGCGGTGGCCATTTATAACCTATAAGATGCAGAGGGTGTGGTAGAGCAGTGATTGATTGGAAAAAAAGAAATCAGAAAACCATCAATCAGAACTTATCTGACAAGCAAGTGCATGGCAGTGCATCAGCTCTCAGAGACATGCTTACTGATTGGCCAATATTTCTCGGATAACGAATTAATTTTTTTTATTTTATTTAATTAATTTTTTTCATTAAGAAGGGTGAAGAATGGTCTAAATTATTTGAATGGAAAAATATTTAAAAAAGTAAAAAATTTAAAAAAAATTTTTTTAACTTGATATTTGATTTGTTTTTACCCCCTCCAATTAAAAAAAATATTGTACAAGTTTCAAAACTGCAATATATTGACAAATAAATAATCATGCAAAAAGTAGTTAGCCAATATGTTTCAAACTAGAAATTTTGGAAAACTAGTAAGACGCCAATGAGCAGATGTACTCCCAAAAGAATGATGACCACACTTTGAGCATTTGCAGGAAACTGAAACAAAAAGGACAAAGTGATCAGTGTCGTAAGCAAATTATACTGGAAGATGAACTGTGCTGTGAAAGCTGACATGGGTATAGCAAATACAGCAAAACAGGTGCTGAAATGGAGAAACTATGGGCGGAAAGTGATGCACTATAATCCTTTCATAAGTGGAAAGGAAATACTTGTGTGACGTCACTACTTTTACCAGTATTTCATAAATGGAAAGGAAATACTGGATTTAGTCCTCTGATTTCATATTTTTGCTGAGGATTTGGTAAACTGACCTGTCAAAAGCCATGAGCTTGAACTAGAGCTCAGTTACTTTTGAATACAGAAGAAATGTTAACACACAAATTCTAAGATATTACATTTTTGACAACATCACGTTCTCATCCACGCAAAATACTTTTTTGGGAAAAAGAGCTGAATAAGCAGATGAGATGAGATTTTAGTGTCAATTTTTGGATAGTTAGACTTATTGAATGACTAACTGTGACCAAAGATAAAATGGTATAAATCTGCAGAAAAAATTAAGTCATCTATTATTGATAGATTTAGTGCTTCACTCCCAAAAAATTGGTCAAAAGCTCATCACCAGTGTAAACTAACTCCATCTAACAGGACCGATCTATCTCAGAGGGGTTTCTTGCAAAATTGCTTTCAGCTTAAGCAACTTAGATGTCTGTCACGCCTACTGAAGCTTCTAAACGATAATTAATAACCCTCAACAGCCTCAGTAGGCGTGACAGACATTTAAGCCTCTTAATTTGATTGCAATTTAGCAAGAACCCCCTTGGAGAAGGATCGATCTTGTCAGATCGATCTAGGTATGGGAACTCAGTCATACATGTGTATAGAGAGCCAAGTGAGTTGTATTAGGTCTTCCTTATCGTATGCTACTTGGCAAAAAAAGGCAATGCTGACCCATGGAGCTGTGTGTAATGTGACCATTGTGACTTGGAGAAACCCCACACCAGGGTCATAGTGCACCTGTCATCATGATCAGAATATAGCATGAAAATTGGACTGTAGTTTTAAGTTATCTGCTGACCCATTTCGATCTAAATTGTAAGATGTGGTAAGGATTCATCAATATGAGATAAAATGGATAAAAGCAAAGTTGAATTGTGAATAAAAGAAGATATTTTTGCTATGACTGTTTCTGAATGGCTGTGTCTCAATAATTGTTTTTCTTCCATAAAACCATGCTTCATCTGTGTTTATATTTAATTATCAAATCCAATAAAGCAAAAAAGCAACACACACGTCTTAATATTGAAATAAACCTTTCCTTCCGCAGAGCAGAATCTGTTTAATAGACCTTTACGTCTGACTACGCTGGTCTGGTCACGTAACACTGCCGTCAAACCAAACTGGATTGATGGTTTATATGTGTACAGTTAGAAGACTATGGGTCATTTCACAAAAAAGTCAACATTGAGTCAAGTCATTGATCAACACACACATTACAATGTAACATTTGCATAATGTCTTTTAAACAACATTAAATTTTATTTACTGTTAATTTCTTTCCATGTTGGATGGTAGTGTAAAATATTGAAAATAATGGAGCAAGTCAAATTAATGCAAATATTACACCAAATATATCCATCGCTGGCGTGACTTAAATGTTCACTTTTTTTGCAGAATGACCCCTACATGTAAGAAGTCAGCTATGGGGAAATCTAAGAACAGCTATGCGCCCGCACTCAGTAGAGCTGGAAATATGAGAAAAGGATGCCAATCAATTCTGAACCTTCTGCAATCTGCCCAAAGATGTATTTCAGCTTTTGCAAACACAAATCTGACAAAAATGTGAAATTTTGAATTTTAAGTGCGAAGTTGTTATTGATTTGTAAAGCTAACACCAAAATCTTTACGTCTTGGCATGAACCAATTAAGCTTTTATAGTGTAAAGCTGTAAATGTTTTTTTCTTATATCATTTAATATTCTGTAAGATTCCAAGATATCGAGGACAATCTACATACAGATCACGTGGTTATCTTTAGGCATTTTTGTCACAGTACAAAACAGATTGGCCAATGAGCAGCTAATTAATAAAGTGTGATAAGAATTAACAGAAGAGGTGCGTAAGGAGGTAAAATCTGCAGTCCACCCTGAGGCCAGTCATCAGCCACTTACCAACCCCTTGTGCGGCAGTCGAACATGTCAATACCTCGGTACTGCCACTTCATTCCTTAAGAAAAATCAAATTGAATGTATGTGTTCATTAACTTTGAAATAACAAAAAACCCTGTCATAAAATGAAAGAATGTCTCTGATTTTTTCACTCAGGTAATATTGCATTACTATACGTGCAAATTTTCAGGAATCATGCCGCAGGATGAAAACACTTTAAAAAATCCAAAAATAAACTGTTTTCAGATTTTGTTATTCCATTAAACCCAAGTAAAACATAGTGACTGTCTCTTCCATTTCCTGTGTCAACAAGATCTCAAATATCATGGGAGATCTGCTTCACTACACTGTTCTCATCATAGTCCAACAATGTATCTATATTACATATATATATACACATATCTTCATGCACATATTTTCTACTGGTCAATCTGTTGTTTTACTGGTGTTGTTATCCATATTCAACATCCAATATTATTTCCAATATGTGACCAATGTGTTCTTTATGAAGGCTTATTCTCGCCTTCAACAAAAGAAAAATTAACTGTACTTTACAAATACTTAATAAGATCAAAATCTGTATTTTATTCAAAAAATTCAACCAAGGTGCATTTTCTAATCAAATTAGTGGTATTTTATGATTTACTGGATACAGTTGTTGAGGCACATTTGTTTGTGATTCAATAATGCTCAGTAATGTGTCAAGCTCAATGTCAATGTAAAAATAGAAAACATTTCTTGGTTACTCCACTTACCTGGAAATGTTCGAAAAAATCCCGACGCACTCCCAAAGTACTGCCAGGTTAACGTGGGGTCTATTTCATAGTTCTTTTTAAAAACTGGATCTAATTTTTCCGACCAGGAAATGCCATTGCTGACATTTGGATCTAGAGGAAAACATGAATAAAAAGTGATAAATATTCAACAGTTTGAAACAATTTAAGGAGTGAGACCGAAAAGTGATCTACTTTAAATAAAGCATGGCAGAACATCAGCTGATCAATGATTTTGCCAGAGGGAGTTAGGGTGGGGGGGCATCTGGGGGGGGGGGGGCGCAAAGTTTGCCTTACATAGCTTGGAAAATGTATAAAATGTTGGGTTAATTATTGGACACTGTTTTTATCTGCTTTGAACCAATAAATGTTCAGACCCTGATGGTTCAAAATTGATTTGATCACTAATATCACTGAGTATCACTGATGAAGAGAGTATAGAGCTACAAGTTATTTAATCACAAGCTGCAGCAAATAATATCCATAGGTATATAGGGCAATGATGCCGTGAACCTTAGAGAAAAAGTGCTTAATAAAAGAAAGAAATGATATCCTCATGCACTTATCACTCATCAACTCGGGCAATTATAGCGCCAAGCTCGAGACATATAGAAAGAAAATTAAAAAGGACATGCCTGCCTCCAAGCCAATATGTATATGTCTTTTTTCTATTGTAATCCAGCTTTCAACGGGTGTGGTTAAACTAGTCTCACATAGATTGATAAATATGCTGCTGGGTTTGGCATATTAATAGTCACATTTTTTTCATGGTACCTGTATATTATGATCCTTTGACCTGTGGTATTTGTAACAGATATCATACAAGTCATTTAGGCATATTTGGTACACAGGACCGTAGCCAGCAATTTCAAAAGGGGGGTTCTTTTTCTGGAAAAGTGGACCATTTTCTATACAAACTTCATGTACCTAGATCAAATTTTACCCAGAGTGGACCTTTTCCCAGCAAAAAGGGCGGTTCTTTCTAACCCCCCGAACCCCCCCTGGCTACGGGCCTGGTACATGTGGTATACACAAAAGCAAAACAAAATTGAGTCTCAGGATTGACTCCATTTACTGGCATGCACCTTATGCTGTTGAGTATTGTGTCCCATCTACACAACAGCTTGTCCATAGCTGGCATAAGCATGCATATGAGACAGGCCTCTAGCCAAACATTTCAAAGATGGTTCTTTCCTGAAAAAATTGACCTTTTCAGGACCCCCTTACTTCATCATACCAGAAAACTGGCACGGAACCCAGATCAATTACTTTCATGAAAACCAGACATTTTCCAACCACAACTGCCTAATAACATGTATGTCTGCATTAATTTTTTTCATTACATCAGTCACGGTGGGCGTTTAAGCCATAATGGCTGCTTTTCCACATACAGAAACATTGGTTTTGAGTCAATCATGATTAAAACTAGCCAACTGGAGCTCATGTCATTAAGATTGATCTATTTTCAGTCAAATGTGAAGGCAGGCCATCTACTATGTATGGGTAATACCAACACAGGCTAGGTGGTCAATGGGCAGAGGTGGTGATTAGGCGTTTATATGGCTTCTGAGCATGATTATCCAGTCCATTTAAACAGTCAAGGTTTCGACCCATTGCCGTGAAAGAGGTCCCTGAATGACCATAAAGGGGGCAAGAAACCAGGGCTGTTAGACACAGAACTGAAAACTGAGTAATCAGATCACAGCAGCATGTTTTCTTTAGAGCAAGAAAAGCTATATTGAGTCATCACATATCATTTTACTGTGAAGTTTCTAGAATAAAATTTGAGGAAATTTTCAATTATTTTGACCTTCTGTTGCAGAAACTTTGATGTCCTTATATAATAATCATCATAGTAGAATGTTTGTTCCCAATCAAAATTAAGCCAATTAACTGGCGCTGTTGAGCATGGAGGCTCCATTTAGGCAATTCTCTTGCTTTGTAGCTATGAAAGCTTCTAAATAATCATCTCTCAAACTGCTGATATACAGGAAACTGTGCCACTTGACGTGAAAAGAACAATATACATGTAGTCTAACCTAATTCAAAGAATGAAAAAGGTACATTTATTTCAGATGTAAGACTAATAAATACTCTTCCGACAGCAAAATCAATTGTATTCTTAATTTAATTTAGTTAATATTCTCTTTAAAAATATATCATTTGGTCTATCAAATACAGACTTTCCTTAACCAACATATAGGACAAAATTAAACAACCATTCTGTGTAACCTTCTTCCCCCCCCTCCATATCTCCCTTGCTGCTCAAGTATGCTTCTAGCAATAAAATCGACTCCCAGAAGTAGTTTCCAAGAATGCCCCCTTAATATCCGATATGTCATGTTTGAAAAGCTGTAAGGAGCACCACTTGATAGAACATGTAAACAACCTGGTTTCTTTCCAACAGACGACTAATTGTGCATTGATTCCTTTTTCATGAAGAAGCCCAAAAAGATAATTAAGGGGAAAGTTAGCAACCTGAAACATGTTAAGACCACGCCATATTATATAGTTCGGATTAGAAAACTGTTGACTTTTCGTTTCTTTCTCTCTCTCTCTCTTTTTTTTTTTTTTTTTTTTTGATGGGGTGAGAAGGTAAAGTGGAGGATAGGGGTGGGTGGGTTGAAACTGTATGCTAAAAGTTTGGTTCTGATCCTTCAGTAAAAAAAGAGATCTGTATTGCATGACATACAATTAATTAAATTTACAGAATATGTTGCACATAATGACCTCACTTAAAGCAGATACCTATATGATTATATAACCTGGAATATGGTAGTTCCAGATCTGTCTTACAACAATGATTGATATAGTTACATGCATATTACAAACTTTACACATATAACGAACAAAAATGGCCAGACCAAATTAGTATATTATAAACATTCTGAATTTTATTGTTACACTATCAATATTGTATGAATGTGGTGCTACAATTGCCCGAGTTGAGGAGTGTTATGAATAGTATCGTTTGTTGGTGAAAGTAGGATTCAAACGGAAACGAGCTGCTAACAGACAAAAAGCAACCAATTATAACCAAAACTATACCTCCTTGTTGGAGGTAACTAAGAGAGCCTTCATACAAGAAATACAACCTTTCCTTTGGAGATGCTAATGATTGAAGGTTTCAATGATGCAATCATGGTTGGAAGAAGATAGGTTGAAAGAAAAAGATACTTACATCTGTCATAAACATCTGTTGGAACATGCACAGTGCTGTAGTTTAGATTTACTCGAACATAATTGAAATGCTCATCTTCGTGAACAGTCAGATTGAGCCATTCGGGGTTAAATTGCAAATGTTCATTTTCGTCATCCACCATTGTTGGAGGCATGGTGGCACCCGGCTCCGTTGTGACATAGTTTCCAGTTTTTTCATTTATTTCATTGATTCTTTTGGCATTGTAATAATGAAGCTGGAAAAAAAAAAAAGACGCAAGTTGTGAATGCTTCCCAATTATATCAACATGTATACAAAGTGGCAAAATAACCCCATGACACAGCACACGAGTGTTTTTCAGCCTTTTCCACTGAAGATTACTTTTATGACTTCTGCTTTTATTACAAAGAAAAAAAAAATACATATTTTGTGAATACTACAAAACTGGCATTTATACTTGTGTAAAATTTTCAAAATGAATTGACAAAGAGGGGCATGAGATTTGTACAACACTTCACGACAAGAGTACATCTTTACTTTTGCCAGCACAAAAATGTCAGTAAAGATGTTTACGTCCTTGAAAATTGAAAAACCCTATCAACTGCTATCAAGGCAATCAAATAATCGAAATGGTAACTGCTTCCCGTCAACAACTATCGGTCTTTCAGAAAATGTAAAGGAACTAAAAAGACTTGAATGTCCAAAATCAAAAACGTACTTAACCTGCAGTGCACAGACTCAATTTGGAAAACAAATTAATTTCTCTAAAGGTCAATCCACTTTTTTTATTTTGCTCATGTAGTGTCTATTATTCCCTGTGTAGGAAGAAATCATCCACCTACTCGACATTAATTGCTAATTGCCAATTGCTATAATAACTTCATTTTCTCAAATCTAACACCAATAATCAAGAAATTTACATTCCTCACATGGGGTGGCAACAAGACTGTGAAACTGATAAATAAAAAAGGAATACAAAATGACAAACTTGTGGTGAACAATAATGAAAAGCCCTTTAGGTAACTGTGAAAAGTCAGATTTCATTTCTCAAAAGCAGTTTCCCTCTGTGCTTTTCCCTCGTTTGTTGTCATTTTTGTTACGATTTGATTTGACTGCTTCTGATTGGTTGTTTTACAGCAAAGTCGTGGATCGGACCAAGAAGTTTTCTTGTAATCAGAACTGCGTTTGTCACATAGTTGATGCTAGATGTAGCAGAAAAGTTTTCAAAATTTTAATTTTATGATCATAATGTACCTAATACACATTTCCTCAAATGTGGCTACAAGGCAAGGTTAAATTCAGTCAAATAAATAACACTTTTTTCACAGCTGAAAAAAAAAAGAGAGAAAAAAAAAACACAAATGAGATCATTTGGATTCAGTGTCACAGCCCCTTAGCCTAATACCATACATTCTTGAAAGTCACACAGTGCTCTCTGTACCCCTTGTTTATTTGATTAATAAGTTATGGATTCAAAGGAAAATTACATTTCCCAAGGGTAATTAAGTTACAATCATCAGTATTCAGCCTTATTTTGTCTAACAGAAAGATGACCCAAGCCCAGGATAGGTTTAGAAACCTCTCACACTGCTTGAGTTGACATTAGGTTCCGGTCCTTTATTAAATCAATGACTTCCTCGAGTGTGATTCCCTTGGCCACTTGCTTGCACATCCTGTAGGCTAAAATGTCACAGCTAGTTGAAATGTCAAAGTTAGTTGAAAAGTCACAGCTTGTGGTGACATTGAACGATAAGGGTGAAAGCAATTAAGTGGAATCTCCCACATGTATATGCCAATACAGACACCAACCTGTATTGGATGTTTTACACAATGTAATAAAGAAAACACCGCTTAATAAGCACTTATATTTCTATATCATGCATTTAAATATAGTATCACATCTTTTAAAAACTTACATCTATCTCTGGATCAAACGTATGCTGTTTATTGGCTTCTTCTGCTGCTTCAACAAGTCTCTAGAACAAAAAAGGCAAAATATTTAAAAAGCAACATAAAGTTAAATATATTAAGTTAAGGACAAGGACTTGAGGTTTTTAAAAAAATGTATGTAATCTGGCATTATTGTTAAAGAGGACCTGAAATTTTTTCATAGAATGTCGCCGTTTATCTTGAAGCAGTACTTTATCTACTGCCATCAGCAAGTCCAATAGTTTTCATTAAAATTTACAAAATTTAAAGACAGAAATTGGGCTTTAAGTTAAAGATGTGATTCATCTTGCTTTTAAAGTTAAGACTTTTGGGAAAAAATTCCTTCATGAGCAGCACATGTAAATATTCATCCAAGCCAAGGGGGTTGTAGGGTTTCGAAGGGGGGGGATTCAAACACACCACCCGCCAGAAAAAAAAATCCCTTCCGAATCAAAATTTGACTCTGGTTCTTTGCCATTGTTCATTTAATGGTAACATGGTTCGCTTTTTTTCAGACCCCCATCCCTTTTAAAATTCCTAGCTACAGGTTTGAGCAATGTCACCTGTATGAAGATCTTCGCTCATGATTCCTCAACTCTACTCAGTGCCAGCTCATTACTACTAAATCCATCACTCAATCTCAAAGTCTTCATTTATGGACAGCATACTCTCGCTTCTTCATTTGTTTTCTTGTCTTACTCGTACACAGTACATCATTAGCAGAACACTTAGTTTGTAATCTAGCCGGTCATTCATCATTAAGATGAATTGCTGCACAATTTCTGCCTATCTCAGATATCATGCCATGCATTGGAATTAAGAACTAAGACAGGAGAGATGGCAATAAAACCGTGATCAAATACCCATAAGTTCACACGTACAATGTAATTTCTCTTTAATAATAAAATGCCTACTCATATACATTCACAGGTGTGATGCAATTTATCTTCATAATGATCGAATGCTTATCAACTGTTACTAATATATTCATATTTTCCCAGGGACAATGTACTTTATCTTTTAATTGACAGTCAAATGCCTATATTTAGAGGAATGACATAATTACATCATTACAATAGGGCAATTAGTATAAGAAGTAATAAAACAATTATTATGACTAATCAGATGTATTAATTGGTGCATTGGAAAAAAAAACTGTACTGTTGTAATATCTGTGGCATTCAGAAACCATTAACACTTCATAAAAAACAATTCTTCTTTTGTTAATAAATACAGTCACCAAGTACTTGTAGCAGCTGTTCAAGAACCTTCTAATGTTCCCCAATGTCTCTCCTAATGATTCCATAGATTGAGAAAAAAAGGGGATATTGATGATATGTGCTGAAGGCAAAATGTACTAAGAAATTGATACTCATGTAGTGTTATTACCATGGAGTACATGAATGATGGTCAGACCAAGACTTGAATACAAACTTTAAATCTAAGAGATATGTACACAAATGCATGCATCTCCTTCCATCCCCCCTCCCCTCCCCCACCCTCTCTCTCTCTCTCTCTCTCGCTGTCTCTCTATCTCTTTTTCTCTCTCCCTTGCTGTCTCTCTCTCTTTCTCCCTTGCTGTCTCTCTCTCTCTCTCTCCCTTGCTGTCTCTCTCTCTCTCTCTCTCTCTCTTTCTCTCTCTCCCTGTCTCTCTCCCCCTGTCTCTCTCTCTAGTGAACACATGTAATTAAGTTGTTGAAGATTCCATGGGACGTGAGACAGAGGCAATCATACAGTGGCTTGATTAATTCATATGTACATGTGCCCAGAAATGAGCTAAAATGCACCATTTTCTTCATGTACTTCTCTATGAGATTGCTTCAAGGGATATTAGCAACATGCAAATACCACATGTACAGCATATAGAAGAACCCCCCCCCATTCCCCCCAAATATGCCTTTTTTAAGAGAGAGGAATAAACCAGTGAGAACACATTTAATACAAACCAGAAAGGAGAGAGAGAAGTGGCTGTTACTTAGAGCCACCTCCCTAACCTCCATGACAATTTAAAATCCTAAATTGCTGCACAACTATATTACAGTATGGCAAAATGGAGATATCATGCTCAGTCAAACACATACATTTTTACACCGAGTGCCTTCAATGATGCAGAAAAATAACCTTTGAGAATACAATGATCAGATCAGGAAGTTACCAATACCGCTTGCATGTCATATGCCTATGATTATCCCGAGTATTTCTACTTGATTTGTTTTGTGTGTGACTTCATTTGTAAAAGCCTACAGCCAGATGATGTGAACCATCTTAATTTTGCATGTTTTATACAGATAAGTATTGGAGGTAATCCTTTGGATGTCTTCTTTACAGGATTATGGTTTATATTGTCTGTCTCACTGTCTTCAGGCGTCTTAATTATGTGTGTGTGTGAGTGTGTGTGTGTGTGTGTGTGTGTGTGTGAGTGTGTGTGTATGTGTGTGTGTGTGTGCATGTGTACACTTGCATGTGTACGTGCATGCATGCATTTCATAAACAAAAAAAGATGAAAATTAAACCATACTGATCAAATCAGTAGTGCAGTTACATCACCACAAAAAAAGGCAAAAAAATATCAGATCTCCTCTAGGAAACACATACTCACAAAATCACACACTAGTACATTAAAAGTAGAAAAAAAAACACACTCCTCTTGATTACTAGTAACAATCTGCATTAATCATACCAGAGTACAGAGAAGCACCATGGGAGAAAACCCAATACGATCCCAATGCCCCTACTGGTGTAGCTGTACTCCCCCCCTGGGGCAGAGATCAGTCCCCCCGGGGACTTGGACTGAGGCATTAGGGGACCAGAAGATGAGATGTAGAGTTCACGAGGTCCATGTTTAATACATACTAATAACAGCTTCAATGAAATTAGTTTGCTTTTCAGTGGACCAATTCCACGCGCCTTAATTTCGTCAATAGTTATTATACTACACAGCTGGCCAGTTAACAATGATAAGCAGAAAAATAAACGTAAACATACGAAATTCATATATATTTCCCAATATATTGACAAGTGATACATAAATTCAAGTGATAAAAAGGAAGCACATACTCATGTAACAGAACTTTCCCGATTGTAACCAATGTCAGCTAGTACACTAATGTTGGTCCAAGATTACTGGTTTTAGTGAATGATCCACAGCTAATTTCTTCTGTCTGCACTTAAGACCTGCTCAAATTCTGGAGGCTATGACTAGAATAAGTCTTAATTAAGAAGACAAATTGCTAGCAGTGCAACAACCAGCTGTCCCTACTTTCTATTCTCTCACGCCAATTCATGTCGTACCATAATAACGGACCCCCTGGACCAGGTTGAACCAAAAAAAGCTTGGTCTTAATTTATAGACCAAAAATGTTGTCCATTTTGTCACAATGCAAATCCAAATTAATTTAATCATATGAAATACTGTCCTAACATACTTCAGACCAATATTTTACTAAGAGCAGATTCTCAACGAATTGAGCCAGGCTTTACAAAGCCGGTGACCTAAAAATGGCGGACGTACATGAAAGAAAAACCGCCTAATCTTTTAAAAGTCTCTCAGCCTCCCCACACGTCGTCCCTGCAGGGTACAGTAATTAAATCTCGGCTCCAACCTCCAACTACGTCTACTGGGGCTGGGTAGTTCTGTGAATATCTCTGGTGATATTATCTCCGTAGATAGTCGATTCGTTGCTGCTCTACGGGCCAATTCATTCCTTTTTCGTCTCTGTTTTGACAGATAATAAAACAGAAGAGCTTTTTTTCCTTCGAACGCCTTCAGCCGCCATGCTTTCTTCACCACGAGTTTAACTGATGAGCATGTGCACTTAATATTTCTCAGGTAGCTTCCGCATGGCGAATGGAGCCGAGATTTAATTACTGTATCCCGCAGGGACGACGTGTGGGGAGGCGGAGAGACTATTAAAAGATTAGGCGGTTTTCTTTCATGTACGTCTGCCATTTTTAGGTCACCGGCTTTGTAAAGCCTGGCTTAATTCGTTGAGAATCCGCTCTTAGTGGACTAAAGTGAAATTATCTTGCACTGTAGTTGACTAAATTTTACGTCTAAAACCTCTGGCCAATTTTAGTTAGCTAGCGACAAAGTTAGCAACTTTAATTAGCTGTTTTGTGAAACCAGCCCCTGGTTATTTTGTAAAAAGGAATCAAAGCATTATTTTAAGAAGTACACAGCTGCACATTAGCCACGATCTCTGACTGATGCACTTTCAATTCTTGCTTCTGTTCTTCTTCAATAATGTGTGGCAGTTCACAGCACCTGTGCCATATTCTGTATACTATTCTGTATCAGTTTCTACACAATCTCTGCTCACTGACTGTTATTAAGTGAGCAAGCAGTTTCAAATTTTTTTCTCCAAAAATTGGTCTACTTTGGCTCAATTTAAATCCATTAAAGTCATGTAGTGATCTACTAAATAACATTAGTACAGGGGATCCAGGTCTGAAACAATAAATCCTTCTCCATCTTGCTATAAAACAGGCATTTAACTGAAATACGTCTGATTTTATTACTGATTTAATTATCTTCAGTCAAAGCAAAAATAAAATATCGGTCTCAAAGTTTACATCCATTTTCAGGTGAAATTTCTCTCGTGAAACAGGACCCAGTATATATAGCCATATCTGTGTCCAAATTAAAAGTGAATCTTCAGTACACAATAACTCATTATGCAAGCTAATAGCTGTACTAAGTATACTTTGGGTGACATGTGATACAAATGAGTAATTGCAACCAGTCAATATCTTTTAACTCAGCTAGTTACATGTATGAAAAAAAAAGACTGTTTGCAACAGGTTAAAACCTTTCAAAAGCTTTTACCATTGCTTTGGACTCAATGTGACAACAGCAATTAACCCCTGTTTACCTTGTTAATTCAGTGAACCATTTCTATGTCAAATAAATAAATAAATAAATAAATAAATAAATAAATAAATAAATAAATAAATAAATAAATAAATAAATAAATAAATGAATGAATAAATAAATAAATAAATAAATAATGGCTAACTCAAGAGAAAGTCACCATGAGCAAAAAGCATCTTACCAAGATAATGAAATTACCCTTGGTCATTGTGAAAAAGCCGTATCTTGATTTAATGCACATTTATTGGCTATTCTGATGGTCATTTTCTGCCATACGCCAGATGATCTGAGAGATAAATCTGATGGTAATTGAGCGAAATGGGTTCGGTCACAGTTAAAAGCAATTAAAGACAGTCATTCCATATGGCTTAATGTTACTTTCTGTTCAATCACAATCAAATAATAAGGAAGACATCACAAAAAGTCTTGCCTGTCTTGCTATAAACCAGAAGCCATGTATTCTGTGCTATAAAACAGGCAGAATGTTTCATTTACTTGGACTTCTACTGATTTATCTTGGGTCACAGTAAGTCTTTTCCAAGGCATTGTCTGTGGATAGCTGATAGAGGGCAGCACTGTCAAGAGTGCCCCACATACAATAGACAAAACTCCCCCCACCCCCACCCCACCAATATTCTTCTACTGCAAGAGGTCATGCATGAAAAAAAAAACAGCAATCTTAAGTTTCTAATTGATTGGTGCATATGGCAATCATTGATCCACTGTAGGCAAATCACAAAAGATTTGGATTCTTCATCAGCTGGAAATAAATCTTCACGGATGATGGAATGATGAATTGGTTGTTTGATTGTTAATCGGATTTCAATTATGTCCCTCTTCAGTTGTCTGTTCATCATCACCAGTCTGACTGTACAGTTCCTCAAACCATTTTTCATCTTCAGTTTATTTCTACAGAAATTGCTAATTAAATTTGAACAAAATGAATGAATGTAATTTCCTCTCAAACAGCATTTGGTTAGTGATACTAAAATCTGCTGATTCAATGTAGCAAACAAGTAACTAAAATGTACTGATGAACCATGAAAAAAAGTTGAAATAACTTAAGGGTTTGAAAATTGAAGTAATTATGGTAATCAGATCTGCCAGATTAGATAATCTGGAAGAAAGGCAATCATGAGAAATGTTTCAGAGAATTAGAATTCTGATTGCCAATCCATCGTTTTTAATCAAGTGCTTGAAATTATGATGTCTTAGGGCACATTCACAATGAAACTATCACACTTAGTAGATCGATCCAACCCCGAAGGGACTTTTGCTGAATGCAACCAGATTAATTGAATGATTTGCTATGGGCTGATTAACTTTTGTGTGCATTTGGTCCCACTCAACATGAAGTAAAAAAAAAAGCTTCTACAAGACAAGCGCAAGTGAAAGTTAATCACCCCTAGCTGCTCCAAGAAGTATATTATTCAGTTCATCTAAGTGCATTCAGGTAAATCCAAGCAGAGTTGGATCGATCTACATTGTGCAAAACTTTCATTGTGAACAGACCGCTAAGAGCTGTTCCTACACAGTGACTAGCTGCATGAGCCTGCTGTTTGTGGGAACTTTCACTTTCACTTACTGTTTGGGCTGAATCTAAACCTGTCAACCAAAATTACATCCACGAGACTATTTTTAATGTTTTTTTAAAAAGGTCATTTTGTGGTGACACATTTTGCCCTCTTTATTTTGCATAAACCACATGGGCATAAAGTTCACTTCCATGCTGGTAGCTTCAGGATGCCATATCTCCTTGAAATGAGTCATGTACAAGAACATGATTGATCTTCCTCAACTGCCTTCTTAACTAAGAAATTGTCCAGATGAAATTGAAATGTTCTTAATGTCAATTAAGTCCCCACGTCTTTGCGTGCATTTATTGAGAATCAATAGCTTGATTTAACAGCAGTGTCTACGCCATAAACTCTGCCCTACTTGTTGCATGTGCTGGTTCAGAACCGCACTTCTCACATTAATATTCTTGGTTTTTGATTGAGATTTGATATACAGAATTACCTACTGAATCATCTTCATTCAGACATTTCTGTGACATATCTTCTATGAAACTGTTCAAAGCTGATCTTAAAAAATGACTTCCTACACCTACACTCACTTTCATTCAGATATATTAGATCAACAGATGAACTTGCTACAGCTAGATGCACGCTTGTCATATGCAATGTGAATCCAATAATTACCAGCTGTAGCAATGCAATGAAAGACATTTCAGTCCATTTGTGATCCACAGAACTGTCACTTGTATGGGTATTTTCACACTCATCATGTATCCAGAAAGTTGTACATTGCATGCATGGACACCTTAAACTTACCATGCCTCTGTAGAACTGTCAAAGCTGTGGACAATCACACTCAAAGTGTGTCCTTAAAGATATCAACTGTATATGAGTATTTTTTCACACTTGCCATGTGTCCCTGAAATGGCCATTTGTTAATGGACACTTTTTTTACTCACTTAATTTGTGGTGTTTATTTAAAATATGTCAACTGTATGCATGGTCACTTTCACACAGTTTGTGTCTGTGAGTGTCAAATGTACCAGTATGGTCATGATCACACCATATGAGTTATCCTTTAACTGTCACATGTAAATAGGCACCCACACATAATAGGTTGTTTTGTCTCCGAGTGTCCGTAAAGCTGTCAAGTGTGTGGTCACTGTCACCATTTCTGTGTTGCTGTAAATCGGTTGAAATTCACCTTCACATACATATTCGCAGGTTAAATGGTTTATTTTGGACTCCCTGTACCCAAAATCCTAGGGAAACCTGAGACTGTTTAGATCTGAATTATCTAATTAGAATTGTTACAAAACATACTGAATAAACGTGAAGGGGTGGGTCCAGCAATTTTATGTGAATTGGAGTAAAACGAAATCATAGGCCTTCACTTTCTTAGAGCAATCTAAAAAATATATCCCAAACACCATACTCACGCTTATTGCGTCTTCCTTCTTCCGTAGCATTTTCTCCATATTTGTGGACACTGTGTCTAGTATTTTGGTGCCATTCATAATTTCTACCTTGGCCTCATCTTCATAACACTAAAAAAAAAAAAAAGAAAAGATACGATATTTTATCAAATTTATTATATCAAGATTAGATCAAAATGATAGTATTACTGGTATTTACATGCATGTCTTCCTGGCACAATCAAGAAGTCAACATTTCAGTTGCCATATAGAATAATTATAGAACCAAGGTGTATTTCCACACAAGATGGGCAGACCCAACTCCTGGGGATGGGGTGGCAGGGGGGGGGGGGGGTCTATGTACAGTAACTTTGAATTTGATACCATTTTTGGAGATTTTCACTTTACTTCATGAGAATTTCTGGTCTTTTTTTCTTTTTAAGGAGGCTCTCTCACATTAGCTTGAGTACTTTTTTACAACTCATGATCAAAATATATATCAGGCAATAAAATATCAATGAAAGCTTTGTTGCCTGGTGCCGTTTGCATTTTTTACGATGTAATGTACATACTTACTACTTGCTTAAGAACTTTGTGACATTTTTTGGGATGCTACTTCTTGAAAAACAAACTGGATCACCTTCAAATTTTTTCATATTTTTTGTTCATATGGTAAGTATGTTTTGTATTACAATTTTTACCAAAATTGCTAGGGCAGAAATGGTGTTTCTGAAACATGAGAGCCTCCTTTAATGAAATTAGTAATTTTTACAAAGGCACATGGAAAAGATAGGCAAAAAGCAAATGATAGTAAATTTCAATATGAGAGCAATCATAAGTAAAAAAAAATTGGATGATTAAAAATACATTAAAATGCATCCATACCAAATGACAAACAGTTGAGGCTTTGACTTATGATCATAGAACAGTGACTACGATTATCAATTATACATTTTTCAATTTCTCAACTACAGATTTTTAGCATATGTTATGAGCTATTCCATAATGGTTGTTGCTTTCCAAATGGGTTTTTGATGGCATCAGTTAAAAAAAGTGTGACGACAGCCATCGATAAAAATGCACTTTCATAATAATGACTCAATTCCCTGACATAGTATTCCATTTCATCTTTTTATTTCTTTTTTTTCTTTCCAAATCTTGTGTAATATTCTGAGGATATGGGGAACATACCAGAATCACGCAATTTTCAGGTCTCACAAACCATTCAAAACATTCTTTATGGCAAGTGTCTGTGACGTTAAAACTGGCACAATGCCAAGTGCCCGTAAAATTGGAGTTGGGGCCAATAAATTTTGATAAGATATTCAGTTACTGGTCATGGCCACTTGTGTTTCTGCCTTTGGCCAGTAGATTCTTAATCTATGGGAACTTGATGGACAAGCATGCTAAAAAGTTTTTTCACACTGACTTCATTAACTGTTCCTTGGAGAAATTCATTTGTCTAAGCTGGTTATAAATACATCATATATATTTTTTTGGAAGCCAAAAAGGAGTTTAATGCCTTTATTAGAATATATTTGTTAGGCCAAAAAGTGAAGTACTTAAAATGTGAAATTGATTAATTTTTTTTAAAGCTAGGGACCATTCCCATACCCTATTTTAGTAGCAGGATTGATCTATCTCAGACGTGTTTCTTGCTAAATTGTATTTAGTTTAAGCGTGCATGAAAGTTATTTATCCCCCTAACAGCTTCAGTGGGCATCACAGACATTTAAGCTGCTTAAACTGAATGCAATTTAGCAAGAACCCCCTCGGAGTTAGATCGATTCTGCTAGTACAACAGGTTTATGGGAACCCAGTCGAAGGGTGTTCACAGAACCTAGTTCAAATTTTGATTTACAGCCCACTTTAGCCATGTAAGTTATAACACAGCCCCACTGCACCCTGGGAAGCCAGCAGTGTCCACAATGCCCCCAAAGACTGGTTCCCCTTTAAGAGACCTTTGATTGAGATTTATCGTGTACTGATCTGTCAGGCCTATTAATATTGTCACATACCCTTCTATGATACAATGAAATCCAGATGACTGTACCAGTATATATATTTTTGAGTGATGCAGGGAAATTTCAGTCCCATAAGCAGGTACATATGGATCGAAGTTTGAAAATGAAGAAGTTGGCACGTATTGAATCTGAAACTCAGCTGGGGTACACTCAAGATAATTTTGGGTCTGGAACATGTCACAGGTGACAAGCCTATTTCACTAGGGATTTAAACATCTCATATCCTGCTGAGTCACATATTTGAACCAATGACAGAAGGGAGGGTCCATATATTGTGCATCGGAGATTCAAAATGTCCATGAATCAATTGGGTTGCCTGGTGACAAATTTGAGACTGCTGACAGTTTTCGTTAAAAGCCCATCCGAAAGTGCCTATAATTGGAAGTGGACGTTGAAAATCAATACAAATTCACTTGTAGCTTGGTTGACATATAGGCTGAAGCCGCCAGGTTTAATATTAAGTAATCTGGAGATTACCATCATTAGTCTATTTCTTTCTTCAACGATATGAAGATTTAATACAAGGCATCTAAGAAATGGTGCGTTTCTACTGAAGATGTCCAATCGCTTTTTTGGCTTAATTTTTTTTTGTATCTCGATTGCCCGAGTTCTGCATATATGTTTGAGAACATAAAACATTATTTTTCTGAAGCAGATTTATGGACTATTGATCAATAATAAAGAAACATGTAGGAATCTTTTTAGTGTTAATTTCTTGCTGTATCCCAACATAAAAGCTTGATTTGCATCACTGATGAAATACTGTATATAATATTATGTTGTTCTGATAAGAGACGGTACCATTTGGTTATCCAATTCATATGTCAGTATTGCATCTAACAATTTAAAAGCATGTGTCACTATGGCAAGTTTTGCTGATTGGCTGTGAATGGAGGGCCAGTATTTGGCAAACATCTGGGCCATAGCCTTAGCCAACATTTAGGCTAAAATTAGTCAAACATTTGGGACATCAACTGAACCAGCATTTGGTACATGTACTGAACCAGCATTTGGGACACCAAATGAAACAGCATTTGGTACATATACTGAACCAGCATTTGGGACACCAAATGAAACAGCATTTGGTACATGTACTGAACCAGCATTTGGTACATCAACTGAACCAGCATTTGGGACACCAAATGAAACAGCATTTGGTACATGTACTGAACCAGCATTTGGGACACCAAATGAAACAGCATTTGGTACATCAATTGAACCAAAATTTCGGACATCTACTGAATCAGCATTAGGGACATCAACTGAACTAGCATTTGGGACATCAACTGAACCAGCATTTGGGCTACCATATGGGCAAATTTTCCTCGTATGAGAACTGGAACATATATCTTCACACAATATGTTTTCATAAAAAAGAAAAATAAAAAAAGACATTTTCCTTAGAAATTGTTTGTTTTTACTGATGACCCATTCCATTAGGATTTCTGAGAAAATGTGCTGCTGGAAGTTACCATTTGATAAGTAAACAGAACATCAATGAGTCAAATTAAATGTACTGTGGCCCCAAGGGTCCAAAACAAAAGACATCATTTGCAGGAATTCTTGGTAAATTGAAAAGTATAATGTACTAAATAGAACCGTTTTGCAGGGTTTTACTAGGGCAGACATCAAGAACACAACACATAAATAAATGTGAACTGCTCCATCTCTGGGTCTTTTCTTCTCAACACTCACCTTGTTATTATCAGTGAGGGTACAGCAACGTGTGTGTGTGTGTGTGTGTGTGTGTGTGTGTGTGTGTGTGTGTGTGTGTGTGTGTGTGTGTGTGTGTGTGTGTGTGTGTGTGTGTGTGTGTGTGTGTGGACTCACTAACTCTATGTGTTTGATTATCTGACAATGTCTGTCACAATACTTAATTAACAGAGGTGGTTTTCTGCTGGGCTGGTGATCCAACAGTGACTATGTATGTTTCAAGTACTACATGTAGATCCAAAGTACAGTTAAAGAATCATATTTTACTTTGAGTGCATGTGAACAAAATTGTTTCTATGGTGACTGACATAAGTGGCTGAAGTGGATTCAAGGAATTGCTTGATACATCTTCAACTGAAGAAGTTTATGTTGATTAAAATGAGTGGTTGGTTGGGACTTGATTAAAAGTATTGTCTGTTACACCTTTAATTGGATAGGTTCGTGTTGTTTGGCAATTGGTTTAATTGGATTCAAGGAATTGCCTCATTCAACTTTGAATACAAAGGTTAGAGATGACTGATAAGTGGACGAATACCTTTAATTGGACAGGTTTTGGTTGATTGAAAAATAGTTGGGTTTGATTCAAAGGATAACCAGAAGCACCTTTGATTGGCAAAACACTATATTTCCTCTGCTAGAAACTTGAGCTACCTAGTCTATATATATGTATGTATATATATATATATATATATATATATATATATATATATATATATATATATATATATATATATATATATATATATATATATATACTACAAACTTTTTTAGACAAAGGAGCTAGGAGGAAGGTTATGTCAGATAATTCATCACATCATAAATATGACTAAATATTTCAATTGCAGAAGAATTTGACAAATCCATGTGACTGTGAGAAGTTCCTGTTGCTATAAGAAAACACAACTGCTTTATTAAATAGACACCAAAGCTGACAAATATACAGACATTTAAAAATAAGTTTTATATGATAATCTCCCTTATTCTGGGGTCTGATGTGCTGTTGAAGATCCTGCAGTTTTTTCAATTTTTGACTTAGGAGCAATATATAAAGTTTTTTTTTATAAAAATGATGTAAATCATTTTAAATGATATTTCAATAGATGTATTGGCCATCATGTAATCACCATGTTCTATAATCTTACAAAATTAGTTTAATTTCACTCCTTTATTTGTGATATAATCATATCACCATAGTTCTTGTTTTTCTGAGGTTCTTAAGCCTCCATGTTATTGACCAGATTCCGAATGGATTTCCTTGAAATCCAAAAAATTTGCAACAAGTGGCAATTACTTGGAGTTCTCATGCCGCAGGTGAATTCATCTGGCACTATATTAAGCACAATCAAAGCACTAATCTAACGTGCTATAATTTCATTTTTGAAATCTCAATACAGC